TTGTATCTGGCAGGTTTTCTTTCTCCAATGTACGCACATTACTCAATGTTATGTACAGTACACACAGTAGAGATGCTGTGCCTTCTTTGATCTCCTTACATGCAGAAAAGGCATTTGATCAAATAGAGTGGAGATACATGCATTCAGTGTTAAGACATTTTGGTTTTGGTTGTCGATTTCTTTTACTAATAGAGATGTTATACTCCTCTTCCAAATCAGCAGTGCTCACTAATTCTGATAAATATGATTATTTTCCACTCCAACGTGGAGCAAGGCAGGGTTGCTGCATCAGTCCCCTCTTGTTCAACCTGGCATTGGAACCACTTGCCATTAGTATTAGGAGCCATCATGATATCAAGGGCATCACGGTTGCAAATACTGAGTGCAAACTATCATTGTATGCAGATGATCTGCTTTTGTATATAGCAGAATCTGCTTCCTCCCTACCTCCACTTCTGGACCTGATTAAACATTTTGGTACCTTCTCTGGTTACACTATCAACTGGAGTAAAAACTTATTCATTTCTCTTACAGAACGCCTAGATCCAGAATTTATTAAAACATTACCATTTAAAATAGTTCATGATTGCTTCACATATACTGACCATTCCTAAAAATCTCAAGGATATATTAAGACTCAACTTCAGTGAATTATTAAATAAGTTAAAAAACAATATTGAACACTGGAAAAACCTACCATTATCATTAATTGGCTGTGTCAGTGCTATAAAAATGTTTTCCCTTCCCAGATTTCTTTACCTTTTTCAGAATCATCCCATCTTTCTACCATCATCATTTTTTAAAAGTTTAGACTGTTTGATTTTGCCCTTTGTCTGGGGTTACAAAGTTCATTGTACTTCTATGTCTCATTTGCAGAAACCCAAGGCCTATGGAGGTCTAGCTTTACCATTTTTTTCAGCACAACTATTGGGCTGCCAATGCCAGAGCCATGATTCACTGGTGGGATTGTTTTCCTGATGGGGAAGCCACAATCACTGTTGAAATTCCAAAATGGAGCCATATGGAGGCTCAAGCATTGCAGAATAGCTCCTTCAGTGCTTATTTGTTTTCTAGAACAGACGTCTCAAACAAGCTCCTATCCAACAGTTTTATTTTGCACAACTCTCTGAAAATACTAAAACAAATGAAATCGTTTCTTAAAGTCCCAGACGTGTCTTTATATTCCCCCATCTGCCACAATCACAACTTTGCTCCAAGTATGGTTGATAAGGTTTTTCCTGCATGGTGGCAAAAGGGGTTAAGATCGCTTAAAGACTTATATATTAATCATCATTTTGCTTCATTTTCACAATTAAGCACAAGATTTAATCTTCCTCAAGCCGTTTTTTCCCGATACCTTCAACTTAGAGATTTCGTTAGACATAATGTACCCAATTTTCAGGCTCATCCCCCAGAGCATTCATTTTATGAACTCATGCAGAAACCTCCAAATTCCAAACACTTAGTTTCTCAATTTGTTACTACATTATCTAGCTGCTCTGTAGCATCCTCTGCTCCCTTTAAATCTGCCTGGGAGATGGATCTTGGTGTTGGTCTACCGGATAAGGTGTGGGAGGAAGGTTTGCGGAGGATACACCTTTGTGCCATCAATGCCAGACTACAATTAATTCAATTCAAGGTTATCCATAGGTTACATTATTCCATGGAGAAATTAAGTAAGACTTATCCTTCCTTTTCTAAACTGTGCATAAAGAATTTGATGGAACCTTGAGTCATACCTTTTGGTTCTGCCCCAGTCTTCTTTTTGGGCTAACATATTTAATTGGTTTTCCCAGGTGTACAACAGAGAAATTTCCCCTGACCCAGTGTTGGCTCTAATTGGTTGCTCAGTTACCTCACTTTCTTTACCATATAGACAACAGCAGGCATTAATGTTTGGCATGATTTTGGCAAAAATGATTATTCTTAGGAAATGGAAATCTGAATTTCCTCCCTCATTTAAAACATGGCTTTCTGAAATGGTTTCTTCTATACACCTGAAGAAATTACAAGGTATCAATACAGGTTCAATCAGGAAATATGGGGAGGTATGGGACTCTTTTATTAAACACCTTGTGGCATCCCACTTGGTAATTGAACTTCAATGATTAGTCCTCCAAACTGCCAAGATTATAACACTTGCTATTATGTTTTACTTTTTTTTTGCTTATTGATATTGTCTGTTTTTGGCATGGGCTGCTGTATATGTACAGTGTCTGAACTTGACTGGCTGTTTTTTTTTGTGGCCTTATACTGTTCTTTTGTCTTATTCTACAAAAAAACCTAAATAAAATATTTTTAAAAAATGCACAATGTTTTTGATAATTATTATTAATAAGTTATTATTAATAATAACCGACATAAACAAGTATTCCGCCAAAAAATTTAGTTCCTTTAGTGTACGGTATCATTGCTAAGCAACCATTGACAGCTTAATGAGGAGGAGAACGTTTGGTCGCCAGTCACTGTATACTGCAGACATTTCATGATTTTTTAAACTTTTTCATGAACAGTAAACATATCTAACACAGCACTGTTTAATGCAAATACTTTCAGTTTATAGGTACTTTTTGGTCACGAAATTGCCACCGCGAGTCTTCTTCTGCCAGTCTGACGACGCCACTTTTCTCACACTGGGACTAAATCTCAAACAGCTCCCTGTCCACTACATAGTGCACTACGTAGAAATTTAAATACTCACCCCAACAATGCAAAATATCGCAAAAAATGGTCATTGTCATTTGGGATTTATCCACATTCATACTCGACAAGCAGTGCACTATTTGACAGCAGAAGCTAGAATTTCTAAACTTAATGTTACACAGCACACTATATGGCTAGGGAGTACAGAGCCGTTTGGGATTCAGCCTGGGTTTAATGCCACTTCTGACTGAAACACGGACATTTGAAGTGTGTAAGCCATTCAGGTGACAAATTTTTAGACTTTTAGCTATAGTGCTGTTTTTCAGTGAATCATATAGTGAGTACTTTAATTCAAGCCTGGGATATTAATGTTGGAGCTGTATAGCATGTTTGCTATCTTGTAGCTTGTTGGCTAGCTGACCAGCCCAGTTCTAGTAAAGAAAATAAGTTTTCAGACCCTCAGTTTAAACAAAAACAGGTTCTTACTTAATCAGTACACTCAAAGCTCCGTGTAATCAGCTTTAGAGTCAAAGGTTAATCCATTCACAGCATAATGATATATCGTGCCGTGGTATAGTAATACAGAGTTTTAGATTTTAGGATGTTATGTGAATGTAGCCTTAGCATGCTTGTGCCATGGCACACTGTACCTTTCACTTTTAACTCCAGTTTGGGCACACACAGGACAGATATGGTAATTAAAACAGATGCTGTTTATCACTTGCGAATGCACCGACTGCGGTGGTTTATCTGTTAAAAAAAGCAAAGCAAACCACTGGCTTCAATTTGTTAAGTACTCATGCATTTGAAGCTATTTGTTTTAAGAAATGAGGGAATATTTGATGTTTAAGGGCCTTGTTAACACACCCACTAGTTGTTAGATCCAATGTGATGCTCCCTTCGTGTACAAGAATTTAAGAGACCCTGCTGGTGTATCAGGACTCCATGTCATGGATGTGCCATGTCCATGCCATGTTCTGTGTTGGATAACTGTATTTACTGTTTATCTAATGCTGTATGGTGATTTTGGCACATTTCATGTTGAAAGAATACATTTATCAGGGGCTTTGCTGCTCCCTAGTTTAGTTACTGCATGTGGAGCATCTTGGAGGCTGGGTCAGTGCAGCTCCTTACTTATAGTATACTTAATGTTTGTTTATATATTTAACCAAACAAAGAGTGTTTGTACTGTGCATGTAAGTGCAGCATAGATTGTGATTTCATACTTTTTTTGCATTGTCCCTAGCACTTCAAAACAATGTGATGCCCAGGTTGTTCCAGGGCATCAACAGAATTAAGGGGGCATAAGTCAATCTTTTTGCTTATAGTGTTGATTATACATATGATAAACGGTCTGCTTAACCCCTATTTCAGTTACTCTTTCACTCCTTCTACCTGTGCCAGTTCCTTTCTCACCCCTTCATTCTATCAGGTTCTCTCTCACCCTTTTTCTGTTTCAGTTCCTCTCTCACTCCTTTTTCCTGTTCAGTTCCTCTCTCACTCATTCTCCATGTGTCACTTCCTCTCTCACTCTTTCTCCCTATGCCAGTTCTTCTCTCACTCCTTCTCCCTGTGTCAGTTACTCACTCCTTCTATCAGTGCATCTCTCACTGCTTCTCTCTGTGTCAGTCCCTTTCTCAGTTGCTCTCCCTGTGTCAGTTCTCCTCTCCCTCATTCTCTGTGTCAGTTCCTCTCCCAGTCTCTTTCTGTGTCAGGTCCTCTCTCACTCCTTCAGACTTTGTCAGTTATTGTAGCACTTCTTCTCCCTGTTTTGCTACTCCTCTCACTTCTAGTTAGTGTTCAGGTTGCTTTCCCCTTGCTGTCATTATGAAATGTCAATGTAACTGTTACTCTATTCTAGTTATTTTGCATTAATCATTTTACTTTCTTCTACTACTACTATTTCATACATGTGCATATACCCCATGTTGGTATAGGTTGTGCTAATAGATGACCTGGTGCTTCGCATCAATGACACAGTTTAAAATAGTTTCTTGAATACTATTTGATTAAACATTCAGATATTGAAATATAAAAGCAGCTGAAATGTGGGCACCACAACATTTTACTGGAGCATGTGCTCTGGTGGCAGCACCAGGTGAGACAAATAAATAAATATCATATACTTGAAACTTGTGAATTTAAAATATTAAAAACTACCTTTACATTGTTAAAGGTCATGTCAAATGCTGAAAAAAGCATGAAGCGTACACCAATGTCATAGACAAATTTAAAAAAAAAGAAAAATGAATTGTATTGAATGCAATTAGTTGTCATTTTTTAGCTAGAAAGTTTTTTAGTAAAAAAAAAATCTGTTATCACTGTGATCGATTTTGGCTTTTGTTTTGTTGCTGCAGGAGCCAGAGATGGACCAGAATTTGTTTGGAGGGGCTCCTCGGTTCCTGACCCGGCCCAAAGCATTTTCCCTCAGTGTAGGTCGAGATGCTACTCTCAGCTGCACTGTTGTAGGGAACCCTGTTCCTGCTGTCACCTGGGAAAAGGGCAAGCTACGTATATCCACTGGAGGACGCTTCAAAACTGTAGAAGATGGGGATGTGTATCGACTCACCATCTATGATCTTACACTGGATGACAGCGGCCAGTACATGTGCCGTGCCAAGAACAATGTTGGGGAGGCTTATGCAGCTGTCACTCTGAAGGTGGGCCTTCCAGCAGCAGTAGTGGATCGTGCCCCTGCATTCACTGCGAAACCCGCTTCCTCTCGTGTGGGTTTAGGGGGTGATGTTACCTTCTTTTGTCGTGTAGCAGCCCACCCTGATCCCAGCTTTGAATGGGAGAAGGATGGACGTTATCTGGGTGAGACCAATCGCATAAAGATCACTTCAGACAGTGAGTCCAGCTCTCTGCGGATTCAGAGCGTGAGGAACATAGATGGTGGCACCTACACCTGCCGGGCTCAAAACTCAATTGGTCGTGCTCAGGCTGCTGCTGTCCTGGTGGTGGACATGCAGGACACACAACTACTCAATGTTGACAAGAGTACCTCCCTCCTTTCACACATGCAGAAACGCAAAGAGGAAATGTGCAAGGACATCTCCCTCTTCCGCATGTACGAGAGCTCAGCCTCATCAAAGATTGTGGAGGATATCAGCAGCTTGCGGATTGCCATTGATCAGGGGCAGCAAGTCTCAGCTTTAGCTAAAAAGTTACCCAAAGGTGTTTTCACTCGAACCTGCATGGTGACAGAGGGCAAACATGCCAAGCTCAGCTGCTTTGTCACAGGCCACCCCAAACCCCAGATCGTCTGGAGTAAGGATGGGGTGAACATCACCGAAGGTCGTAGACATGTCATGTATGAGGACCAAGCAGAGAACTTCATTCTCAAAGTCCTTTACTGCAAGCAGAGTGACAACGGCCTGTACACCTGCAATGCCTCCAACATGGCCGGGCAGACTTACAGCGCTGTGCTGGTGATTGTTAAAGGTACGCTAAGTTAGTTCCTTTGATTTCAATGGCTATGTTTCTATAGCCATTTGTATATGTTAGAAAGCCTGTTTATCTATAGTTTTATACTGCTGCAGTAGTCCTACATGCAGGTTTAAAGATTTGCTTTCAGTTAGTTAAAGATGCAGGATTGAAAACAATGACTGACCAGGCAAAATGACATTACTCAGCCAATGCAGCTAATTTAGATTTTTTAAAAAAGTAATTCTTCAGGCTTTTTTTTTTTTGCTTCTGGCAGTTATGCATTGCTTTCTGTTGTCCAAGGAAAATATTATTGAAAAAGAGGAAATATTATTGAAAAAGGGAAAATATATATTTTTGATAATTTCCTGTTTTAATTCTGATTACCATTTATTTGAAAAGCATCCTTGATGATCTGCGTGAAGTGGACCAGATAATACACAACACTACAAAAGTACTGCCAACCTCTCATTAAACTGCAGAGCTAAGCATGTAAACATATTGTAACTATGATAGGAACCAGGATCTATGCTTAAAAAAACTCAAAATAGGGCAAAAATAGTCATTTCTGATTGTCATGGAGAAAGGACACTAATCCATGCTGTGGAGTGTGGTACCAGATACTAGTTGATATTCTAGAGCTAGTTTGTTTCACAGAGAATAAGACAACCGAATACTTGGCAGGATACATGGTGTCACAGATATTTTAGAAGAAAATCTGGATACCTATAGCAAGAACTTAAATCTGATTTGTCTCTCAGTTGTCACTGAATTTTCTAAAAGGATAATCATTAGACCGCTACAAAATGTGCTCCTGTAGGAACTCCCTTGGCAAACTTGAGAGCTCTGGGCATTCTCCATTGCCTGAATGGGTTGCAGGTTGGACCTGGGTGTGTTTAAGAAATTATACTGCTACTGCATCCAAAACCACATATTACTATACTATGTGTACACTGTACTAATGAACACCCTACTGTTGATGGTGTACTATTTTGAGATCCTATTTAGTATTTGTTTAGTATTTAGTATTATGTGTTTTGGATGTGGTCCGCATTTCATATACATGCTTTAGAAACCATACATGTTTTTGTCATTTATAAAAACTATTCCTTAGATTTTTAAAATCTAATTCAGAATGTATGGAACGGTGTTCTGGTGCTTTCCACTACTGTACTGACTAGTGTGTTATTATGCCTGGTGGGACAATTAATACATTGCCTATATTTTGGTAGTTTGTGATTAAATTTTGCTCTGTTAAAATCTCCAAGTAACTTATTATAAAGAGAGTGTCTGTAAATGTTTGTTCCGGGCCAGTTATCTGGTGGTGCCAGGGTTTGCAGTGCATCATTCAGGCTGGCTTGAGATGTAAACACTAACCAGGATAAATGAAGCCTATAAATTTAGGCTGCAGTATTTATTCAGCATTGTGATGTCTGTACACCACCTTTCGTTAATATTGAAGCAAATTCCGCAGACTTTCGCTTTCCCTGAAGGCTCCATTATGCGACCCGCTCTGTGTAGAGGAAATGTGATCAACTGTCGGGGATGGATTAGCTGGGCTAGGTGTTTGTCTCGTTGAGGAGGAGAAATCATCTTTTTTATTGTGCAAGAAGCAGAGATTCATCAGATAAACTGATGGGAGTGTAGTTTGAAAACCTACTGATGGCCACTGATCTCCAACAAACTTCCTGGGTTTGTTAAAACTGGTGAAAAACTATCTGGAGTAAACTCCCTTATGATAAGCAGTTTGTCCCTTGTGTAACTAATCAGGACTGAGTAACCCAACACACAGAAACTAGAACGTCCTAGAGAACGCTGAGCCGAGGCTGCCACTCACAGTGCCATCTTGCTAAGTGCATAAATTACTCTTATCAACAGTTATAAATTTAGCTCTCCAACTCTGAACAGTATTTAACAATTGTATTTGCAAAGCAGGCCCATCCTTTAAGCACAGTCTATAAATTGTTGCTAATTTATAGAAATTACAAACCTCAGTTCCAAAAAAAGTGAAATGCTAATTAAGCATTTCACAGAAAGCAGTGATTAGTAAACTCTGTTTGACCTGTACTAAATTAAAAACGGTACAAAACATAAAACTTGATGTTTTACCCTTATGAACTTATTTTTTTGTAAATACACAGTCCTTCTAAATGTGATACCTGCAACACCTTACAAAAATGTTGGTACCATTGTGTGACATCTGCTTTCTCTTTAACAACACCTAAAAATCGTTGACATGAGTTGATCCAGTTTGAAAGTGCAATTTTTTGCTGTTCTTTTGTTTTACAAGTCTTAAGCTGTGCAACCACATGTTTTCAGTGTGTGACAGGTCTGGACGGATTATGCAGCCAAGCTGTTGCAATACATGCGCAGTGTAGCTTGGTGCAGAGATTTCTCCAGATTCCCTGATTCCCAGATATTATATGGAATGTGAAACACCTAAAATCCTTGCAAACGCTTGTTGAGAAACGTTGTTCTTTAACTGCTGGATTCTTCGCTGATGCATTTACTGGTTGTAAGCCTCGACCCATTCTTGCTCATAAAGGAACCTTTCCTGGATACTCCTAGGCTGTTCTTGGATACTCATTTTATACTTTGTACAAGCATGATTGCATCATTTGTTTTTAGAAGTTTTTGAACAGCTCACAATGTTCAAAGTCTTAAAGTCTTCCCAACTCTTTTGGAATGTGTTGCAGGTATCAATTTCAGAATGAGTGTATTTTTACAAAAACAGTGAAATTGATAAAACATTAAATATTTTGTTTTTGTATTGTTTTTGTTTGGACACAGGTCATAGTGGATTTACAAGTCACAGTTTTCTGTTTTTATTTGCATTTTACACACTACACATGCTATACTATATTTGAGAATTGAGATATGCATGGATTAATGGTTAACATCCTCTTTGCAAGTACAGCCTCAACTACAAAATTTTACATTGCTCTAGGTGTTATGTATAACCTCATTGATTTGCAATGGTTTGCTGTCACTAGAGCGTTACCATATCTGCTATTCATCTTTGCAGCTTTCCCAGAGATGATTAAGTACATCTTCCAGCATAGTCCACACATGGTATTATGCATTGTTCTTAAAGTTTGTATCACATTGCAAACTATTTTTTATTTAGGATGATCAGTAGTGAACTGCTGTCAGATGCTACTGCATGGGTGACTGTCCCAGTAAACATTCAAAAGTTTTTCATGACTCCAGATGGTTATGCTAATACATCAGTGACTAACTGACAGCTGTCAAGCAGGATCAAGTGAACAGATGGATTGATAATGGTGCTATTAAGCATTTAGGGTCCTGTTTGTTTAATAGCCAGTGATAATAGTTGTGCTGCACATGCTAGCAGTTTCAGTTTGTTAAGCTCAAATATGATGCAGTAAGCACATTGAGTAAAGGTCACAGAAACTCACTCCTCAAGTGAATGCCAGCCAGAAGGCCCAGGCACCAGGGGGTCTGTCTGTAAGGACACAGCAGCAGTGCAGAAGTGATAACATTTCAGTTTATTCCAGAGTGTAAATGAAGCCTTGCTTATGAACATGGGGATCATAACCACTGTTTCAAATTGCAAATGTTTTGTAAACTTCTGGAAGTAATATCAGCTCATTTACATGTGGCTAAATGTAACATTTAGACCTTGTGATTATTGCCAGAAATAACAAAAGCATAATATAATTCAAATTATTATAGAATTCAATTATTTATCCTTCCTATACTATCCTACTTATACTTCCTTTTTTTGTTTTATTATGATTTTATAGTGCTTTGAATTTGATGAAAGTTATTGTTGTGCATAATCTTGTTAAATGGAAAGAAAATACCTCCTTTGCATTGTTGCCACATTTTGTCATTTCTTGACTGAAACACACATAAAATAGAAGAGCACTCACTCCAGAATGTAAATCTAATGTAAATGTGATTCGTTGCATGACTTACCATGTAAGTGAATATGTCACTGCATAATTCCATTCAAATTGTGTTAAAGATCAGTGGGTTTTTTGGTCACGCCAGAGTTGATTTTTGGTCAATTTAAAGTTAAAACAAAGTGAAACTCAGAAACTAAGAAAGTAAGAAATCAATTAATAGCAAATAGTAAGCTCAGGCTTGCCCCCAGATGTATGTTGTGTTGTATGTTGTCTTTTTTTTGATCATTTTATTTTATCAAATTGTAATTTCATGCAATACAAAGGCAAATGTGTTTTGTTTTTTGTTATTCTAGAGCCGAAGGTGCCGTTTAAGAGAAAGCTGCAGGATGTGGAGGTGAAGGAAAAAGAGACTGCCATGTTGCATTGTGAGGTGCCAGTGTCGACAACACAGGCCAGTTGGTTCATGGAGGAGACTCGCCTGGAACAGAATGCAAAGTACCGCATGGACGAGGAGGGCACACTCCGTCGCCTCACCATTCACAATGTCACAACCAATGATGATGCTGTCTACATCTGTGAAATGAAGGAAGGAAGCCGCACTGTGGCCGAGCTCACTGTTCTGGGTACATTGCCAAGAGGAGACTGTTTGATGTGCGCTGTCTTAAATCTGTTTGTGGTGTGCTGATGTTTTCTTTTTTCTCACTCCTTTTCTGATAGAGACATTAGCTCAGTGACAGGCTTTTATGATGGTTATATTTCATCAGAAAACTAAGCTCTGATCTGTTATAAAATAAAATATAAGTCTGTTTACCTGCTAGAGCACACCTTACATAGAACAAGACCATTTGCTGTAATTCAGTATAAAATTTACAGTGTTTATGTCCCCTGACAGGCAACATCACCAAGAAGCTGCCTAGGCGAACAGTTGTGCCAGTGAGTGATACAGTCATCTTCTGTGTGGAGCTTGAGCATCCTGTGGATGATGCTTACTGGACCAGGAATGGAGAGAAGCTGAAAGAGGATTCCAGAGTCACCATTGCCCGCACACACAAGCAATACACTCTCACTATCCGTGACTGCACTGCAGAGGACTCAGGCGAGGTGGCTTTTATTGCCGGAGACTGCAAGACCTCCACTCGATTCTCTGTTACTGGTAAAACCAAAGCTGCAAAATATAATTTGTCATCTAAATTATCATTTATCATCTAATGTAAAGAAACTATTTATGGTAACACTTTATTTGGCGTAGCCCTCTGTAGATGATTAATAAACTCATAACAGACTATCAGTAACACATCAACAACATATCAATGAAGTAGCAGTAGTGAAGCATCTGAATACACTAAAGTAAAGATCTTGTAGTTGTACTGTTGATACATTACTTATATCAAGTAGATGTATTGTTAACATGGTACTTCCATTATGCAAAACCTAACCTTATCCAAACTTACCCAAAACCTAACCCTAACCTTGGCCATAATCCTAACCCTTACCTGAATCTCAACCCAAAACCTAATCCTAACCCTCATATGTTTTGTCGTTACTGAGAGTCCACTGAGTGTTTGTTTTGTCTAAAAAGGACCACTCAAAAAAGTGTATTTATTTATTTTTTATAGCACCAGATTAGTAAAAGGAATAAAGCTGAGCTTCATTTTCTTTGTCATATAACAAATTATGCAGTTTAAAAAACAAACAAAGAACAGCCTATATTTAAAAAAAAACATAACTTTTGTGTATTAATTTACCAGGTCCAATCAGTTGTCTGCTCTGCACAATAATGAGTTTTTATGAGCAAAATATGGTCACCGATTCAAACATTTTGTGAAGTTCACATTGTCCTGCTAAAGCTATTCAAGAGTTTCACTTGAATCATTTCTTTGAATCATTTGGATGTTACTAAGCAAAGGAGAAATCCTTACATGTTTGCCAACAGGTCTGTTTTTTTATTCTTTGCCATTTGCTGCTACACCCAATGTGTAAACAATGGCTTATGGTTTGGTGTTTTTATTCATAAATGGCCTCTTTAATAGTAACTCATACAGAACATACTGTGTGCATTATGAGTTGCTAGTCCACTATGTACTATAAGTAAGTAATGTAAGTAAGTGCTCAATTTGAGACTCACGGCAAGATTCCAAACTAATTTTTAGGGGTATTTTACTAGTCAAAAGGTGGTTAATTAACAAGTCGATTACTTGTGCCCATCCTGGTTTCACACTTGAGATTTTTTTTTTTAAATGTGCCTTCACAGTCATATTTGTGCAAATGAAAATTATTGGACTCCTTGATAATTATTACAGGCTTCTGTGTGTGTTCATATATCAGTAATTTTTGCCAACATTTTATGAGTATAAGTGCAAAAACTAGCAATTTACTTGTATGTAGCTAACTGACATTTTAACAATGCATGAATGAAGGAGGAGTAAATGCAGTGTCTGGGTGATATTTTCAGCTCTTTGCTACTTGGTATAATTCTATAATGGATTTTTGGTCTGTGACCTCAGCCTTGTCACTTACATCATTATTTTAATCTCTCTCAGCACCAAGGAAATATCCCCCTGATCCCCCAGTCAACCCAGTCGTTTGCAACAAGACTGACACGTCTATTAGTTTGAGTTGGTCGCGACCAGACAGTGAGCGGCCAGTGCCCATCAATGGCTATGTTGTGGAGAAGAGGAAAGTTGGGGCTCAGACTTGGGTTAAAGTCACAGGCACGGAAATTTTGTGTAGCGGTGAATTTACTATCAGCAATATCGCTGAGGAAGGCAGCTACCAGTTCCGCATTTCAGCTGTCAATGATTATGGTCAAAGTGCCTTTCTAGAGGTCCCTGGAACATTCTACCTTGGTAAGTGGACTTTATATTTACAACCTAAACAATGTGTTTGTCAGTTAGAAATGAAAAAAACAGGCAGCTTTATGCCAGGGATCTTTTTTGAATACATCACTGTAAAACTGCTACATACAGGGTAAAATATATGTTAGTATAGGTTAGATGTCTATATAAGTAAGAAATGTCTTGAAATAAAACATATGGAATGTCTTTTGTAAGCTTGAAATGCCTGTGTTTAATCTAGAACTGCAAAAAAATATTCATGTGCATCAGCATTAGCTTCATACTAATATACAATTTTGTTACATTTGTGGCCTGGAATGGCATCACTCTTAAAGTCACAGTTTTGTCACAGTTAATTCCTGTTTGTGGTTTGCGTTGTTTTTTGTCTTCATTCAGAGCCCACAGCATCAGTAAAGAGCGGCCTGCAAAACTGCAGCGTTTCCTCTGGTGAGGAGGCCAGCTTTACTGTGGAGCTCTCTGCAGTGTGCTCTGGTCTTTGGACCCTGAAAGGCCAAATAATACGCAGTGGAGTTGACTACCTTGTCACTCGCACGAAGACCATTCACACACTAGTAATACGGGAGGTCACAACAGCAATGGATGGAGCCCAGGTCAAATTTGTGGGTGGAGGATCAGAGAGTGTGTGCACTCTCAGTGTAAAATGTAAGACAAAATTGATTATGTTGGGGATGGTACTCTGGAGGTCTCATGATATCTCTTTCTGTAATGGCATACAGTTATATGCGAAAGTTTGGGTGTCCCCGATCAAATTACATTTTTTGTTGATTTTGTAAGTAAAAATAAGTACACAGCCTCCAGAGAGAACACATTTCTGCACAGTTTAATGCAAACTTACTGCTGAACATTTTATATAAATAGAAAAATAGAAATAGAAAATCTACACTAATACTTTCAGAAGTTTAGTTTCTGTAGAGCATATTATTTTTGCTTAAAATATATACAAACTTTTGCATACAGCTGTAGAAAAGAATTAAAAGGAGGATAAAGCACTTTTTATGAAAACAAAGCACTATTTTTGTAAACAATGTTGCCTCACCTTTCGAACCTGAATCTGTGGAAATAGCAAGTGTGCAAATGTATAGGGACTGGGGTAGCTTGTTTACCCTTTCCATTAACATGTGTATCATGTCCTGATTGTATCTTTATATACTTTGGCTGGATTCCCTTTATACTTCCCACTAAAATGTGTCCCTGGCGTGACCAGATGAGATCCGTTTTAACGTTCCTGCATAAAAAAGCAGAACTACACATACATTATTTACATCCCAGGTGGCTGATCATGAACCTGCTTGAAAGTATGCTTGAATAAGTGTGTAAATCTCCATTAAGGCAATGGGTAGTAAATAGTTCCATATGTGTTATTTCAGTTTTGATGATTTCACTATTATTCTAAATTTTAGAAAACAGTGAAAATGAGGAAGGTCCTTTGTTTAGTAGATGTGTCCATAAAGTACATAAAGGCAACTAGAGGAACTGTTTTTACTAACCGTTTTAAAGTTAGTAAAACCAGGATAGAAAGGTTTTTTATTTTAACATTGAATGAAATTCAATGAAATTAGCCCAAGTTAGAGCTTTTCGGACATAAAATGAGCACTTACTTCACTGAATAATTTTATGATCATTTAAAATTGATTCTAACATTCCAAAATTAATGCAGCTGAGTAACTACTTTCATCATGCGTGCAACAAGGGCATTTTGCACCATTAGTAGGGACACGTATTACAATTTTGCTTATGTACATTGTTTCACAATTTATAGAGTAATTTTTTTATGAATCTCATAAATACAATACATGCATATATTAGAGTCTTACACCCTATCCATGAATAAAAAATTTTATACCGTTTCAGCTGCTCCTGCTCGTTTCACTAAGAAATATTCTGATGCAGAGGTATTCACATTCAGTGCCCATTCCTCTGCCCAGCTGCACACAGAGGTGTCAGATGCCTGCATTCAGGTGAGAAGTGATTATTTTGTTTTATTAATGAAATGTAACATCTTACAAAATGAGTAAGATGGCTTGTGCAGTTTTTCTTTTTTACATAGCTTATGTAAATGGCTGCTGGTATTCTTAAAACAAACAAAAAATCCCACAATAATAACAACTGAAAAAAATTATGATATGATATACATGAACTTGTATAAGAAGACTAATCAGATGGGTCCAGTCTTATGTGTATGTGTATAGCCCTCATATCATGTTTAAATGTTTTTGTGATCTAATAATATCTAATAGCTTTCTCATACTCTAGTTCCAGTTAATAGGACAAATGAACATCCTAAGAATGCTTGATTCAGTACAGTTCGAGACAGAGTCTTCCAGCGCTTCTTGCAGAAAACTTTTTATCCAGATCAAAGGATGCGTCTACAAGATGTTAAACAGATAAAACACTCTGCTTTTTATAGTTATATCTAGGGGAGTTGTACAGTAAAAAGAGTCTCTTCCCTTTTTCACACCCTGTTTTCTTTGATATTTAAGTTCATTGCTTTTAGAAGTAGGCTGTTAAAAGCCTGTGGATGACAAGTGTCTGAGATCACATAAACCATGCAGACAATATAGAAACTATTACCTGTGTAGAACTCACATACTTTGTCTTTTCTGCCCACATGGGCTGTGTAAAACCAGTCCTACAAGAATAAAAATATAAAACTAATGATTTAAGTATATGTCTCTTAGTTAGTCTGCATGAGACATAAAAATCGTTTTTCAGTTATACTATTTTTAATTATAATAATAAAAAAGAAAACTAGAGAGTGAGTTATCTTTTTTTTTTTTTACCCCCAATCTGATCCATATATTTGGTATACTTTTTTAAAAATTACCATTTCATACAGTGTTTAATATTGGATTATGATCTAGTTTAATTAAACAACGATTTGGCTCCGTGCTTCTTTAAAATTTTGCTGTAAAATCAATTACATACATTCTGAACTAATCTTTTTACCCATTTTTTCATAGTGTCATGAATATATTTCAGTTTCACATTGCTCTAACACAAGTGTAGAAGCCTGCTTTTTTCTCTCCCTGTTTCTGCTAATGCCAGTTTAAAAGCAGAAGTGGCACAGTTACCAGTAAAGCAGAATGTTTTGCAGAGATTTTTCATTTTTAACCAGTCGTGACTCATGAGTGAAAAAGGAATAAAGGAGGTGTATTTTGTTCATGCTTCAGAAAAAATTACTCGCATGATCACAGTTTATTATTCCCCTATTTTAAAGAAAGGTGGTGAGCTTATATACAGTGGATACTCTGGCATTGTAGATATTAGAAGGTTTCATTTTCATCTTTCATCTTCCACACTATAGATATTGAGATCAAAATGTTCATTTCAGAAAGATGTAGGTTGCAGAAAGTGCCAGTTTATGATGCCTCTGCAATAGTGCTGCAAATAGAACACAAAGAAAAAAACAAAGTATTGGAAGGGAATTGGACTTTATACAGCTTATACCTGAGCCTTTAAAATATTCCAGGATTGACTCCAGTCTTGATCCACTGGTCGGATTTGGGACATTCTTAATATTTTTTTGGATTTTTTGGGTTTTTAATAAAATAAAATGCATTTGAACCTATTTGCTTTTAGTACATAATATATGCAAATTACAAATATCCTTCAATCCATGAGTTTTCAGCACTAACCAGTGTACCGTATGTGTTGCTGTTAGGTCACCTGGATGAGAAATGGCAAGGAACTAAGAATGGGCAAGAAGTATGAGGCTTCGAGTGTGGATTGTAGACGCACCCTGACCATTCATAATGTGACTGATGATGAAGCAGGCATTTATGAGTGTGTGTGCGATGGTGATAGGATGTCCATCCACCTTGCTGTAAAAGGTAATTTGTGCTTTCATCAGCACTGAGACAGACAAAACACTGGTCTTTATTATGAGTATGGAAAGAAGAATGTAATGAGACTTTTATTTCAGAAATTAACATTGTGCTGTCAATAAACTATAAAAACGATAAAATGATAATGGTAAAATAGTGGTATATTTGAAAAAATACATTTTATGCCACAATCTTAAAAATACATAAAAAAACAGTCTTAAAAATACAGTAAAACAGTGGCATCACGTAATCTGATTTCACAGCACTGCTCTGACGTGTTTGAAAAATGTGTGCAACTAAAGGGATGTGTTTAAAACTACTAATATGACAAATGACACATGAATTTACAATAAATTTAGCTGCCATTAAAAAGATTCATTTATTGGATCAATTTATTGGATTTATTGGATATCAAATTTATTTGATAATTTAACAATTTATTGCCAAAATTCAAAATTTAAAGGCAGATAGCACTTTTAGCATGGTTGTTTGTTAAGACCCCCTTTTTGCTTTAACAGAGGAGTCAGCTAAGTTTATTACCAAGCCCAGGACTGAACCCCAGGAGGCTTCTCCTTTGATGGGTGATGTGGTGCTCAGCTGTGAGGTGGCATCTCCTAGAACTACTGTTGTGTGGAAGAAAGAGCAAAAAGAAATTGTGGAAGACAAGAGAACAACCTTTGTGTCCCAAGGGACGCAGAGAAAACTGGTTATCAAAGGAGCTAAACAGAGCGATGAAGGACGCTATTCATGTGAGACGGCAGAGGACAAGATCACATTCCAGGTCAAAATAAAAGGTAAAAGTGGCACTAATTGGTCTGAAAATAAAAACAGAATAGTACTAATTTGACATGTCAAAACACAGCAGGCCCATATATGGAATTATGCAAAGTCTAATAAAATTTTAAAATTAACATGCAGTGTACACTGATGGTTCAGTCATATCAAAAAATAAAGAGCATAAAGAACTCAATTATGTTGGTCAGACTGCATTTCTATGTTCATGACTAATGCCTAATCCTCCTTATTTGAATTGTATTTTTAGAAATTCACTGTTTTGGATTAACTATTTCATGATCCTCACTAATACTTATGAGCATCCTGAAGTTGTTAAATGATTTTTCCTCTAGAAACTCGAACCACCTTTATCAACAAGGACTCCTATCAGAGAGAGGTGAAAGTCTCTACCTCCCAGGAAGCTACACTGAGCTGTGAAGTGTCTGACTCCAAAACTGAGGTGAAATGGTATAAAGATGGCAAACATCTGCGCTCCAGTAAGACTCTTAGTATGGAGGCAAAAGGTAAAATTCGTCAGTTGGTGTTGCGCAATGTGGAAAAGACAGATGCTGGAGAGTACACCTGTGAAGTTGGAAATGAGAAGCTGTTCTTTAAAATTCAGGTTGCAGGTATGTAGTCATTTGTTTATCTCTGAACTTCAACAAAGAGTCAGTTATTTATTTTATACATAATATATATGTACAGTTGCTGCCCCAGTGAACTTGTGTTTTGTTGGTTTTCTAAGTAAAAATATATACATATTCTCTACAGAGAATACACTTCTGCACATTTCAGTGCGTGAATACTGTTTATTCCTGAGCTTAACATGTTGGCAAAAAAAATGTGACCTGCAATAGTTACTGCACATTTTACATTTTATTATATATTTTTTTAATATGTTAAACAACTTGGCTTTGCAGAAAAATGCCATATTTAATTTTGTTCCTTGTAGATGATGTCATTTAGAAAAACAACATAATAGATCATTTGACCAGGAACTGTATGCATTTTGGCCACAAATTTAAAACACCAAACTCCACAGAAATAGCTTTTGTCTGTATTATAATTCGTTTGTAGGGTTCACTATTTGTTTGTTTACAAATACTGACTAAAACTTTACCTGACTAACTTTTAACTTTCCTCATTGCTTAACAACTGCCCCATCAGACACTCAAGCTGCATTCATCAACAAGGACTCCTATCAGAGAGAAGTAAATGTGTCTGCCTCTCAGAAAGCCACCCTTAGCTGTGAAGTGCCTGACATGAAGACTGAGGTGAAATGGTACAAGGATGGTAAGCAGCTAAGCTCCAGCAGGACAGTCCACATGGAGGCAAAGGGCAAGAGCCGTCAGCTAGTATTGGACAGTATTGAGAAGAAAGATGCAGGAGAGTACATCTGTGAAGCCGGGAATGAGAGGCTAGTATTTAGTGTTCAAGTATCAGGTATGGAAGATTATTTTATAGATAATTGTTTATTTAAATTTGAACTTTATGGAAAGAAGAATAGGCTGTTTGCAAATGATGTCACTGCAATGCTTTGGCACGAACTGCAGATGGAGGGCAGGAAGTGATTTTCTGCATAGGAATCACTACCATAAGCTCTCAAAATGCCTATGGTTTGCATCATTTATGGTTGCTCAAGTCGATCTAACAGAGAAACCACAATGAACTTTTATTGAATACCAAATGTTGTTTTATAAGGAAGACAAATGCAAAAAATAAAAAAAAAACACTGGCAAAAATGTCTTGTGAACCTTCATTTGTGGTCGGGAGAAGCAGAGTATTGTATTTTGAACAGTTGATCTTCGGGTGTGCACTGGTGAAAGGTTTAAAACAATAATTACAAGTAATGCCAAAAATGTTCCAAAGCTGATGTGTTTTGTCTTATGATTTTTTTTCTCTCGAATATCACTAGATCCTCTTAATTACAAGGTCATTAAAGAGTTGAAATTTGAATAGTGCTATGTGTAAGCTAATGCTACTGTGCACTGAACTGATGTCATTAGACACAAGGCAGCCACCTTAAAAAATGTGCAAACCAGCACGCTTTGCCAGTGTGGTAGTGTATTTCCATGTGCAGAATTAGGGGAGATAAAAAGAAGTCAGAAGAAAAGAAACATGTTTTTCCTGTTAAGTTGCAAAGCAATTCCGATAGAGCTTTCCCTTTTATTTATAGCTTGCTTTGAAAAGCTCTACAAACTTACCTGCACTTAGGCTAATTCAGTACAGACTCAGCTTAATATTAGTACTTACCCCCCTGATAAGCTGATTTACGCTATCAAAAGTATCTTTACTATTTTTTTAATGCTGGTAACTTTCTGATCTTTGCCAGCTTCTTCTTCAAATTTTTCCATTCCACCCTACATGGTGCAGCAGTGACATTCTGGTGCCTGAGATGCTATAATAACTGCTACACCATTTAAGGTGAAACTGGAAAATTCGAAAAAGCAGCTGGTGGAAAAAGTAGCTGCCTTCAGCTTCATCGAGAGTTGAAAGGCATGAGCAGGTTGCTCCGTTTCTGCTTGACAGATGGGTTTACATTAACTTATTTTTGCTGTTTCACAGAACCAACAGGTCAATATTGTTTTGTACCATTTGGTAATGTTTCTGATAGCTAATCACAACTGCTGCACCACTTAGGGTGGAATGGGAAAAATTTGAAGAAGAAGCTGGAGGAAAAAAAGCTGAATTCAGCCTTGATAGCCTTTTGATAAGATAACACAACTCAACAGAACACCGCTATATCCCGCCCTGCTTCCGCGTAGCTTAGTGACATGAAATTGATGCACAGTAGCTTTAGCTTGCATGAAGCAATATTAGTATTATGACTCTTAAATGACGTAGTAATTCAGAGGATCCAGTGACATTTGGGAGAAAAATGTACACAGGACAAAACGTATGTGGTTCTGAAAATTTTAATTTACCACGGTGCGACAGAGGTAGGAAGATGCTAGCATTATTGCTACTGAGTGCGGATTGGTTGGTGAGTGGGGCAACTCATTGTCCGCGCTCACTGACGTCGTGAACGTACACGAGGTGCATTTAGCGTACATTTAGCTCCTATAACTCGAGTCCAAAAGCATTTTTTAAAAAATATAACAGCGTTGTTAAAATGTTTCATGCTGTTCTATACTCAGGGAATAAATGTATTCTTTTATATTAAAACGTTTAAGCTTTTAAAAACTGTGATTTTGCACAAATGCTCCATCTTAAGTCATTCATTTTAGACTTGCTTGGGAGCTCCCTCTAGCGTTTGAGAAATCCGGAAGACATTACAGAGTGGTAATGCTCTTCTCTACAAGTTCTCTGCCTCCATCTCATCCATTCTGCTCGTCACTTCCTGCCATCCATCTGGATTTTGCGCATCATCGTAATCACGTGACCTATTATTTTCATGGTAATGTTCAGTTGTATGACTGTTATAGTCATTGGTCTTATACAAAAGTTTGCCATTGTATGTTTTGTTGTTTTATTAAGTGGACATAAGTACACATCTTCTACAGAGAATACACTTATATGCAAATGGAATTTTCAAAATTTATGGCAGTCTTTTTTTGTTTTATTTTTTTCCAGTATGTTAAACACTGCAAATAAATAGAATTGTGCACTAAATTTAGCAGAAAAATGATACGTTTACTTTTTTCCCCCCTAGAGGATGTATTTTTACTTAGAGCAATTTGATCAGGAGTGTTCAAACTTTCGCATATGGCTGTACATTGACAAGTCAAATTTAATTTTTTTGAGAGATTTTTTTAACTTGAAGTAAGAACTGGTGAATTTGGGCCGTTTAGTGTTGCATGGCTTGTCAGTTATGCCAATTAGAAGCCTTAATTCACTGGTTTTTGACTGTGTTCTATAATTGTTTGTTTGCAACTACTGAGGAAAATTAATTATCATTAAATATCCACTGCTTAACAATTATTTCATCAGACACTCAGGCTGCTTTCATCAACAAAGACTCCTACCAGAGGGAGGTGGAAGTTTCTGCCTCTCAGAAAGCTACACTGTGCTGTGAAGTGTCTGATGTGAAGACTGAGGTGAAATGGTATAAAGATAGCAAACAGCTGAGCTCCAACAGGACTGTTCACATGGAGGCAAAGGGCAAGAGCCGTCAGCTAATACTGGGCAGTGTGGAGAAGAAAGATGCTGGAGAGTACACCTGTGAGGTTGGGAATGAGAGGCTGATATTCAAGGTTCAAGTATCAGGTATGGAGGATCTCAGCAGTTGTTTGTCATTTGAACTTTATGGAAGTACTGTAGTCAGATTTTATCCACAAAATTAAAAATATTAAGCTCTATAGGAATGTTTTTTGTCATACAATAGATAAGTGCACTGTTTCTGTCACCTCCCACAAGTGAAACTAGTAGGTCAGCAGTCATGTATATTGCTAGTAAGTATATATATGGACAAAGTACATTTTTTGAACCTGAAGTAGCTGGTCTGCATTGACAATTAAATATGAAGTGACCATTCGTAAGCCATTTGTAAAAATGAATTAACTATTTTTCAGTGTTGATTATCTTTCGCCTGTATTTTTGCATATGCTTTTCTTTGACCATGTCACGGCTATGTTATAAATCCATGGAAGTGTTTGCTGTTTCTTTAGAACTGCTGTGGAACATGAATAATCAGTAAGTTTCCTCATTGCTCAATGACTCTCCATACAGAAACTCAGGCTGCATTCATCAACAAGGACTCCTATCAGAGAGAGGTGAAAGTCTCTGCCTCTCAGAAAGCTACACTAAGCTGTGAAGTGTCAGACATGAGAACTGAGGTGAAATGGCACAAAGATGGCAAGCCCTTGAGCTCCAGCGGGACCGTCCACATGGAAGCAAAGGGCAAGAGCCGTCAGCTGGTGTTGGACCATGTGGAGAAGAAAGATGCTGGAGAGTACACCTGTGAGGCTGGAAATGAGAAGCTGGTGTTTAAGATTCAGGTGGCAGGTAGGAAAAACGTAAAAAAAAAAAAAAATGTGTGTATATGCACCCTGTTTATACCCTGTTTTTCAGTGGTCAGGAACCCCATGGACCCTCACAGGGCAGGTACTATTTGGGTGGTGGATCATTCTCAGCACTGCAGTAACACTGACGTGGTCTGAGTGGATTAGACATTGCAGTGCTGCTGGAGTTTTTAAACACCTCAGTGTTGCTGCTGGATTGAGAATAGTCCACCAACCAAAAATATCCAGCCAACAGCGTTCTGTGGGCAGCGTCCTGTAACTGATGAAGGACTAGAGGATGACCAACACAAACTGTGCAGCAGCAGATGAGCTATCATCTCTGACTTTACATCTACAAGGTGGACTGAAAAGGTAGGAGTGTCTAATAGAGTGGACAGTGAGTGGACACAGTGTTTAACTCCAGCAGCACTGCTGTGTCTGATCCACTCGTACCAGCACAACACACACTAACACACCACCACCAGGTCAGTGTTACTGCAGTGCTGAGAATGATCCACCACCCAAATAGTACCTGCTCTGTGAGGGTCCATGGGGATCCAGACCATTGAAGAACAGGGTAAAAGGGGGATAACAAAGTATGCAGAGAAACAGATGGACTACAGTCTGTAATTGTAGAACTACAAAGTGCAAGTGGAGCTGATAAAATGGACAATGAGCGTGGAAACAAGGAGGTCATAATGTTATGCCTGATCTATATATATATGGGGCACAGACGGTTGATAGCATATTGCACACAATCTCACAGGCCTTCCCAATGTGTTTTACAACCTTCAAATGCCTATTTTAAAGCTAGAGCTACCATATGTAGTTTTCAACCTAGTGAGAGGAAATGAATATACATTACTTCTGCCATGCATTAGTTTTTCCAGCTAAAAAACAAGAACTTTCTGTGTAAAATGTGTTTGAGCGGTGAAGATGTTAAAATGTGCAAGGCAGAGATATTCCTGGACCAGGGTTAGGAACCATGGCTTAATGGGATCAGTTCTTAGGAGTAAACAGCTGCTTTATTACATAAAAATCTGCACTGAATAATTTGTCTTGCAAAAGACATGATACACTTTCTTGTTTTTCGTGAGATTTTGTGACTGTGAATAAGAAAGAAAAGGTTCATGGATTAGTCATCAACTAATAAATAACATTTCCATGCAACACCGTCAGACACCCAGGCTGCTTTCATCAACAAAGACTCCTATCAGAGAGAGGTGAAAGTCTCTGCTTCTCAGAAAGCTACCCTAAACTGTGAAGTATCTGACATGAAAACTGAGGTGAAATGGTATAAAGATGGAAAGCAGCTGAGTTCCAGCAGAACTGTCCACATGGAGGCAAAGGGCAAGAGCCGTCAGCTGGTCTTGAACAGTGTGGAGAAAAAAGATGCTGGAGAGTACACCTGTGAGGCTGGAAATGAGAAGTTGGCCTTTAGGATTCTAGTTACAGGTATGACACATTTTAATGATTATATGGTCTTTTGCATCTGGTTGGCATGGTGCACAAAATGAAAATGTCAAAAATATCATATGAAATCCTACATCTTCTTTGAGATGTCAAAAACTGAGCCTATAGCCACTGTAGTTATGTTACATTCTGTGCACATGTATCTGCTTTTGATTGTGATTCAAATTTGCCATGGTCAAATTTGAATTCACATGGGCATTGAATTCACATGATTTTTATAGAATATATTACTCAATTATTTCTTGCTGCTGATGTAACATATTTCAATCATATGGAAATTATGTAGACATGAATCATATAAATTCAGTGCCTCTCTTTTTTAGTGTATAAAACATGCCTTGAATTGGCCCCTTCAATCTTGTTTCAATTTTGTAGTTATTATTATTATTTTTTTTTGTTTGTTTCATACCTTCTCCTTTTTAATACTTCCTGTCTCTACAATGTAAATCAATTAGTAAAAGCAGCATGCCGATGATGAATCTAGATGTTTTATAATTGTCTCTTTAGAAAGTCAAGCAGCTTTCATCAACAAAGATTCCTATCAGAGGGAGGTGAAAGTTTTTGCCTCTCAGAAAGCTACGCTGAGCTGCGAAGTATCTGACATAAAGACTGAGGTAAAATGGTATAAAGATGGAAAGCAGCTGACTTCCGGCAGAACTGTCCACATGGAGGCAAAGGGCAAGAGCCGTCAGCTGGTGTTAGATAGTGTGGAGAAGAAAGATGCTGGAGAGTACACCTGTGAGGCTGGAAATGAAAAGCAGATGTTTAAGATTCAGGTGGCAGGTAAGTTTTTGTTTTTTTTGCAATATCTCTGTGAACTGGTTAGTAACTAATGCAGCTCTAGACCATTATACAGTATGTGTAGCTACATAAAAGTTGTGGTTTCATTGTTCCTGTAATGAGCTATTGGAACTGATAATCAAAGGTTGTTTTTCTTCATACTCAAATGACAGCCTATCATGTTAATTGTTAGCTTTGATTTCTGAGTGTTTTTCTGTAACACATATTAATTCCAAAGTATTGGAGTTGTTTCCTGAAGTACTGAAATAGTTGGCATAACAGTCGTTTTGGTTACAGTTGCAATGACCAAACACTCAAAGCTGCTGATGTAAGTGTCCACCTTTAGTGGATACTAAACACTATAACTGCCTATGATCAGAGAAAAAGAAAAATCTGACTTCTGAAAAAAAAAAATCACTATGAAACAGTGCAGACAAATGTAAAAATTCAAAAAGTAATCTTGCTATATTAATTTTAATATTGATATTACATACAGTGTAAAACAATTCTTCAGTCACATTTGTATGTTCAGTGTATTTTTAAATAATTATGAATTGTACCAAAATAATCAAATCCAGGTATGGTTAAATTTAAGATTTGATGATGCATTGAATCATTTCTTGAGGAATCGTGTTCGTATTGTTGTAAAGACATAGTTCATGTATGTCCCTCTACATTCCTTCCCATTTTCTTTCTGTAGAAGTCTCGCCTGAATTCCAGAAGAAAACTGTTACTAAAGAAGCTATAGTGGTGCAAGAAACGGAGAAGATTATACTGACCACTGAGGTGACATCGGAAAATGCAATTGTTAGTTGGTTCAGGGATGGAGTACAGCTGAAAGAAGGCGATAGGTATGAAATGAAGACAGATGGTCTCTCTCGTGTTCTCATTGTTGAATCTTCTGAAGCAAAGGATAGTGGCACTTATATATGTCAAGTGGCTAATGACAATGTGGAATTCAAAGTTAATGTAAAAGGTAAGACAGACATGGCATATGCTAAAGTATACATGTAACCTTTTTTCATGGAGTCCTCCGTGATGACTTTTTTCCCTTCTGTACATGCCCACAGAGGCTCCTCTAAAGTTTGTGGTTAGGTTGGAGCCAGTATCTGTAGCTCTGAAGGGCACCATGACCTTGTCCTGCCAATTGAACAGAGCTGTAGGTGACATCCTCTGGAGACACAATGGCAAGGAAATCAAGCCTGGTGGAAGGTTTACCATTCGTGCTGATAGAGCACACCGCATAATGACCGTGTCTTCTGTAGTCCAGGAGGATGAAGGAGAATACAGCTGTGAATGCAAAGATGACAAGACCACTGCCATGGTCACCACTAAAGGTGAATTTTAAGCCAGTAACAGAATCACCACAATTTTATGAGTTTCAGTGTAATAAACAATAATTTTATTTTTAAAAATGTGTAATGATATAAATTTCATTGTAGTTATTTTACACAAAAACATAATTTTCATTTCTAAAGAATCACATCTGATTTTTTTTTTTCTTGTATTCTAAATGTGACAACTTTATTTGGTGTTATAGCGCCACGCTTGGTGAAGTTCATCTCCAAGTTGAACAACGTTGTTGCAAATGAAGGCAAGGATGCCATTTTTAAATGTTCTATCACCCCTGTGGATGTAAGCGTGAGATGGCTTTACAAAGGTGTGCCTGTAACTGCTGGGTCCAAGTTCAAGATTGCTCATGGAGGCACCAGCCATTCTCTCACTATAATTGCCGTCACACCCGAGGATGCAGGAGAGATCAGTGTGGATGCTGAGAGCAAAGTATCTACAGCAACTCTACAAGTGCAACGTAAGACATGCAAATATGACTAAGCTAATGTTAAAAGTAATTACTAAGCTGATGTTTAAAGTAATTGCTTACTAGGCCTATTACAAGCGTGAAATTTTACCTGACTATTATTTGCGAGATAAAATAATTGTGATTTATTTGTGTGTTTTTTTATGCATGTATTAAAGTACAAGCCTAAATGGGCTACATTGGCTGATTAGGTATCTTCCTACCTTAGTAACTCCCAACTGTGGAGGAACAAAGCTTAAGTAAACAAACATTACTCAACACTGCCCTCGAAATTCAGAATTAGAATGTTTGCTTTTTCAAATGAATCATGATGTCTCAGTAAATATGTTTTCTGCTGTCTTTTATTGACATGTATTTTTCTCAACCCAACTGATTGAAACAAAAATAATTGCAATCAGTTCAGATAACTGTGATCAGGCGAATATGTAATAATTATCACAGGCTTATAACTTATAACATATTTTGTTTGTGTGGCTTTACCTTAATATCTCAGTCAGGAGTCTGCAACTGACAGGTCAGTTTTTTGCACTACAGTAACAATGTTATAAGAGTACTACCACTGAAACTTTTTGCTTCACCCATTGCCTCAGAGCTCCCAGTTACCTTCAAGAAGAAACTTGAGAACATAACGGTTCAGGAACAAGACACAGTGCAGCTGGAAGTAGAATTGAGCAGGCCATCCAGTGAAGTGAGGTGGATAAGGAATGGTGTGGTGCTGCAGCCTGGAGGCAATCTGAAGATACAGACTGATGGTGCCAAACAAATGCTGATCTTCAAGAATGTGACCTACACTGACCGAGGCCTCTACTCCTGCGAGACCCTAGACGACAAGACTGAGGCCAAACTCACAGTAGAAAGTACGCCTTATTTTGGCATAAATATGTTTAAACTTGTTATTTATATTTTTAATAATAATATTTTTAACATTGTAAATATTCAAAAAAACTTAAAACCTAGGGGTCTTCAAGTCTTTAAAACACGCAGTTCAAAGACTTCTATTTTTATTAAAACTGTAATTCTATAGCTACAGTCGGTAGCCCTAACCACTTAGATACTTTCTGCCTTGTGTTTGTTGTTACACTCATTTTCAATGGCTCTCTCCAATTTTGACAAACAGTGAAGAAGATTCACGTGGTAAAAGGCTTGAAGGAGGTAAAAGCTCAAGAACAGGAGACAGTTACACTGGAGGTAGAACTTAACCAACCTGATGTGGAGGGTTCCTGGAGCAAGGATGGCCAAAAACTGAGAACAGGTCCCAAAGTCCTCATTACCACTCTGGGAAATAAACATTCATTAACCATGTCCCAGTTAAAGATGGAGGATGATGGCATCATCACTTTCCAGGCAGAAGGTGTCCATACTTCTGGAAAACTCATTGTGACTGGTATGTTTATGCTGAACCTGAAGAATCTCTTGATGTTCATTACAGATACTGGGGTCTACATTTCTGCTTCTTTTATTTTATATAGAACCTGCTGCAAAAATCCTCAAACCTCTAGAAGATGTTAAAATCCCAGAAAAGGAAAAAGTCATATTTGAGAGTGAAGTGTCCAGACCAAATGCTGACGTTAAGTGGTTTAAGGTATACAGAATTAATTTAACACCCTGAATTCTTTTCAAATACTGTGTCTAAAATATAATATTTGTCATGAAATGTGACATTTCTCAGGATGATGAGGAGCTGAAACCAGGGAAGAAATATGGAATGCATTCCCAGGGTCGCAAACGTAGCCTTATCATCCAGAAGTGTACTTATGAAGACCAAGGCTTGTACATATTGAAAACAACTGATGACAACACATCAGCAAAACTGACTGTCCATGGTACAAGAAATTAAAAATTTTACAAAATCTTAATCATAGTCTTATCTCATTTTTATTGACAACATTATGAACCTTTCAGGACATTTAAATTTATTCATCATTAATATGAATGAAAGAACATCATGTCAGGAAGCAGTGTGCCAGTTTTTTATCACGTTGTTTTCTGTGTCTGTGTGCTGTCTATTTTAGAACCAGCTTTAAGGTAACAATCTTATTTTTGGTTTTCCCACAGCCAGAGATATTAAGATCATAAAGAAGCTGCAGGACTTAGAGGTAACAGAGAAAGAAAGTGCAGTGTTTGTCTGTGAGGTGTCTCATGATGAGGTTGAGGGCCAGTGGTATAAAGATGAGGTCAAACTCAAACCTGGGGACAACATCAAGATGAGACAAGAAGGTGAGTCAAACTCAGAATCAGACAATATTTGCACATGACAAGCAATCTGTAATCAGTCAATATATTTTGTTTTATCTGTGTTACAATTTTATGACATCAATATTGTGAGCCAGCCAGATACACAAGAGCAGAAAGTACTTAGCTAATTGTACTTTGTAACTGTACTAAATATTATACTTACTATACATATTATTTTAGAAGATTTATACTTTGCTTCAGTTTGCAAGAGGGAAAAAAATTTTTACTCTTCACATTTTCATTTTGCCTCCATGGCCAGGAGATTTTTCCTTTTTTCTCTTGCCAGTTAGCTGAGCTCCTGTGCAATTGGATTTTTTTAATAAAGCATCGACTACAGTGCAAACTTTGCTGATTTGTCTTTGAGAGCAGAACACTGCCACCAATTAGTCACCACACCAAACACCACGTAACATAGAAAACTTTTAATTTATTTGTTGATTTGTTGCTTTTTTATTTGAATTTGTTAAATGTAGATACTTTTTACTTTCACTTAGATATATTTTTTGTTCCAATTGACAAAAACCTTTGATATGTGTATTATTCTTTTTGGTAAAATGCCATCATTCTTCACAGGAAGAACATTTATTCTACTTTTCAAATCTGTGAAGGCTGAAGATGCAGCTGAAATCAAGTTTGTGGCTGAGAAGTCCTCATCAGCTGCTAGGCTGATGGTCAAAGGTTGGTGTTTTAAAGTAGGCACATTGCCAGACTGTTGCATATAGTTCAATGTTCATTAAAACAAATAATCAAACAAAAAAACTAATCAACTAAAGCAGTTGTTTTGTAGAGTTTGTCTGCTCTTTACCAATCTTCTTTCAAGTAAATTTGGAGCTGTACATATTCTAAGCCATTTGTAATTATTACAGAGCTGCCAGTGAGATTTGTGAAGAAACTAAGAGATAAAATTGCCATGTACAAGCATCGTGGACACTTAGAGTGTCAGGTATCTCGGGCCAGTGCCAAGGTCAAATGGTATAAGGAGAAGACAGAGATCAAACCCAGTAAGAAGCATGAAATCTCCAGTGAGGACATCTACCGCAAGCTCACCATTAATGATGTGGATTCCGGAGACGAGGCTATGTATACGTGTGATGCTATTGATGACAAGACCTCATGTCAACTACTAGTGGAGGGTAAAAACAACATATAATTATTATAAGAAAACAAGTTGACACTAGGCCAGAGCTGACTGTATGAATCATGTAAAGATGTCAATTACCTGTTTATTACAAGTTATGTGATACCATTTATGACTTAGTTATCATCAGTCAACAATGACCATAATTAGCCAGTAGTAATACATGAAATAGAGGTAAATCTGTTTTCATTTGCTATTTTTGCTTATTTATTATTTCATGCAAAAAATGGTTATATGCTAATAATGTAATGACTTTCTGCTTAAAAGCCACAATTCTTTTTGATTATATGGAAGTATTATTTTTTCTTTGTCTTTCCAATAAGTTTATGTAACTGTATTCATGAGTACGGCAGTGGTTAATGTTTTTTGTAATGTCATGACCTCCAGAGCAGGCCATCAGCATTGTGAAGGAGCTTAGTGCAGTGGAGGTGACCGAACCATTTGCAGCTCACTTTGAGGTCGAAATTAGTGTGGAAACAGTCAAGCCAGTGAAGTGGACCCTGAATGGAGAATGTCTTAAGGAGAGCAGTGATATTGAGATGGAGAAGGAAGGGACAATGCATCGCCTTACTTTTAAGAAGACCAAGGCATCCATGTCAGGCTCTGTGCAGTTCACTGCTGGAAAAAGCAAATCAACAGCTCAGCTCACTGTCAAAGGTTACGGTTGTTCCTTTAATTACCCGACAATAGATAGCAAGATGACCAGACACCTTTTTGATTTCTGCAGTTATATCATTTGTTTTGGAGCAGGTTGCTTAGTAATAGCTTAAACAAAATGCTTCTTGCCTCTGGATATTTGCATGATTTTGCATCGATTTATCACTTATAATTACATAGCACAGCTTTGAAAATGGACAAGAGGATGCAATCTTTCTTGTTCATTTCAATGACAGAAGTGTGAGCTCATTAATTAAAGTTAGTTTATTTTAACATTTGTATTATTTGCACACTGACCTGAACCCCACAAATATTTATTTTGGCTTTCTAAAATCTTGCCACAAGGCAAATGATCTGCATAATTACCCATTTATCATGTGCTGTTACTTTTGCCCTCATTACTGTAAATCTCTAAATCTGGCAGAGCGTCCCATTGAAGTGGTGGAGCCTCTCAGAAATTTAACTGGCAAGGAGAAGGCATCAGCCAGGCTTACATGTAAGCTATCGGCTACTCCTAAAAACGTACGCTGGTTTAAGGGTCAAACTGCTCTGGAGGCCTCTGACAAGTACATCATGAATCAAAATTATGCTGAAGTGCAGCTGATTATCCAGGCGCTGAATACAGATGATGCTGGGGAATATCGCTGTCAGGCTGGGACCTGTGAGAGCAAGGCCACTCTCAGTGTTGAAGGTAAAATCATTTTAAATATGTTGCCTGGAGTCCCATTATTACTGTTTACTTACTAAAGGTTTTTACAGGAGCTGCCAAATGTATGGAACAGTTACAGTGTGTGGCTTATTTATGTACTTACTTACTACATCAAGCTAAGCCTTTTGTAAAAGCTCTCATGCCTCAATTGTTAAAGTAATTGGTACATTGCTTGATTACTAATGATGCACCAAAAGTCCATGAAGTACCCGGAGTTTTTAAATGAAAGTCTGGGTGCCCTTGCCAAAAGCTATGTCTAAATAATGGTTGGATCTGTCTAGACATGTGTCTAGATAGACACAAAAAATTAATTATAAATATTATATAATGAAAGATATTTGAACCCAAAACAAATACACTCCTCCCTTCAGCGCTCCTTGAAGAGCTCTGCCCCTCAAATTCATGCATGCACAATGCCAAGGCAAAAGACATTGGGTTGGAAAACTTGTTTTTTCAGATCTTCACAGCCATAAAACCCTTCGCAAATGTACAGACAAATGCTATGATATAATGTTAGCACAAACAAACACACAGCAAGTAATGTAACTAATGTTAGCTATGTTATGGCTTAGCAAACTGTTGCTACAGCTGCTGCTGCGGAGCTGACCAGTTGCTATCACTAACATTAGCAAACGGGCAAGACAATATTGACCTATTGGTTCTACAAAACTGCAAAAATAGGTTAACGTGACCCACCTGTCAAGCTTGAGCAAACTCCTCATCCGTTTTCATGTTGTTCGACTCTCGATGAAGCTGAAGTCAGCTTAATTTTGCTGCCTCAGCTTCTTGTGTGAATTTTCCTGTTCCACCTTAAATGGTGCAGCAATTAGGCTATATTCCCAGATGGCAAGCATATATCGGTCTGCTGGCCATACAAGGTCAGCACCCTGCTGACTGTTTGCCACTGCTGGTCCACACTCGGACCACCCAGGTTATTGTCCTGCACACAAGCTCTAACTAGTTTTTAATCTCCTCAAATAGATTTTAAATGCACAGAGCCTTTTCTTTTAGTAAATAAACTTATTTACTAAAATAAAATTATTTATTAAACTAATTTACAAAGTGTAACTGAAAAAAGGAAATAAGAAAAAATTAAATTGGACTTTGAGTGGAAAATGAGCAATGACGTGAAATTTTGTCTATTACTTTGCTTAACCACCAGTGGGCTGCCCAGAAAACGCTGAGCAAAACACCAGTGGACTGCCAGCAGTGGTTCACTATCCTCTTACTATCAGGGTTCAGGTGCCTCAGCTTCTTGTTTTCGAATTTTCCCGTTCCACCTTAAATTGAATTGAAGAGAGTCAAATTCAACACTTTATATCAAATTTGTGGCTGTTTCTCACCCATCTCTCCACAGAGAGCTAGCGGATAGTGACGAGATATTGACTGAACTTGATAAAAAAGTGTATTGGATTCAAACCGTAGTCTGCGCCATTAATTTCATCTCTCTTTGCAATTTAAGTTACGTGCTATTTTGGAATCATGCTTATTGTGGAGAAGACTATGTGAAAAGACTAAATACTGTATCAATGTTGTTTTCACTGTATTGTTTCACAGTGCGTAAAGTTGAAATCACCAAACACTTGACAGACCTGGAAGTTGATGAGGGCGCTGATGCCATGTTTGTCTGTGAGGTGAATTATGCTGATGAGGACGCTCAGTGGTTCCTCAATGACAAGCCACTCTTCAAGAATGACCTTAACGTTATCCAGCATGTTGGTAAAATGCATTCCGTTACTCTTAAGAACCTGGCACCCCAAGATGGTGGGAAAATCACCTTCAGCATTAGAGATAAGAAGGAGACGGTCTGCCTGAAAGTGAAAGGTAAGCTGATTTGAGGCTGTTTCATAACAGGTAAATGTAAAATAAAACCGAATTTGCTGGAAACAAGTGAGATTAAATCATTGTTTTTAAATGAAGTATTCTAAAATCCTAATTCTTGACTGAAATATAAATTCCTTGTATTATATCCATATTTTTGCTCTTTAGCTTGTGTCACAGATTAGTAAACATATTTCCCTTGTTTCATTTTCATGTTCTAATTTTGATTTGTTGAAATACAGAAAAGAAAGCTATTTTCCTTAAGTTGCTGGATGATGTAGTTGGAGAAGAAAAAGGCACAATAACCCTGAAATGTGAAGCCTCAAAAGCCACAGTGTCTCCTATTTGGCGGAAAAACGGAACAGTCCTTTTTGCAGACAACAAGTATGAGCTCTTACATGACAGCCGGAGCTTGGGTCTGACTATCCGTGATATCATGCAGGCAGATGCAGGACAGTACAGCTGCGATCTTGGCACGGACCTTACAAAGTGTACGGTTACAGTAAGAGGTATGAGGGAAGGAAACTGTCACATTACAGATGTGCTTATATCATTTAAAATTGGATATGTTGTCATGCATTATGTTCGTACTATCGCAACATATTCTGGACTTTATTCAAAGAAAAAGTTAATTTGGAAAGGCAAAGGGCTTCTGGCATTTCATTTTCATTGTCTTAGTGGTCTGACTCTGACATAAAAAAAGGAAAAACAACCACCCTTTTGCGATTACAATTTCATTTAGAGTTGAAGCACCATAATGAGGAAATGCAGTTGCAAATAGGTGATTGTTTTTCCTGTTTGCAATTGCATTTTCACTGTAAATGAGGCACTCCTCTCAACCAAATGCTGCGGGCAGGACGTCAGGAGGGACTTTTTAGTGCGGGACATGTTTTTAGATTTTTTTTTATGTTTGTGCAGCCACAAGCTCTACAGCAACAGCTGTTGCCATTGCTAGCTCCGTATTGTATTGAACAAGCATCTAGCTCTGCTGCCGTACCACCAAAGTTTAGACTTACCAATTCCTTTTAAAACACACCCTGCACTAAACAGTCCCTCCTGACATCCGGCCCACAATGTTTGATTGATAGGAGTGCCTTGTTAAAAGTAAAAACAGGATTGCAATTGCATTTTCGTTTTGGAAGAAGTCCAAACCATTAAGAAAACGAAAATGTCAGAAGCACTTTGCAGATATGCAGAAATTCAAATGCAAATACACTTTTTGCATTTGAATTTTGTTTATGTCTTTAATATTGCACACTCACTAAGGAAATGCAAAATTTGATTAAAAAAAATTGAATTAGCATTTTCAGATTTTTATTTGAATTTTAATAAAGTCAGAGGTAGAGTATGCTGCCATATTGCTACGCTGCCATATTGGTACGTAAGTGCTGGAAAATGTCTCATGCACCTTTTTAACTTGCTCATTTTGGCAAATATGCTATTTCCTGTTAACCATAGACATCAGCATTGGCATTACCAAGCGCTTGAAGTCAGTGGAGGCTAAGGCTGGCGAAAGCTGCATGTTTGAGTGTATTCTGTCCCGGGAAAGCTCAGATGAGTGTTCCTGGAGCCTGAAAGGTCAACAGATTACTCCTGGAGGGCGTTTCCAGATTTGCAGCAAGGGGCGCAAGTATACACTGACCATCAAAGTAGTGACTGCATCTGACTCGGGGGATGTGGTCTTTACACTTGGGGACTTGAACTCTGGGGCAACTTTGTTTGTTGAAGGTAAGATGTTTGCTGGGGGCTGCCAAGAGGCATGACCAGTTGCACTGCTTCCACAGCCAATCAGGCTTACACTTGTATCAGTCAAGGGCAATTTCAATATGTGGTTGCAAGCAAGAAAGTCTAGGTTAGGTGCAATCTACAGAAATTGGATAAGGCCTACAGTAACCAAGTTTAGTGACAGTTGAAGTATGAACTATTGTTGTTATCTGTGTTAAAAACCATATTTTTACTCAGTGGAATAATCTGACAGACGTGTTAGCTTACTTCTCCTAGCTTAGTTTTCTGTCTATGCTGATGGCTTTACTGGCTTAACTTACTCTGCTGCACATCTGCGCTTATCTCTACTAGGGCTGGGCGATAAAACGATAACGATAAGCATCGCGATATATTCCTCGATAGAGCGATAAGACAGGTTCGATAAATTTTCGATATAATACACCCTTCTCACACTTCCATGTTTTAGCGAAAGCCCTGGTGGCGTTTTCTACTGCAAGGAAAGCGACACTACTCTGCTGTCGCCAGGAGAGGGCGCACTTCCGAGTTTTTCGACTTGATTAGAGAGGGAGGGGACCACGAGTAAAAAAAAGGGGTCGCCAAATATAACTACTTTAGCAACATCTGAAACGTGGAGTTGTACGTTCCCTGTTTGAGTGGAGCGATTGCGATCTGTTCTCCTGTGACCGAGTGTGAGTGACGAGATAAGTGACGTAACTGTACTGTCCTACGGTGAACTCACCTTTTTCGGTGCATCCTAACAACTTTAGCGGTGTTAAATCATGTCTGCAGTGCCGTGTTACAGCGCCAAACCGTCATATTTTAGTATTAGTGCATTCTCGAGCAACGAAAGTGAAAGAAAGAAGTGGGTTAATGTTAGTTACAGCCCTGATTTAAACGAAAGTAAACTGAGGAAGCTGTGAGGCACTGGAGAGCGGGAGAGCGCTATCTTTCCAAGCTAGCTGCTTTTAGCTGCTGGCTAATTGAAGCAGCGCTCCGGTGTTGTGCCGAATTCCGACTCCCCGGCAGAATCCTACTCCTCTCGCGTGCACGCGCTTCTCGTAAGCATGTGGACGTTACGGGCTGCACTCAGGATTTCTCAGGTTATTTCTGTGTAAATAACGCTTTATCTTTAATTTCCATTCACAGCGAACAACACAACAGGATCTAAACCAAACAAAGACTCTCACCGCCACGGTTTAGCTTAATATTACGACATAAAAACGATTGTTGCTGTACTTGAGAACTGGTGGGACTGAATCGCTTTCAGTCATAACGATAAGTATTAGTACACATTAAACACAGCTTTAAACCTCTGTCTGGAGCAATAAAGCTCACATCTGATGACCTGACGCTGCAGCATTAGCTGACTGTTTTTCTCGTCATTATTCAGTAACCAGACGTTCACTGCTTTCATAGGACAAATTAACAAATTAGTATCCATTACTGCATAAAAGAGCTGCCTATAATTAAAAACTGTAGTAATAATAATTGTTGTAATGGTGTAATTTAAGGTTAATTTTGGTTGAAAAGTCTTCAGCTTTTACATAGTCAGAAGGTGTGAACCTGTCAAAATGATGTCCCTCTTATCTCTGGGGATGCATTATGACTGGAATGATTAACTTGTTCTGCTGACGTCTTGTTGATAGATTACAGCATATAAAGAATGTGTCTCTAAAATCAACGGGGGATTTTACTGGGGAAACCGAAATTATACTCCCCCTCTGATCTCAGCACTGCAAGGCCTGAATGACATCTCCTTTATTTTGCTAGCATGTCCTGGGCTGTAGATTGTGTCCTGAAATTTATTTTGCTCTAGATTCAACAGGGGGGATTTTACTGGGGGGGAATAGAATTTTGGCAGGATTATTTTGACACCTTATTTGATATACAGTAAACTTTGTTAGTATTTTTTCTGTAGAATATTATAGCATTAATACAATGTAAGTTTGGATTTCTGATTTGTAGAAATTGATGAGGTTCCTTTGATTAATAACAATGTAATGTCAGACTTCTTTTTAATAAATCTTTTAGTTTCTCATTTCTTTCTTGTATTTCATTTACATATTTATTGACTTATGTCAAATCATTAATAACATAAAAGGTTTGCTCATGAATTCTGAACGCATCATTTTTCTCTTCTTATGACGACTTTTGTTTTGTGTGGTGGAATTGACGTGAGCGACAGGTCGTAATTTGTTCAGCTTTACGTACTTAATTTTCATGCTCCTTTCTTTCTTACCTGTAAGAGTAAGAATGAGTGTCATTTCGGCAGGTGTCAAAATAATCCTGCCAAAATGTTACTCCCCCCAGTAAAATCCCCCCTGTTGAATCTAGAGTAAAATTTCAGGACACAATATTATTATATTATAAAGCTGTGTTTAATGTGTACTAATACTTATCGTTATGACTGAAAGCCATTCAGTCCCACCAGTTCTCAAGTCTTGCTACGACATCGTTTTTATGTCGTAATATTAAGCTAAACCATCACGGTGAGAGTCTTTGTTTGGTTTAGATCTGTTGTGTTGTTCGCTGTGAAGGGAAATTAAAGATAAAGCGTTATTTACACAGAAATAACCTGAGAAATCCTGAGTGCAGCCCGTAACGTCTACATGCTTACGAGAAGCGCGTGCACGCGAGGGGGAGTCGGAATTCGGCACAACACGGTGAATTGATGATACGGTAGATCAAACAAGACACAAAATCACCGCTTTCAGTTTAAACATACCTAAAAGGAGGACTCTGTTTGACTGGTGCGAGAGATTCACACTGCAGATAATGGTTTTACACAGCAAACGTCAGATATTTGGCGGTTCACCCCTTAAACTACTACGATAGCTTAGAGAAATCCAGCCGTCGCTAGCTGGTGTCTGAATACTGTGATATGCTCTGACATGGATATGGTAGGAGTGACAGCGGTGACCTACCGAACCGAGTTGACGTTGTTGAGAAACTAAAGAGTTTAGCACTGTTGTTGGCCACTTGTTTAGCATTTGTAACTGGATAGCTGGGCACTCGTCACCAGACAGCTAAAAATAATCTGTTTTCTTTCTTAAATAATGAGTTTACAAAAATTGCAGCTGTGCTTTTCCAGCTGATAAAAAACATCTCAGAAACTTTCTCCCACTGTCCCAAGACAGATTTGTGAAATGTTCCACTGTTTGCAGAGTATTTGTCATGATCCGACCATAAGTGATAGTTTAAAACCACAATTAACCACCTAGGAGCAAAATCAGCCTTCAAACATGAAAGAAATAATGATTTGACGTTTATCGCGGTATGTATCAATATCGAACGATATGGGTTTTGTTTATCGTGATAACGGTTTTGGCCATATTGCCCAGCTCTAATCTCTACACATCTTTATCAGTATCATTTAAAAAATGCATGAGTCAGTATTTCAGTAGTTTCAGTGCTTTGTAGCCATAACCTCTTTTCTGTTGTCAGGATGTGATTGTGTCAGTCTCATTTTGCTTGGCTTTTTAAAATGTGCTACACGATTCCATGGAAACAGACCATTTAGTACACACAGTGGTGAAATGGGGAGTTGAATATTAGCTGCTGTTTGTACTTTCAATGACCAGATGAAAAATGTCCAGAAACTGTTCATAAGATATTAATTAAAGTAATACTACATGTAACTAAAACATGACTAATATTCTTATATTCCTGTATTCTTATAAGTTTTTATTTTATTTATTTTTTTAAACAATTATTGATGTTATTAAAAAGGCTAAACAATAACAAACCATGCATAGCCTTAAAAAGATTCTTAAATACTTTATTGGGAAAACAATTTATGAGACTATAAAGACTTTAAGTAGAAATGAATTCACTTTATGCGAATTGCCAACTGCTGGCTTGATTTTTGTAGATTGCATAATTGAGGTTAATTGATGAATCATGAGCCTAAATCACAGGATACCAACCCTGGTCCTGCACATTTTTGTGTTTTCCAGCTTCCTAAACTCCCACATAAAGTAATGAAGGGCTTGTTAATGAGCTGATTAGTCGGACCTTGTTTGTTGAGAAGGAGAAACCTTAAATGTGCAGGCCAAGGGTTACTCCAGGATCGGGGTTGGTCACCCCTGGCCTAAATTATGTTGTCGTTATCTAGTATAGGTGAAAATTTAGAATATTGCATACACAGATTTACACAGTCTCAAATTGAAAGACCTGCAATAGTGAGAATTGAGTATGACTAAATTGTCTCTTTTTTAAGCAAGACAAATAAAAGTTAGATTACTTCAGTGAGATTCATTGCATGTTTTTCCAACCATGTTTGAGATTGTTCTTGCAGTACTTAATTTTCTTTTGTAAGCCTGTGCTTCAGATCACTCTGTGTGCTCTTTGTATATTCTTTGAATAATCCTTTGAATAAACTGTAACAATCCACCCATGATGTTGAGATCCCTGCAGACAGCTTGCCGTGTTTTGTCTTCGCCTTAGGTGAAGCCCCCATCATCTCCAAAGAGCTACAGGGGCTTAGAGCCACTCCAGGAGAAGATGCTACATTCTTATGTGAACTATCTCAACCTGGCTTGGAAGTCAGCTGGTTTAAGGATGGCAAGTCCATCCGGAAGAGCCAAAAGTATGAGATTAGTGAGGAGCATAAAGTCATGAAGCTGACTGTCCACAATGTTACTGCTAAGGATTCTGGTGAATATAGCTGTGAGATCACTGGTGGGCTCACCTCAAAGGCAAGGCTGGAGATCAAAGGTGCTTCTTTGTCCAGATTTCACCTTCATAATTCTGTTGTTTCTTGCATACTTCATATCTATCAGCTTTTGTATATATTTAAAATTAAGTACAATATCAATTCAATGGTTTATTCAGTATTTAAACCTTTTTTAATTGTTTTGTTCCAAATCTCTCATCAGATCTCTGATATCAAATTTATAATTTTTGACCTAGCAGCATTCAGAATTCCTCAATAAACGCTCTTATTTAAAGCAATTTGAAAGATGTTTTTGTATTACCATTTCAAAATGTATGGGTAACTGAATGTCCTCTGTATATTCAGAGCCAGTGAACAAAATCACTCGTGAGCTGAAGGACAACAATGCAGAAGAAAAAGGTACTGTCAATTTTGAATGTGAAACAGCCCAACCAGCTGCTAAATTCACTTGGCTGAAAGGTGCAAAGGAGATCAAGGCCGGAAGAAAGTATCAGATGACACAGAAGGGAACAATCCTCATTCTCACAGTGAAGGACTTGGAGAAGGCTGATAGTGATACATACACGTGCGATGTAGGAACTGCCAAGAGCACTGCAAAGCTGTCAGTTCAAGGTAAGAGTCCTACTGAGGCCAATGGATCTACATTTGGAGCATGGTTTTATTAATTATTATTATTTCAGTTAAATAATTATTAACTGTACTGCATTCAATGATTAGCAATAATCCACAGTAAGATAAAGATCTTAGTAATGAATGACTGTTTTGATTTTCCTTAAGCAGCACATACAGGTCTGTTAGAAAGAGGCCTAGGAAGTGCATAAAAGAAGATAATTGCCGTGTTGGGAAAGAAAACTAGAGAAAACTTATTTAGCAACAGGTTGCTAAATATGTATGGAAATTGAGGTTCACATTCTTTAAAGAAAAGTGTGGGCGTGCACAGCAATACATTTGTGAAGAAGCTGCCTGTGAGTTTTCTGTGAAGCTAGCTACCACATGGCTCTTCACTTTCTACTTCTTTTATGTTACATTAAGTTTAGCTTGAGTACATGGAACGGGATATAAATGGCAACATGCTTTGTAACTTCAGCTAGCTTCAGTGTGAGTCGCTGCAGTAAAACAACCAAGCTAAAGTGACTGGACATTACCCTAGAGCAGAGGTTCTCAAACATTTGCAACTTGCACACAAACACACACCACCAAAGCCTCTGCGGTCCACAAGTTTGGTTGCATGTTTATATTGTAGCTGTTTTTGGTTTATTGTTGGCCAACAGCCCACTAGCAGTACTACCTCGGGTTGAACACCACTGCCCTAGTAGTAGCAGTTAGCTCAAGCCCTGGAACTTTTAGAAGTAGAAACCGGGGAAAAAGAACAGGATCAGAAAAAGGTAACAAATAATATGAAATAATATGTACACGTTTTATTTACTTTTACTATTTAAACACTGAGTTATTATGGTGCCTTTAAAAGCTGTTAGGCTGTAGTAGAGTGATTTCCCTACTATCTCTGCTGCATGTGATTTTCTTGAGTAAAATTTGCATTATATTTTCCATAGAGCTTAAGAGTGCCAGTGGTTAGCTTAATTATGGAAATTGTTAAATAGTGGCTTCTATAGCTGAAGTCCTGAGTGTCTCAGCTATAACAACAGAAAACACCCATGGGCGTAGCCAGAACTTTCACAACGGGTGGGCCAGGTTAGACCCAGTGAAGTTATTGGAGTGTCAAATGAAAACAGCGGTTAAGAACTTCTTCTGGGCATATATTAGGTCTACATTATTAAAATGACATAAAATGGTGTTGAATTTATTCATATAATCATAATTAGCTCAACAGTATATTATTTAGTTCTCAATGAGCCTAGAAATATGTGAGTTGATGATCATTAACCAAAGTCAGATTTGAAAACGAAATCAAATGGAGTTAAAAGCTATAAAAAGCTCCACTTCAAACCACGAAAGAGAACTCCGAGTTGCAAAAGAAACAAAGTGGGGAGGAGGGAAATCCCTCAGACAAGACCTAGACCCCTGGCACAGAGACCTAGGTCACTGGCAGAGTCCTTTTAGAGAGGCAAAGATTATCCAGGTAGCTTATATAGTGAAAAACTGAGAACAGGGCTTTCACTCTAGAAGACCACCTTCAGAGAACACCAGTACAACAGCGTTAGTCAAAATGCTGCCTGTACTTACTTACTTCTTTGTGAATGTTCAGTAATCATGATTAACCACTCTCAGCCAGTCTGAAACCAAGTCATATTATATTTTATGATATATTTTTAGGACATCCTATTCTAAGGTAATCGTCGTAACTGAAGTGCTTATCATTACGCCCAAAACAATTGCAGTGTTGTTCTTTTTGAGTAAGTGGCAGGAATATGGCTACATAAATGGAGGTTAGGCTATTCATATCACTCCTGAGCAGAATAGTTTGTTTATTGACAGTTAGATCCATCTTATACTTTTTTTTACCGAGGATATTTTGCTGGTAGTAATGAGTCAGTGTTCTGTGTAATCATTGTAGAACGGCATTGAGAAGGCTTCTTACACCACTTGCACTAAAATATTATGAACTTTTATTTCAAAAGTTATTTCATAGGTAAAGGTTCACTTTTTCACATCACCCTTTTAAAAAATATATTTGATTTAATGATCATAATCATTGTATCAATTCTAAGAATAATGTAATATTTCTTAACTTAATTTTGCTAAGAAAAAAAAATCGAGTTTAAGAAACTATTATGCGTCATAATTATTAATACTTGAATTACTAGGGACTAGTGTAGCCAGACATAGTACACAGTACCTTAATGTCAGGGCCAGTAGCAGACATCACTGTTCACACTTAAAAGTAAAATAATTTGCTCTATTTAAAAGCAGAAAACATGAAAGAATAAGTCTTCCTAAAATTATATAACTGAAATTGAGACTGGCCCAGGGCGCTCTTCATCCTTAAAATACAGTGGAAAAAATATAAAACCTAAAACGGTTTGTCATAGTAACTTCAGCAAGACAGTTTCATTTTTAGTTTCATTGACCAAATGTTAAACTTCATGTTAGTAAAATTGTTACTGTAATTATAATGAAATATATAATTATAACAAAAAAGGGTAATTTATTATTACTAATAAATGAAATCTTACATGTTAAAATATAATTCCTACAATCAAAGTTGAATTAAGATGTCATCACTCAATTTTTACCCATCTATTTTTAGAGTTTTTATATACTGATATATAAGATTATATATAACCTTAAAAATAAAACTTATGAACCAAAATTTTTGCATAATAGCAGGACTTTTAGAGGACCGGAGAAAATTTAATTCCACAGTTTATATATTCCAGCACACTCTAATGAACATTACTTGCGTTTGCTCCATCTGCACAGCACAGCAACACCCATTTCAAGACATATGAGGAGGAAGATTGACACAGTAAACTGTAATTCTTCTTTTGTCCCGTTCTTCCTCCTGAAGGAAGTGCATGTCTGCCTGCTTCAAAAGTGAACTCAAAAGGAGCTCTAAAGTCCATCTCTTCTGATCTAGTTACAAACACTGTTTCACCTGGATTGCATGAAGAGTCTTGGTCCACAGACAGAATCAGAGGAGCCCGAATGTCACCAAGGAATTTCTCCTTATTGTCCAAATACCAGAAGTACGCTGCTTGAACATTTCTCATCATCTGTCACTCCTGTATTTTAAAATATGGTGGGAATTTGGATAATTATAATTTCAATAATTCATGATGAGTGCAAAAAATGCAGTGACAGCAGTGGAAATGGTCATTGCTACTGCACCCCAGTTTGCACTTGTAGATCACAAAATCTGCAAAGAGTAAAATAAAGTGAGGTGATGCAAAGGGCAAAGTAAAATACTAATGCCTTCCTAACGTTAAAAACATGGCAACTTACATCAGCACATTTGACAGGCTGAGGAGTTTCCCCACTCTGCCTGGCTGACATGTGCTGTAAGTGATTATATTTAAGATGAAGTATCAAAAATAGGAGATATAAAACTATAAAGAATAAACAAGGGAAAAGCTCAGTTTTCTAATTGCAATCTCAATACACATCGCTGTATTATGAAACTGGTGGTGCAGGCAAGAAATGTCAACTTAATTATTTACAATTAAGTGCTTAAAAAAGATTTTCACATATAGTTAACATATAACTCCATTAACTTTCAGTATGACTGCATATCATTGCAAATGGTAGCTATTAGCAGTGTTTTCAGCAGTACTACACAATCTGCTCCATACCAATCGTTATTTAAATTAATGTTTAATAATGGATTATACTGTTATCGTCCTTGATAAAAAAAAAAAAAAAAAAACATAGAAATCATTAAGAGTCTAATGGTCTCGATTCAGCTGGGGTTACCGTTGTGCAACCAACAAATCGAGCAACCAAGTGCTTATTTTCCACAAGTTTTAAGGACATACAAAAATGTTAAAGTAATTTAAGAGTAAAGTTACAGACAGCAAAGTTTGTTATGAAAGCACTCGTAAATTTCGACTTCATTAATCTTCCCCGTCTTTTTCGTGTTATTCTGTTTATTCAGTGACATCACTGCGGCTTTTACTCCAAAGCCCACTTGCTCCTGGCGTCATATGAGGGGTGTTCCTGGGGGCGTGCCTGCATCACAGAAACGCCCTCATATGGTGCTGCTATTAGATCCTTCTCAATTGCTGGACCATTTAAGGTGGAACGGAAAATTCAAATTTGAAACAGGCGAATATGCTTGTGTAACCGTGATGGTAAGTGTGTTTGGTAGGGATTAAGTAGCTGGCCACCCTTTGGTTCTGCCTTTGAAAAGGCCTTGTTTTTAGACATGGAAAACACGTGGGCACGACATTGGAAATTACTTGCAGTTTAAAGTCGGTCGTTTAAAGGAGGGAGTGCTGTTAGCACACAAGTCTCCACAAATCTACACCAGAAGATTATTTGCAGTAATATCTGTCAATATGACAGGAGAAGTAGTTTTCAAAACATGTTGGGGTTATTCAGTGTTATATAACTGCATATGCAAGTTTTAGTAAAGATTTTAATTAAACAGATAATGTAAAAAGCGAAAACGTAAAACATAACATACAATTCAAGTAACACATAATCTTTAAAAGATAAACCACTCTACCGCAAGAACATGCATTCAAATTTAACTTTCTCTGTGCTGCTGTCTTTCTGTTATATTTTACAACTCTGACTCTGCTGATGTTGTTGAACATGCGAGTTTTTGAACAAGAGTAGGCATACATTCAGAATGAAGTTCAGATCATTAACAAATTTTTGATATCTGAAACATAGGTTTGAAGGTTTTAGGGTGATGTGATTTCATTGTGCTGTTTTTTGCAGTCCCTTTTGGTAGATATAGCCCATCATGATATGGCCATGGTGCGTTCTGCTTAGTAGGATTAGTGTTACAAGACCAACCTTACTGTGTAGGCATGTGATCTTTTTCCTCTGTGCTTTGATGCAGCCTGCCTTGTATTTTTTCAGGGTTGTAGGCAGAGCTCGAGTGGGCTTCGTTTTCAGACTGGGAGTTAAAAGATGCCAACAAGCTCACTCCAAGCTCCAACTATATTTTCTCTGCTACACACACGCGATGTTATCTTCTTCCAAAAAAAACAAACAAAAAGCTGTAGGGAAATCACATCTAATTTAGAAGAAACTGGCTAAATGATATTATGTTCAAATTAGGTTTCCTAGCATCTTCTTTTAAAAAAATCAGTCTATGCATTTTCGTCATCTTCATGTTGTTCTGTTTTAATGGGATGCTATAATGAGATCTCCAACCTGGCCAGCAAAGCACTTGATAAAAACTCATAAAATGCTTTATTTTCTTGCCTTCTTGGCTCTTCCTGTGCTTTTTGGCACTGCTGTCCAGCTTCATTATATTTATTCATGAAAATTGCCACATTGGTGAGCAATGTAAACATAAATAGCCTGTAGAAATTGCCAGGTTCACACCCCTGCGGCAACAGAACAGACTTATCTGTACCCACTGTGTTACTCAGTTGGCTAGTTACAATCATCAAACTGGAGCTGTACTGCTCAAGGAGGGGGCAGCTGATATAACCCCCAGATCACCACAAATATAGGCTTGCTTGTGACGTTTACAGTTTGTCTGTGCATTATTGTGTTTGTATGCATGGATTTATACATGTTAGCCCACAGTAACCAGCCCAAAATGTTACTGGCCCACCAGAAATTCTCTGGAATAACCACTCCGGTATTGGTTGTGGTAGCCACAAACCCAGGTGGTGCTATTACCAGAAACACTTCATGTCTCCCACCTCCCACAGCCTCCATGTGCACTACCTCACTTCAGTGGGTATATTTTGGAGTTCAATATACAATACTTTATAACCACCAGCTCCACATTCAAGGAGCAAGGAAAATCCGAACAAACATTACCAGCTTTCATCACATCTTATGCTTTGAATGTCAAACCTGAGAGGAAGTTTTGTGATGAAGCAATGCCTGTTTATTATTGTTCGTCAGAGGTGCCTGTCAGGTTCAAACTACAGCTGAAGAACCAAGAGGTTATGGAGGGCGAAAAGCTTTTACTACATTGTGAACTCTCAAAACCTGGCCATGAAGTGCAGTGGAAGAAAGGAACAGAAAGTGTCAGATCAGGAGGAAAATATGAAATGATACAAAGGGGCACCACATTTCAACTTCATATCAAAGACTTGGAGCCTGAAGACAGCGCAGAGTACTCTTGTGAGTTTGGGGACCAAAGAACCACAGCAGCGATAGTTGTGAAGGGTATGGACAAATTTGCCTCTTTCCATGGTCGTTCATTTGTGTTTCCCAAATTGTCATAGAGATTGTAGCTGTAACATTGTCTTGCCCTTGTCTTACCATTTGATGTTGTCTTAAATGTTGATTTATAAGCTTAACCAATTGTTGTACAGCTTTTCCAGTCATATTCAATCATGAACCTGAGAACCAAGAGTGTGTGGAAAGGAACATTGTTACTATGCACTGTGAGATTTCAAAACCTGGCGTGCCAGTGGTATGAAGGAAAGCACAGAAGCGCTCAAGTGTGAGTGGGAAATACATTGTAAAGCAGACTGGGTCTTCTCTAGACCTGTAAATCACTGATCTCAGACCCGATGGTGGTGCCCCACCTCCAAAAGTGGTGGGGCAAAACGTATTGTTTCCAAAAAATAAAAAAAGATATGGCGGAGTGATGGAATGTAGTTAGGCCACGGACTAAAACCACTTTCATGTCATGCTATTATCATGTCTTCATGTTTGTTTTGACCCTGCGCTTCACTGGGTTTAGCCTCAGATAGTAAACTTTACTAGCTAACATCTTTGAAGAGTATTGGGCAGTTTTCATACCCAGTTAGTTTTCTAAAGTACGCACCAATTTTGCAGAAAAGCAAGCGCTCTGTTACTCTTATTTTTGCCACCATGAAAATAGAAAAAAATAGAAAAAAAGCGTATTACAATCATAACAATAGTAATGTATACTCATTTATGTCTCATAACACGGTTGTTGTCCTGTGATGAAACCTGGCTTGACTGTACCAAGGTAGAATGTTTGTTCTATGGCACCGAAGAGCTACATCTACTACTAAACTAACTGCAGTGCTCCTTTATCAGTTCTGTTCCCCTTTTCTCCATACTACTGGTTAAAAAGCAATTAGTCTATTAGTGTAGATGTGGTCTACAAGTGGAGTCTGATCTAGCTGAACGTCTGTGATTTTGTCTGCCTTTGTTGTCCAAGTGATCTTCCTTGTGTCTTTGTAACATGTTACTGCATCAGAAGAATCATTCAAACCCTTGTTACTCCTCAGCTTTGCCAGTAATATTTAGGCGTGAGCTGCAGAACCAGGAATGTGATGAGGGCAGCAGTGTTACTCTGCAGTGCGAACTGTCAAAACCCAGAGTGCCAGTGAAATGGAGGAAAGGAACACAAGTGCTCCAGTCTGGAGGAAAATACTTCATCAGGCAGACTGGCTGTACTGTGGAGCTGAAAATCACTGATCTCAAACCTGAAGATGCTGGGGAGTATACATGCTTGTGTGGAGACCAGAAGACCACAGCAAACATGAAGATCAAGGGTATGAGCAGTTAATTATTTTTGGGGTGTACATTCATGATAGACAGCTTATCCAGACACAGGGTCTGGAATTGAGACAGACTAAGGGAGCCAAGTCTTGTCCACAAAGGGCTGGTGTGGCTGCAGGTTTTCATTTCAACCAAGCAGGATCACACCTCACACAGGTATTCAACTATTTGAGGACTGGAACCAACTGTTTAAACAATTGGAATAAAGTGAGCTCCTGCTTAGTTGGGGTGAAAATCTGCAGCCACGCCAGCCCTTCGTGGATAAGATTGGTAACCTCTAGTCATTCATTAGTGGTCAGTTTCTGACCACAGAACTACTTTTGACTGAATATGTTTAGGTGGCTGAGTATTTTCAACCCAGCAGTGGCATTAAGGTGTTTAAAAACCCCAGCAATGCTGCTGTGCCTGATAAGCTTGTACTAATGTAACCCACACTGCGTTGCCACTGTCTGTGTGGACTTCTTCTTTGGGTGATGCTTTGGAGAGTGTTTGTGCTGTCCAAATGAACTTCTTTGTCATTTTGTAACATGGCACCCCATTGCAAGAATCATTAAACTACTTACTGCACCTTAGCTTTGCCTGTGATATTCAAGCAAGAGTTGCAGAACCAGGAATGTGATGAGGGCAGCAGTGTTACTGTGCAGTGCGAACTGTCAAAACCCGGAGTGCCTGTGGAATGGAGGAAAGGAACACAGGTGCTCCAGTCTGGAGGAAAATACTTCATCAGGCAGACTGGCTGTACTGTGGAGCTGAAAATCACTGATCTCAAACCTGAAGATGCTGGGGAGTATACATGCTTGTGTGGAGACCAGAAGACCACAGCAAACATGAAGATCAAAGGTATGAGCAATTCATTATCTTTGAGATATACATTCATGATAAACAGCTTATCCAGACACAGGATCTGGAACTGAGACTACTTCATGATTCAATTTTTAAACTTGTCTTACAGACACACGCAAAGGTCACTAAACCAAAGTTGCTGGGTCTTTGTACAAACACTACCTCTACATGTAGGTCCTGGCGTGAAAAAGTTTAAAAATCTCTAACTTTTAAATTAAACTTTGTCCATGTGTTTGGTCACTGTGGTTACAGCTATGACCTATAAAAATATATAATAATAAATAATAATAATGACCTTGCCATTAACATATGGTTGTATTATGAAAAGAGACTTTTTGACTCTAGGCAGGCGTCTCATATGCATTCAAGCAAATTTTCGATATCTGTATTTTTAATAATTTTATTTTATTCTATCTTATTACTATTTTTTAATAATATGTAGTTATGGTCATTTTATATTATGAGTCAATGTATTCTACTAATTATGTCATAAATCATACGTCAAAAAGTCAACTTTCTCTATGTTACTGATTTGCTCCAAAAGTTGCAGGATGAAATTTGTTCACAGCAACAGGCGCCAACAGAACTCTGTGCACATCAGTGCTGAACGGTTGATGAATGATGTGTTGCTAAAGTGGTTACTAGAACATCAATCCATTTTTCAAATGTGAAAATGAAATGAAATTTACACTTAAGTTCATTTGAAAATATAGGCATAGTTTGCTTTGCAAGATAGTTGGCTATGGCTAGAACCAGCTAAAGTTAGTAGCTGTCCCTCCGTCCAGTTGTTCAGTCTTCTGGCTCGCTAGCTAGTCATGACTATAGCATAACATCCTATTTAATAATAGTAAAGGAGAGCTGTGTGAAACTTATGACAGGGAGTGGCCTCATCTGTACTTGTGCTGCTTCCTATACATTGTGTTTGAAAATACCATGTTGACAGGTTCCTTTCATATGTGGCTTTATTGTCTATGTTCTCTAAATTAATTTGGATTGTTGACGTAGTCTATGTGAATTTATGCCTCTTCATTTATGCTCTTAATTTGGGTGAAGCAGACCAGTCAACTCTTTTTCAACAAAAATGACAGCAGTGTAAGCTAGTGTAAAAGTAAATCAATAAGTGAATGTCATTTTCAACAATAACAGCACAAATAATTGGCATGAAAATCTCTAAATAAATATACAGTATCTACCCTATCATAAAGTCGGAGATTACGGAGGTGCAAAAACGGATTTAGTGAAGTTTTAAATGAATCCCCCCAAAGTCTTTATATGTCAAATTGCAGAAAATGACATCATTATTTTCTCAATTCTCTGTTTTTCTGGTGAAGGGCCCACATGATTGAGCAAGGCTAAACAATGTTCTGAGGGTATTCTGAAGGGCCTTTTGCTGAGATGCAAAGAGTGAGGCTGAAGTGGGCTAAAGGAGAAGGAACTGCAGGAGTCAAACAGATTAGACAGTCAAGCTTAAACAGCTAAAGAGTGATGTATAAAGACATGGTGTCCAGAAGGAGTGAGATGAATGGAAGCCTCTGTGATAAGATGCAAACGTATGGTTGAGGTGACGTTTAGAAGGACAATGAATAATCTTGCAAATTAGAGGGGAGTATTGCGAGTGTCTATAGGGTAGTTTTGTTGAGTTGAAAAGCCCCAGTAGGTGGAAGCATTTCCAGTGCTGCACTTGTATTGTACAATTTTTTTTTATGTGGGTCCAATAATTGTTAACATTTCAGCTGTAGGTGTAGCTTTTTTCCCTCTTTCCTCCAGTCACCCCAAAGGTAAAGCAGGGTGCTGTAAAGGGGGCAAAAGTAAATGGTAGGCGATGATGTGTTTTTTCTGCGTGCTGTCTGTCTGTCTACAGTCAGCAGCTTTGCAAGTAAAGCTGTTTTTAAAAGCTGTTTTTCTGTTTTCATGCTCAGTGAGATCATAACTAAATGCAAAAATCTTCACATAAAGTACATCTTTTACATATTTGGAGATACAGATATCAAGTCTTTAATTTTAACAGTGTTGATGTAAAGGTGATATAATTTAACATGTGACACAGCTAAAAATTTTTTAGAGACTCCCCATCTGCATTTGTTTGAAATATGACAGGGTACCGACAGTACAGCAACTGTTGCCAACTCAGCCACAGTGACAAGGTGGTTGTGTGTTTACACATCTTTTGTACCAGTACAATTACAACTAAATCATTCTATGAGTACATTTTTGGCAACAGATAAAGTGGAACACAGCAGTATATCCACATCTGGAGCCTATGGTCAGGTGATGTGTTTTTAATGTCTATAATATATCACAAATTGCATTGTTTTGGATATATGTGTAATCTACTCCAATACATTAATGAAAATATAAGATTTAAGTCCTTAAAACAAGAAGGTAAATCTTTTTATCCAAAGGTTTGCCTGCATAGCTTGGTAGAATGCCAACACATATTGGTTTTAAAGCACATACTGTTTGTGAACAATTCAAACAAACCTGGCATGAGTGCTGGGTTCAGTTGTAAAAGGCTGAGGGGCTAGTCATACCATTTATAAGAAAAGTTCCAAAACTTTGCTGTTTTAAATTCTTCAGAGGGGAATATAGATTATTTTTATTTTGGGCAGCTTAGTTGTGACACTGTGTTAAAAGTATCCCCATTATGCGCAGGCTCTACTTTAGCCTGGCTAGCTTTTGCTGTTATTTGGTGATATGCTTTATAAGAAAGTGACCAGTAACCTTTGTGATATTTTTGTTTTAAAGAGTCTAACATTATTTGAATAATTGATGTAAATCGATTCAAACATTGCACATTTAGGATTTTCATTCTGCCTTGTTAGATAACAGTGTGATTTACCACAAGTTTGTATATATTGATACAAAGTGGTATCAAAGTGGTTTCTATGCGATTTATGTGTACCTTCTACTGGACCTTTTCCAAGGGGAGAGGGACCCTGAACTAACACATGTTCATAATACATTACATTAGAAAAGGGCAAGGATGGTAAATCACACAATATAAATGACTAAATCATAATTACTAAAATAAACAGATCACGCTAGTGTTATGATTTTGTATGACTCCATGCTAATAAGAGTAGCCAACTAATTGATCTGAAATTATTGGGATAGCTAGTTTGGTTGAGATAGGGTCTTTCTTCAAACTAGGACATCCAGAAATTAAATAACCCCCTTCATGGCAGTAGAAACATTTGCATCTTATACAAAGACAACCTTGAAGACTTCATTGGGCTTTTCTCTCACCACTAAACAATTTGCACTGGAAGGCAAAGAGACAAATACATCATTGCTAATTTCATCTTGAACCTGGAAAACGTCTACATCACACAATGAGTGTGGGCAGTGGATCTGAACTTCAGATTTATGCACTCTCAAAATGTAAAGGACTTGAACGCTAATGCTAATTATTGACTACAAATGTACAAGACAAAAATGATCTGCTTACTGTAAAGGACAGTTTGAATCCAGTACACCACTGCTTTGGAGAATAGGTCCACATAACGTGTCTGACCGTTTTATGTAGGACAGTTCTATTATTCCTTATCCAATAACTTTTCATGGTTTCTCAGCTTTGCCAGTGGTGTTCAAACATGAGCTGCAGAACCAGGAGTGTGTCGAGGGAGGCAGTCTTACTCTGCAGTGTGAGCTCTCAAAACCTGGAGTCCCTGTAGAATGGAGGAAGGGAACACAGTTACTCCAGTCTGAAGGAAAATACCTCATCAAGCAGACTGGATCTATTGTGGAGCTGAAGATCAGTGATCTTCAGTCTGCAGATGCTGGAGTCTATGTCTGTGATTGTGGGGACAATAAGACCATGGCCAGCATCAAAATCAATGGTAGGAGAAGATTCTTGAATTGTAGTGTGATAGGTGAATTTTAGTTCAAATGGCAAAAAGCAAATGGCTTCATATTTATCATAGGTATTTCGTACTTTTTCCTGCTTTGTAATAGGTAACACAACATGGCCTGTTACTGTTGTTTGTTGTGGGGTGTATAATGTTGCCTGTGATGTTAAAATGTTAATTACATGCACTTTAATTAAGACTTTCTTTTAGGGGAGGACTTTTGATGTAGATGGTGAAGAAGTAGTATTTTATTCTGGTCTTGGTAGATTTTTGTCTGGTATTGCTAGCTTTGATCTCTTTTTGAAATCATTTCTGAAATCAGTCTAATGAAATGGGTATTTTTTAGCACTACTTTTGTTTTACTATTAGATTCTGCCAGTAATCTGCCAGTAAGGTTTTAATTGTGTATGTGTGGTACATATCAGGTTTCTTATTCTGCTATTTAATTCATTAGCTCTCCCAGCAGTGTTCATTCAAGATCTAAGGAACCAGAAAGTAATGGAGGGGAAAAGTGTCACCTGGAGCTGTGAGCTTTCTAAACCAAACATACCCATTCAGTGGCGCAAAGGTGAAGTAGAACTTTGCCCTTGTGACAAATATGAATTCAAGCAAGATGGCCACCACGTCCAGTTAGTCATCCACAACCTTGACCCCGAGGACTCTGGAGAATACACTTGTGACAGCGGAGATCAGCAAAGTACTGCAAGCCTGGAAGTTCAGGGTAGGACTGAAGTTTTTATTCCTATAAAGGATAAAACACTTGCTTTTCCTCATCATCATGATCATGACCATGGCGCCACTTTTTATCTTCACTTCGCAGCATTACCTGTTCTATTTAAGACCCCTCTGAACAAGCTGGAGGCAAAAGTTGGGGAAAATATCACCTTCCGATGTGAGCTCACTAAACCAGGTGCTCCTGTTGTATGGAGAAAAGGGAAGAAGATTCTAGAGTCCAGCAATAAATACCAGTTAAAACAAGATGGAGCAGTGGTTGAACTCATAATCCATGGGCTACAGGGAGCAGACTCTGGAGAGTATTCCTGTGATTCTGGGCATGAAGTGACTTCTGCCCCACTCACTGTAAAGGGTAGGGATATAAATTATTTCTACATTCACCGATCATGTGTCGAATCACTCTACTTCTGTTCTATCCCACTTTGTACTGCACAAACTCACATTTTAAATTTTCTCACTTTCTTTCAAACTCACACTTTCCATGCCCTTTTTTCTAACAATGTCCTTCCTTCCATTTAATCTGATGAGCATTTTCCAAAGTCTCATTCCTTTTTCAAAGTCACGTGAATCTGGCATGAGTCGCACTGCACTTAAGCATGTTTCCTTTTGTGAAGTCTTATTGTTTTGCCTCTTCAGTGTTCTCAGCATCCCCCCAATGTCTTGAGTTAAGTTATGGGTCCAATGAACCTTTGAATCATTTAGGTAATTAACCATCAATAAAACGCTCTTAAATTGACTCCCAAAACTCTGAAAATGAACTTTGATGGCTTGTGTTAAACAGAACTTGATATAACCATTCAAACTGGACTGAAGAGCCATATTGTTAATGAAGGCGATGATGTGTCCTTTGAGTGCTTTGTGTCACAAGAAAATGCCAAGGATGTTAAGTGGACGCTTCAGGATGTCCCCCTCCAGAACAATGAGATGAATGAAATCCGAATGGAGAGCAAAAAGCATACACTTACCCTAAGGAATGTAACTCAGAAAGACTCTGGCACCGTGGCTTTCCATGTGGGTGCCCATACCTCTTTTGCTTGTCTCACAGTGAAAGGTAAAAATGGATTCCACCATCTACGAGTTTTTTTTTCTTTCCTTCTTTTCATTCTTCTCTACAGTCTTTTTATATGTATCATGTATATTTTTCTCTTTTATCTTGTCTTTTCATTATACCACACCTTTATAGATACAATATAAGGACACTCTTTGGAGAATCCCTAAAGAAATTCTAACTATGCTCTTGTTGTTCTTGTGCAGTTTTTATTGTATGTTGTTTTTCATTTTCAGGTGTGTTTCGGTATAGTTAATTTTATCTCACCTGTCCTTAGTTCCATTTTTACTGTATCACACCATTCAGTAAGACTAGCTACTGTATAATATCACAACCTACAGTACTGTGCAAGTCAGAGACCATACTTTCATTCATTTAATTTCCAGTAAAAATAGTTTTTAGCTAAATTACACTAAATTAAATGAAGTCCTTCCAATCTAAAAAAAAGGAGAAAAAAAAGAAAATTTGCACTAGAACAATGAAACTGGACATCTGAGATGTGGAGTAAGGTTTTATGGACTGATGAATCTAAATTGTTAATAAGCATTACTGGGTTTGTGAGGTGCAGGAAATGCAACCAACTTCCATGACTCAGCTTTACAGAAAGCCTGGAAAATACCCCTGCAGATTTCTTTGAAAACCTCAAAGCAAGTTCAGTAAAAAGAAATGGAAGCTGTAAAAGCAACTGGTGGACACACTATACTACTGAAAAAATTATGATTAGTTGTTAAGACGTCTTTGTAATTTTCTGTTTAAGAAATGTTTTCTACTTTTTTCCCTGACACTAAAAAAAATAACTTAATGGTTGTTAACTGGGGATTAAATAGATAAAAGACTGCACAGTACTGTATGTTGTAATATCAAGCAAAATGTAATTAAGTGTAAAAGTAGTTTGGTAGTGTTCAACTACTATACCATTATTCACCAGCCTGTCCTTGACATTGAGCATTGACTTGCAACCAAGGTACATCATTGCTTATGCAATATGTCTGTGTTTGCAAATGTTATGATTTTTGAGCCTATTTTCCTTGATACATCATATGAATTAATATATTTCAGAAGCACCTGCAATGCAGGCACTGACTAGCAGGCCTCTTTGGAATGGTCACTTTGAAAATTCAGATGTCAAGGTGTCAGTTTTCATGTGATGTGTCCATTATCTTGCCATATCTTATATGGAAATCCCTCTGAATGCTAAATTTGCAACTTTTTTGATCAGAATTTGGATTTCCCATTGCTAACCGTGAGTTTTATGTATTGATGTTATCCACCCTATGTTCTATATCTCACTGTACCCTGCTAGCAGTCCCTGTGGTGTCATTTGCCAAAGAATTGAAGAGTCAGGAGGCCACAGAAGGAGACAGTGCCACACTAAGCTGTGAAACTTCAGTCCCTGATGCGCTTGTGACCTGGAAGAAGGGCAGAAAAGTTTTGTCTGAGGGAGAAAAGTATTCCATTCAGAAGAGTGGTACAGTCCAAACTCTAATGATCCACAAGTTATCAGTGGATGATGCTGGTGAATATACATGTGAACTGGGAGACAAACACAGCAAAGCCACCTTGACTGTCAAAGGTAACTAGTATAATAGTGTTTCTTTGCTTTGAGATGTCCCCATTGCCTTTTGTTATTCTGATTATTTGTTTTTGTGAGTGTGTAATTGCATTTGTTGTCCCATGATGACCTTCTGGTTCTTCTTGTTGCTACATTTGCACTGTGAAACAAACATATTGTAAATCTTTAGAAAAAGAAATTTATTCAGAATTAATACAATATGTCAGTAATGAATATGTCAATAATGAATCAAGTTATGGTACTCCCCTGCATAGAGAGCGTACTGTTTAAAAACCTGTCTAATATTCACCAAATCATAAACTACTGTCAGGTTGGCTCTAGCATATCATTGGATGTTGCATAATCCCTTAGCTTTTCTACCTGAAGTCGAAATTGTCCTTTTTAGCGATCAATCACAATTTATCATCTCATTCAAAAGACAAAATTCTTGTTTCTTTGTAATCTTCCATCAAAATATATAAGTAAGGGTGGGGAAAAACTTCCTCATACGTACATCAACCAACAGAAGGAAAATGCATTATAATTTTTGGTACATGCAGACTTTAAACCATCTAAAGTAAACATTGCTGTTACAATATTTATTTTTCCTGGTTCTTTGGAAGAGTTGGCTTCTTTTGCCCTCTTTTCTCCTCATCTAGAATGTGTACGAATTACAAGAGAACTTAAGGATGTAACAGTGATGTCTGGCGGGGATGCTGTCTTCCGTTGTGAGGTGTCCCAGACAAGAGTAACTTATGCTGAGTGGTGGCTAGGCTCCAATCACCTGCAAAACAATGACTTGAATCAAATCAGCTGCCAAGGGAGGGAGCACAGCCTAGTTCTGAAAATGGTCACACCTGACGATTCAGGTGATGTAGCCTTTGTGGTTGGCTGCGAGAAGAGTGTTGCCTGCTTAGTGGTGCAGGAGAAACCCAAAGGTAAAAGATGCTTTGATGAATTCCTCTGCTCATCAGCTGTCTTTGTCATTTCATCACTGGCTAGCTGTATTATGACATCTTACTCAACATTGTTGTTATCTCACATGCTTTAAGCATTCTTGAATTTAGCTACAAAAAACCTAAATAACTCAAGAAAATGTTAAGTCATCAGTTATTTTACAGCAAGTGTACATTAACATGAAAACAGTTTGTCTGAACAAGCGTTATGTTTTCTTGAAAAAAATAGATAAATAAGTATGAAAAGCAAGAGAATTATTGACTTATAAGTTATTAAAAGTTATTATTCATTAATGCGTTTCTATGAAAAATAGACCAATGAGACAGAAAATGATATTTGTATTAAATGTGGGGTTGTCAACCATTTTTAGGACAAATATGAAAATACATGTGTATGTGATAATGGAGGTTACAGTTAGCAATTCCAGCAAGGAATCACGACCAAGAATCAGTTTTCCACTTCCACAGCATATGTTACTTTGACTAAAATTATTAACATTTGTTCGGACTTGTGAATGCCCTGATTCATCAGAACCGCACAACAAAGCAAGCAAATTAAAGCATATTGAACTTGACAAAAGTGTTATATGATTCATGATTAACTGCTGCATTCCTTATTTTGACTTTCTTAGATAAGCCTTTAGTCTATGAATATTACAGCAAATATTAGCCAACAGTAAATTCAGTTAATTCACTATTACTTATTATCTGCATTAATTCATGCTAATTTCTATTGCCCTGGTTGTAAAGTACTGGAAAATTTGCACCAAACTCTCCTAGTGATCCTTTATAAGTTAAGAATAGTCATGAATGACCTTTTCTTCTTAAAAACATCAAATAATAATATTGTAGCCTTTAGTAGACGTGATGATGCAGTAGCACTTAGGCCTGGGTTTCTCCTGTCTATAGTCCTATTCTTAGAGAAACCTCTGGACATAACGGCCAAAGAGGGAGAGGCAGTCACACTATCCTGCATGACCTCCAACCCTGAGGCATCTGTTACCTGGTACAGAAATGAGGTGATGATTAAAGCAGGAGACAGACACCTACTCTACAGGGATAGAGCCATCCACCAGCTACGTATCCTTAGAGCGACAGAAATGGATGCAGGGGTGTACACATGCAAAGCTGGAGATGCACAGAGCAGTGCCACTCTTACTGTAAGAGGTAAACAAAGACAGTTTCAGTTTCAGTATGCCTGATTAGCATTCGGGATTGGTTAAAAGAAGAACTAAATGGTTTCAAGAAAAGTTACAACTTTGTTGCCCTTCTCTCTTTTTTATATCCAAGTACCTGGAATCATAGAGGGTCTATGAAAGGTTTTAACCAACGAAGATGGTCTCAACGTACATTTAATTGTTCTCAGCTCACTGATATGCATCATGACATCACCAAACTCTTGAAAATCACTGTTGTTCTTTGTTCTTCTTCTTTCACCATCATCAGGAGTACCAGCATACTTCTGCAAAGAGTTACAAAACCAGGATGCTGTTGAAGGTGACACGATTACCTTGCGGTGTGAGCTTTCAAAAGCAAACATCAATGTAGAATGGCGTAAAGGAGGATTAGTGCTGCAACCTGGGAAAAAATATGAGCTCAAACAGGATGGCTGTATACAAGAGCTCCACATCCATGACTTGGAACCAGGAGACAGTGGCTATTACACTTGTGATGCTGGAGACCAGTTGACGACAGCTTCAGTTTCAGTTCAAGGTAATGAATATTGTTCTTCATATCAGTTTTTATGTTCTCAGAGTTAAATTGTCACAATCACATTAATCTAGCGTTACAAAGTTGTTTTTTTTTTGCTTTCTTGTGAATGAAGTTTTATAAGAAGCAACATTATAAAATTATAACCAACTTGTAGCCTTAACCGTCTTTCCTGAGAATTGAATTATCTAGATTTTACCTTTTTGTTGCTCTTGCAGTTGTGATCAAAATATTTTACAGAGAATTTGTATATATGCTGATAGGAAATACACAGCAGTCATGGCAATTACAACACTTCCAAGTGCAACAATTTTGCATATATTCAACATACAGTTTTCATTCTTAAGATTTTTAGCAAGACATACAATGTGTTTAATTTCCCTGCAGTCTTTTCTGGCACATGCAGTCTGCGCAGCCAAATGTAACCAAATAAGAAGGATAGAAAAGCCTTTCTTATTATGATTATCATTTTTGTGATTGTCTTCAAACCGTAGAGCTGTTTTAACTGTGAAAGCATGCAGGGTTGCTGTTGATTAGCTGAGTGGTGTTTATTCCTGGTCTCTACAGAGGCTGAAGTGCTCATAGTGTCTGGTTTAAAGAACACTGATATCTTTGTGGGAGAGCAGGCAGTGTTCTCCTGTCAATTGTCTCGCCGTGCTAAAGGGAGAGTCCAGTGGTGGCTGGATGGCACCCGTTTGGAGAATGGTCCCTTCAGTGTTATTGGGGTGGGTGAAGACAATATCCATACCCTCACCCTAAAGAACCTTGCACCAAATGACTCTGGCACCATCCTGTTCAAAACGGGCAGCTTGACATCCTCAGCGAGGCTTTTAGTGAAAGGTACCAGACTAGGTTGCAGTCTTGAGGGGAAGAGAGCAGCTCTTTTGTTGTGGCCCTGCAGCATTGAGAGGAGAAACTAGTATTCATTGCAGAGCAGGTTTTGGTTGAAACATCTGTGTCCATGAATTTCCTGAAGTTATAACATCTGAAAGTCTTACCCATATTTTATGTTTATCTTAATCAGGACTTTAATGCCACATTGGTTTGGACTTTTGGACTGTTTTGAGAGTGACAGGCAATAGAGTAAACACTCAAATTTTTTAATCAGTTCTTGTTTTCTGTTTATAAATCATGCATTCACCTACTTCAAAAATAATTGTATAAAGTCTATTGATGTTATTGTTACATAGCTGCTTAGTGGTACATCAGTGTTTGGCCATCTACCCCCATTCTAAGCTTTGTATCACCCCCTTATTACAAAGTAATACCTTTCTGGCTGCAAAGGAATTTTACTCTGTGAGTATATATAAAATGTCCAGCTTTAGCAAATTCATGGATACCTTTACGATTGTGCAGTTATAATGCCATATCATAACTATACATCCTCTTCAGATATACCAATGCGATTTATTTGTTGGAGCATTTGGGAATCACTCTAAGAACCTCAATAACCATACATGAAATAAAAGTTAAATCCAATCCATATATATATATATATATATATACCAAATTATGGTCAAATGAAAATGAGCTTGCAAACTAGTGTTTATGAGAACGTACATTGCTATTTGGCTCACTTTACAAATTATGAACATGCATGAAAAGCAAATTAATTTTGCAGAATAAGTGCTACATATTTATTATTTTAGGAAGGTTTCAAAGTGCTCGCAGATCCCTTCAGAAGAGTCTGTGTATCCCCCTCAAAAGGTTGATATCTTGCTTGGCAACTCACCTGTGCATGGGTTACTTTATGGTTCCCATTCATCTGAAATGAGTAAGGAGTTCTCAGCCATCATTCTATCATGGCTTGTGCAAGTTTGAACAAACCTCTTTATTATATACCTTACTAACTATTAATCAGTTTTTATTCAGCTTTTCATCAGTATTTATCAGTCAAAACAATGTTGAGGTTATTAATTCCCAAAAAAATGTTCAGCGCAATATTTCATTAAAGTCATAATTTTCTTTATTATTCATAAAATTATTACTATTCGTTACTATTCATTAAATTAAAACTGGATAATGCAACCTACCCCCGGTAAATTGTTCTTAAAATTTTTGAAAATTGAATAATACTGTATATTCACTGTAAGTTGTTTTAGTGTAATGTGTTTTACTTCATCAGTTTGAACAGAAGCGCTATTGCTGACGGAGCTCTAGGTTCAGCCAATTACAGAAGTTATTTGTTATATATAGAATTATTATAGAATTATTACTTGTCAGCTTGTAAAAATTATGGATGTTGCAGATTCAGAATGGATTAAATTTGTATATCTTCCCTTGCATCATCCTCCCCTTGTGTAAAGCAAGATGTGAGGAAAATACTGAAGGCCGAGAGCAGTGTATTACTGAAGAACTGCTTATTATTAATAATAATTATTACCTATTACACAAAAGCAATGTATTTTAGCCCAAAACAAAGCAACTTAATCTAGAAGTAGTTTTAAAGAACAGCTTGGACATTTTGACTGTGTTTGAGTTGTTTAACATTAAGGAAATGCTAAGATGCTCTTGGAATAAAATATGTAACTAATATGATTAAGATTCTTCATTGCCTTTTTTATAAATCCAGCCCTTCTACGTTCTTCATTCTTCAAAAAGGTTTCTACAGTGTATAATTAAAAAACTCACTAAAAGAGTATAATGCTGTTTACCAGACAAAAATGTCAATCTAAATCTGTTTAGTTAAAGGTCCTCTAGAAAAACCCAGTTCACACCTAAACAGACTGCATGCGTTTACTGCATGACAAAAACATCTTGTAATAATAAATGTAATGCCACAGCCTTGTGTACATAATATATATATATATAATATATATATATATATATATATATATATATAAACCAGTATGATGCGTCATTGTGCCACTGGATTATCAAATGGCTTCATATGGCTTCCGAAAAAACACAATGGTCTTTAACATTTTTTTCATTTGGCTTATCAGTTCTTATCCTAGGTATAGTAACATGTGTAATGTAGATAAGATTATTTTAAATTCAAGTATCACACACTAACTTCAGCTGATTTTTGACTCCCATCTATAGATTGCCGTGTGGCCTTGTCAGAATTTAAACTTAGGTTCATCAGTGGTGCTAATATCCATTATACAAACCGGATTCCAAAAAAGTTGGGACACTAAACAAATTGTGAATAAAAACTGAATGCAATGATGTGGAGGTGCCAACATCTAATATTTTATTCAGAATAGAACACAAATCACAGATCAAAAGTTTAAACTGAGAGAATGTATCATTTTAAGGGAAAAATATGTTGTTTCAAAATTTCATGGCGTCAACAAATCCCAAAAAAGTTGGGACAAGTAGCAATAAGTGGCTGGAAAAAGGAAATTGAGCATATAACGAACAGCTGGAAGACCAATTAACACTAATTAGGTCAATTGACAATATGATTGGGTATAAAAAGAGCTTCTCAGAGTGTCAGTGTCTCTCTGAAGCCAAGATGGTAAGAGGATCACCAATTCCACCATTGTTGCGCAGAAAGATAGTGCAGCAATACCAGAATGGTGTTACCCGGCGTAAAATAGCAAAGACTTTTAAGTTATCATCATCAACCGTGCATAACATCATCAAAAGATTCAAAGAATCTGGAACAATCGCTGTGTGTAAGGGTCAAGGCCGTAAAACTCTACTGGATGCTCGTGATCTCCGGGCCCTTAAACGTCACTGCACCTCAAACAGGAATGCCACTGTCAAGAAAATAACAGAATGGGCTCAGGAATACTTCCAGAAAGCATCGTCAGTGAACACAATCCACCGTGCCATCCGCCGTTGCCAGCTGAAACTCTACAGTGCAAAGAGGAAGCCATTTCTAAGCAAGCTCCACAAGCTCAGACGTTTGCACTGGGCCAGGGGTCTTTTAAAATGGAGTGTGGCAAAATGGAAGACTGTTCTGTGGTCAGATGAGTCACGATTTGAAGTTCTTTATGGAACACTGGGACGCCATGTCATCCGGACCAGAGAGGACAAGGATAACCCAAGTTGTTATCAACGCTCCGTTCAGAAGCCTGCATCACTGATGGTATGGGGTTGCATGAGTGCTTGTGGCATGGGCAGCTTGCATGTCTGGAAAGGCACCATTAATGCAGAGAACTATGTTCAGGTTCTAGAACAACATATGCTCCCATCTAGACGTCATCTCTTTCAGGGAAGACCCTGCATTTTTCAACAAGATAATGCCAGACCACATTCTGCAGCAGTCACAACATCATGGCTACGTAGGAGAAGGATCCGGGTACTGAAATGGCCAGCCTGCAGTCCAGATCTTTCACCTATAGAGAACATTTGGCGCATCATAAAGAGGAAGGTGCGACAAAGAAGGCCCAAGACGATTGAACAGTTAGAGGCCTGTATTAGACATGAATGGGAGAGCATTCCTATTTCTAAACTTGAGAAACTGGTCTCCTCTGTCCCCAGACGTCTGTTGAGTGTTGTAAGAAGAAGGGGGGATGCCACACAGTGGTAAAAATGGCCTTGTCCCAACTTTTTTGGGATTTGTTGACGCCATGAAATTTTGAAACAACATATTTTTCCCTTAAAATGATACATTCTCTCAGTTTAAACTTTTGATCTGTGATTTGTGTTCTATTCTGAATAAAATATTAGATGTTGGCACCTCCACATCATTGCATTCAGTTTTTATTCACAATTTGTTTAGTGTCCCAACTTTTTTGGAATCCGGTTTGTATGTACTAATAACTATTTATTTGTGCTTGCAGTTCAAAGGACTAAGCCCCTATATATTGGATATTTTGAGAACTTGATGCTTCTGTATTTGGACCATTTTTCTGTGAACAGGGATGTTGGGGCTCTTTCTTCTGCTAGAAGCTTAGTAGAAAAGTTTCTCCACTAATCTTTAGTGTGCTTGAACTTGACATGTCTTGGATGCCTTGTGACAGTGTCCTTTTGGAACAAAAAGCATAAATAACCATAAATATAAATAACCATAATTAGTTCATTTTGAAGGTCCTTTTCTGCAGGAACCTCTTTTTAGTTAACTCTCATTGTGTGTTGTGTTTCAACCCACCTGCATTTTTTTAAGCTTCTTAATTCTTGCACTAATTGCAGGAATGGTTATGCAGCTACCTCTTTTGTAGCCACATAAAAAAATTACTTAAGTGAATGTAAAACAATATCTACATTAAAATATACTCAAGTATATAAAAAGTTAAGTAAGTGAAAAAAGTATTTTAAGTAAGTAAGTAATTTCAAAAATATTTGAATGGAATACAACTATTCCAAAAATATACCTACGTATAGGAACAAAGTAATAGTACCACTTTTTCTGAAACACTATTGTGTATATTTTTGTCCTGAATACTGCACACTAGCCTGTGAAGCCGTCTTAAGTATTGGACAGATATTATGTAGTTCTGGCTCTGAAAACAGGGCAATTTTGATGCCAAATGTATTTTTACCATATTGAGCGTGTACTTTACTCTGCCATTGCTCATACTTCACCCGCCCTCCTTAGATCCCACTGTGGAGGTGGTCAGTGCCATGGAAGACATCTACGTAGCTGAGAACCAGCCAGCAGAGTTCATCTGCCAGTACTCGCGGCCAGTCAGGGCCATATGGAAGCAAAATGGGCAGCCTGTGCAACCCGACGGCAACAGGGTAGTAGTGGAGCAGGACTGGAATGTAGCACGGTTGTACATTAGCCGTGTAACCCCACAGGACATGGGTACATACTCCTGTGAGGCTGAAGGGACCTGTGTTGAGGCACATTTGAGGGTGCAAGGTGAGCCTTGAACCTCACACCTGCATATAATTTGGGCAGAGATCCTGAAGTGATATACACAAAGATGTCCATAGCTTCTAAGAAAAATCATTTGATAGGAGAGAGCTATATATAAATGAAGGTAGGTCTGCCAACTTTCAGAAATGACCTTCAGTGAGATTTTCCCCCTTTACATTTCTCCATGCTCCATTATGTCCCCTAGAATTTTGAAGGGCTGGGCAAGTGCTTTGTGATTTCTTTTTTTTTTTCCAAACAGTGAGTTGAGAGTGTAAGGTTTGGCAACCCTAACGAATGCCTACGTGGAATGTGTCTTGTGTTCCACCATAACATTGTGTGGTGTGCGTTTATACAGAAAATATTTTTGAGAATTACTGAGAATTTTGAGAACACACCCACACCTCCAGTTTTTGTGTTGTTCTGTCATGTCTCAAAGAAGTGTGGGATATTGAGGCTTAAGTTGAGTTTCATAAGCTGGCATTTATGTGGATTCTCTTTTGGATATTTTATGATCCACTGTACCTCACTTATAAGTGCTTTGAGATGCACTCTTCAATGCAATATGCAATATTCAGGGAATGTGCAAATGAAGGTGGAATGCTGAGGCTGAGGGCTCAACTTGGAGCCTGTTGAAGCAGGGATAGAATAAAGCAGACTGTTTGTTGAACATCAAGGGCCCTATTTTTGTGGTCATAGTGCAAGCACAGAAATATATTTTGTAAGATATATTTTAGTATTTTTGTGACTTAGCACAGGTGCTAACCTGGGGCAGAGCAGTGCGACTGTAAACAAAGTCAGAGTTAGAGTGAATACATTAACAAAAGGCGTGGTTAGGTGGGCTGTGACAATAGCCAGTCAGATCAACTCCTCTCGTTCCTTTCAAGAGTCAGGTATGTACTGGCAGCACAGCACAGTGATATTTTTTCTGATGGCTGGAGATCACTGCCTTCCTACAAATGGACACATTCCAATTTTTATATTTTATGTGAAGAAAAAAAGTGAGTCTGGAGTTTTAAAGCCTCAGATGACTTTTTATGATACTTTTATTTTTATTATTATTATTATTGTCATTATTGTAGTAGAATAAATAAACATGGAGCATCTAATTTAGCATACATTTTAGCATACAGTTGAAATAAAATTAAATTCTGCGTTCTTATGCTCTCTGAAAAAACGAGTGTGCGAGACTCTACGAAATTGTCACTGGGGCAGTACCCCTCCTCCCACTGGGGTGGTACCCTCAAGGGTACATCTCTGTACCATAATCCATTGAAATTATATTTTCCAGGTTTCCCCACACTCTGTCTCATCTCCAGGCATTTTATTTTATTGCTCTGTTTTAAAACAGCAGGTTATGAAAAAATACAAATACATACTTTTCCATTAGGAAAAACATTTAAGGTGCATAATTGGACCTTGAAACCACTGTTGTACCTTTGAGGGCACATTTACATTGTTTGTACCTTGAGGAGTGATAAATGTACCTGCACAGTACCTTTATTTCTAATAGTGTAGTCAATTTGTTTGATAATTCTGTTCATTTCTTAATTCTGACTTGCTGTGTCTGACACATTTGACACAGCGGTAGATACTTGGCAGACCTGCAGGCTAGTACTGATACATGGCTGGTACATGGTTGAGACCCATGATAGAGACCGAAACTGGACTGGAGTACTGCAACACTACTTTCGTAAAACTTTATTGTCAAACTTTATTGTAAAACTTTATTGATTTTTGTAAATATACGCTAAATCCAAATTTGCAAATTTGCACATTCAAAGTTGTCCAGAGGTAAACAGATGAATAGGTAACAAGTGATGCTAACATGATTGAGTATAAACTGAGCATTCATAAACGCCTAAGTCGTCACTTTGAGAATAACTATATGAGCTATAGTCCCAACAGTTAAACAATGCATAATTGCAAGAAATTTTGAGATTTCTCTATTTATAGTCCATAACATTATTAATAGATTCAGATAATTCAGAGAAATCTCTGTTCATAACGGCAAGGCGAAAATCCAATATCGAATGCCCATGACCTTAGATCCCTCAAATGGCACGGCGTTAAAAACTGACATTAATGAATATAACCACATGGGCTTGGGAGTACTTCGGAAAACCCTTCACTGCATCTATAAATGCAAGTTAAGGCTGTACTATGCAAAGCAGAAGCCATGTATCAGCAACATCCAGAAATGCTGCCGACTTCCCTGAGCTCATCTGAGATGGACTGCTGCAAAATGGAAACACATGCTGTGTTCTGATGAGCCCATCTTTCAAATTGTTTGCGGAAGTGATGGATGTCATGTTTTCTGTGTCAAAGAGAAAAAGTACTTAATTGTTACCAACACAAAATTCAAAAGCTAATGTCTGTCTTGGTTTGGGGGTGCATTTTGGAGCAACATGCACTGCTGTCAAAATGATGTCTTTTTCAGGGACATGCCTAGTTGTTTCAGCAAGGTGCCAATGCCAAGCCACATTCTGCACGTTACAACATGGTTTCATAGTAAGAGAGTACTACTAAGTGCTATTTAGAATAAGATTTTAAATAATTTGTTTAGCAATAAATTAATATATCATTTGTTTTAAGAATTAATACAAAGTATTAATCATACATTAATAATTATTCATATACACTATATTGCCAAAAGTATTTGCTCATCTGCCTTCACACGCATATGAACTTGAGTGACATCCCGTTATTAATCCATAGAGTTTAATATGATGTCGGCCCACCCTTTGCAGCTATAACAGCTTCAACTCTTCTGGGAAGGCTTTCCACAAGGTTTAGGAGTGTGTTTATGGGAATTTTTGACCATTCTGCCAGAAGTGCATTTGTGAGGTCAGACACTGATGTTGGACGAGAAGGCTTAGCTCGCAGTCTCTGCTCTAATTCATCCCAAAGGTGTTCTATCAGGTTAAGGTCAGGACTCTGTGCAGGCCAGTTAAGTTCTTCCACACCAAACTCGCTCATCCATGTCTTTACGGACCTTGCTTTGTGCAGTGGTGCATAGTCATGTTGGAACAGGAAGGGGCCATCCCCAAACTGTTCCCACAAAGTTGGGAGCATGAACACATCTCCACTGCTCTAGAGTACAGTGGCGGCGTGCTTTACACCACTGCATTCAACGCTTTGCATTGCACTTGGTGATGTAAGGCTTGGATGCAGCTGCTCGGCCATGGAAACCCATTCCATGAAGCTCTCTACGCACTGTTCTTGAGCTAATCTGAAGGCCACATAAAGTTTGGAGGTCTGTAGCGATTGACTGCAGAAAGTTGGCGACCTCTGCGCACTATGCGCCTCAGCATCCGCTGACCCTGCTCTGTCATTTTATGCGGGCCTACCACTTCATGGCTGAGTTGCTGTCGTTCCCAATCGCTTCCACTTTGTTATAATACCACTGACAGTTGACTTTGGAATATTTAGTAGCGAGGAAATTTCATGACTGGACTTGTGCACTCACTGCACAGGTGGCATCCTATCACGGTACCACACTGGAATTCACTGAGCTCCTGAAAGCGACCCATTCTTTTACAAATGTTTGTAGAAGCGGTCTAGGTGCTTGGTTTTATACATCTGTGGCCATGGAAGTGACTGGAACACCTGAATTCAATGATATGGATGGGTGAGTGAATACTTTTGGCGATATAGTGTATTTAAGTGTATATATACGAAAAATAACGAAGTTAATTAGTTTAAACAGTAAATATCCTGTATTTATATGGTTTTCTATTGCATACAGTTTAAAAAGGATTTCCAAATTGTTGCTGTCTGTTTTTAATTGGTGACACTTTATTTTGATTGGTCCTTTTTAGATGAAATAAACACTCAACAGACTCTGAATATCGTATCAACAATATATTAATGATGTAGCAACGGTGAATACGTTCAGTACGTTATCGAGAGACTTTTAATTAACTGCGTAAAAAAAATTTTATAGTCTACTGAATTCAGTTGTTTTTCACTTCATTTGGAGTGTCCTAATTCATATGTGTAGATGTGAACCTGAGTGGGCACTGAACATCTAACGTAATGCAGACATTACGACATCTTCAGTGAGCTCTTATAGACATGGTGTTGACGTTCTTCTGTCAGAGGACTTTAAATGGATTAAGTTTTGGTTAAGGTTAAGTTAAGGATTAGTGCCAGAGTAAGGGTTAGGATTAGGTTTTGGGTTGGGCTTAAGGTCAGGGTTAGGATTAGGGCCAGAGTGAAGGCTAGGATTAGGTTTTGAGTAAGGTCTGCTTCATATGACATATCAACAATACATACGTAACATAAGTAATGTATCAATAGTACATCTTCAGGATATTTACCTCAATGTAGTCAGATGCTTTACTACTGCTTTTTCACTGCCACTTCACTGATATGTTACTGATACTCTGTTAAGAGTTTATTAATAAGTTACAAAGGACCATTCAAAATAAAGTGTTACCCTGAAACAGTAAACCAGAATTATGATTATTATTTACATTTTTTTGCCAAGCACTGTAGTTTGTTAAGTAGGCTTAACAATTGTCAAGCAACATAGTGATATTTCCAAAGATTCCATGAACACCCCAGTGGGTTTTAATAACGTGGTTCATTAACATAGAATTTTCTTGATGTGTGCAGTCATATATGTGCAACTATAAGAAATTGTGGATGTCTTTGTGGCTGTGCTTAAAGGTAGAAAAATACTGTGCAAGCATTAGAGATAAAGGAAGATATGAAGAGGCGGTAACACAAGCTTGTCTTCAGACCAGATGAGTTCAAAAATACTGTTGCACCAGCTCCGCTCCACCCATGTTGTTGCATTTCTGACCAGTAAAATAGCAAATGGGTGTAAATGGGGTTAATGTGTACTGTTAGAGCACAGCCACGCCAGCATGAAAATAGAGCCCCAAGTGATTTTAAGCAGTTGGTTTTATTTTGCTTTTGCTTTTGTACACATTTACTTGCTTTGTAAAGGATTTTAGTAAAACCTAAAGCTGTTCCTATTCCTATTTTTTCATTGACTGCACAGTTATTCACTAAGCTAATTTCTTAAACTTCTCCTGCAGCTAAACCCATTGACATTGTTCAAGGTCTGGATAATGTGGAGACTATTGAAGGTGGAGAGGCACTTTTTGAGTGCTCCCTATCCCGCCCTGAGACAAAAGACTGCCGTTGGTTGATTAATGCAAAACCTGTGAAACAGTCTTCAAAAGTGGAAATAGTTTCCTTTGAGAGTGGTCGTCGCCATCTTTTACTGCTGAAGGACCTGCGTGCTGGTGAAAACTCTACAGTAACATTTCATGCCGGCACTGCATCCACTTCTGCCCTTCTTTCAGTCAAAGGTAGGTCACCTTTCAGTTTTGTGGAACAAAAGTATGTGTTTTTATAGGTCATGTTAAGTTGACAGCATTCTTTCAGGTTTTAGTTGTCCAGGCTGCTCAGTGTGTATGCTTTATAAATACCTCAGCTATTCAAGCTATATTTGTCATTTTTGCAAGTAAAAATGGGAGGGAAAGTGTGACACATGATTAAAAAAACAAAAAAATAAAGTAATAATTAGCCAAATTTATAGGATGACATGGCATCTATTACTTTGAATTGCAAAAGAACATAGTTTTCGGCAAATGTGCTGTTTTGCTAAGGCTAGGCAAAGAAGATTTGTAAAGCAAGGCTGCAAACAAATCGAAGAAATATAAATTATTAAAGTCAGAACTGCAAAAAGGCACAGAGGTTAAAAAAAAGAATAAAAGAGGGCTTTTGTAGAACAGAAAGAGTTTGAAGAGAAAATTGAAGAAGAGTTGAAATTGCTTATACATTCATGGATAAAATTGCTCCACAGCCATTAAAATACAACCTGCTGTGCAAAATATTAATAAAAATACAATGCAATGGTGTGCAAATCGTTTAAACCCTGTATTTAATTGAAATAATACAAAGACAACATATCAAATGTTGAAACATTTGCTGGCATCAAATTTAAAATGGGTATATTTAAAAAAAAACAATAAAATTTCTCAGTTTTAACATTGTCTTTGTAGTATTTTTGGTTAAATCATTTGCTCATCACTGCATTCTGTTTTTAGATTTAGATATTACACAGCATCCCTGCTTTTTGGAAACGAGGTTATAATTTGTCATAGATTTTGTGAAGGATTTGAGAATCTTTGATCTGTGGCCACAAAGACCCAAGCTTTGTTCATCCCACCCTTTAAAAAATCTTTCTGTAGCTTGGCCACTACAAATATTTAATTGTAACAGTATAGTGTATATCCTGCCTGTTAAAGTGTACACCAGTCAAGTTTACAGTATCTTTCACTAGTACATAAAAAAAGGCATATGCTTGTCCTCAAAACCAGACAAGCATATTCTAAATAGTGAGAAGCCATGCACAAATCCTAATCCTTGTCTTTATTGTTTTGTTTTTTAAATGTTAGAATAATTTAATTGTATTTTTTGTTATTTGATGTTATGTTTTTTAACTCATACATTCAGGCTGGCAACTGGAAGTGGTGAAACCCTTGGAGGATAAGACAGCCATTGTTGGTGAGCAGGTGGAGTTCACATGTGTTTTGAATGAGCCTGTGCCAGAGAAAGATGTGAGCTGGTATGCCAATGGTTCTGAACTGCAGCCAGATGACCTTTGGGCCATGAAAGTTAATGGATGTAAATGCAGCCTGATCTTAAAAAAAGCTCAAATTCAACCACCACTGGAGATCACCTTTGCTGCACAAGATGCCATTTCAGTGGCCAAGCTAATTACTGTTGGTAGGTGTAAGCTAGGCAAACCAGTACATAAGTACTTTTCCAGTATTTGGTATTCAGTATATTTAGTATTTAGTAAATCTTTTCTATTCTGCAAGATTTCTGCACCTTCAAGGAGCTTCCCACTGTGGCAGTTGTTTGCTTATCGACAAAAAGAATCTAGTATGCTACTGCTGTGCTATGTTGATCAATTGTGTTGGCTTTCAGCTGTACCTGATCCCCCTGAAGATCCAGAGCTGGTGAGTAAGGGTCCAACGTCAGTCACACTGTCTTGGTTCACACCTCTCAATGATGGGGGAAGCCCAGTCCTTGGCTACCGTGTGGAGATGCGACAGGTGGACAGTGTACTTTGGCTGCCCTGCCATGCAGAGCCAGTGTGCAATACTGAGTTTCTGGTGGATGACCTTATCCCTGGATCGGGGTATAGATTCCGGGTGGCAGCTATTAACCATGCTGGCATAGGTGACCCCGTCCAACTTCCTCAAACTGTTATGCTTGGTAAGGGAAACAGCCTGTCACGTGGGTGTTTTGATATCCTTTTTAATATTGATTAAAAGTGTATCTGCCCCACATGAAACTAGGTTTCAGTGCTTTAAATTAAAAAAATTGTAATAACACTGTAGCATGTTGAAAAATGTTATGGCATGTCAGATTTGAGTTATGTGTTCTCTAGCATTAATTTCACTTGCTTTGTTTTACTATGAACTCTTATTGTAGAGGTCAGGGTGGGGGGTTTATTTGTGTATGTGAGCAGAGAGAGAGAGATAGAGAGAGATGTGAGCTGGTAGAGAGCGAGACAAACTTTGCTTATGTACGGTGTGGCTGTGGCTGACAACAGCTGGAAAATAAGGCACCACGACTTGTGCAAAAGCAATGTCTCTTTCAATAGCGGTAAATGCTACAACTGGCATCAGAAGCAAAGGGAGATATTCAGACCATTCGACCGTGAGCTGCTAGGCTAAGCTACATAGCTCTGAGAGAAGGTGGAGTAATCTTTTTGTATAACAGTGAAGAAATATGACAGTGAGTGTGAGTTGTACTGCCCGTGAGTGCCGTGAAAGAGCAGTTGTGGTGAAGGAAGAGCTGAGATTGGAAGTGTCTGCATGCTCCCGTGACATCAGCTGGAAATCCAGGTGCAGATGTAAAAAATATGACAGTGCCCATGAGCAGCAGACGGTGGTAAGCCTTAAGACTCCGAAATACTCTGACAAAGCAGATTGGGAGGCTTTCCATGCACCATTTGAACTGGTAGCCAAGTCGTGTGAGTGCTCTGATGCACACAGAAAGCCCTGCAGCTGATGCTTTGTTTGACTGATGTGTCAGCTTGCCGGCTATTGCTAGACCCTATCGAGAGATCTGATTGCAGAGCATTGATCGGGTTGCTCCAGAGACATTTTGGGCAGTGTTGAAACTTTAACAAGAGAGGCTTATGCTTACATGCCAACTTCTGTACAGAGTGAGCTAACCTGAGACCAGTTCATCAAGGCACTGTCTCCAACTAAGCTGCATGTCCACACACACAGCTGGCCCTGAGTTGGCGCTGGAAAGAGAGATGGTGTGGTCAGCAGCTTCACAGTGCACAGGTGTTACTAATCCTGCAGTCACAGCTGTGGAGTCAAAAACCACCAAAAGGACCACCAAAGTCAGCGGGAATGGAGGAGATGGTAGAACTGATCCAAGGATTGGCTATGCCTGCAATTTTAAGTTTACACTGCATATGTTTACATCGACATATTAAGCATAGGGACATATGAAGCCCCTACCTCTACACATATCCAGGTCTTGCATGTCCCAGATGAATGCTGCTATAGCCAAACAGGTACACCACAGGTAGCAAACAAACTGTGGCTGTTGGGGGGCAAACATTCATTTCAGATGCCTGCCGCATTTCCATCAACATTCAAGGGTTTCCATGCACTGCTCTGGTCGACACAGGGTTTGATAGTCACTGTGGTCTGGCCAGAAGTGGTACTTGCAAGGTTTGAGCTATAAGACAAGGCAGTTCATCTCTCAAGTGACCGGTAAGCTAGCAGTGATACAGGGTAGGGTATGACTGATGCTGACAGTCAAGGGCAAGAATATGTGCCACTTAGTCTGGATGGCTGAGGTGCAAGATGTGAATTCTGTGCCTAAATTTTAGACCTAGAGAGTGCCATGTGGTAATAATGAAGCTGCTAGATGTCCACTGCATAGTTGAATATGCAGTGTCAGACCTAGTTGGAGGATCTCTGGGGGCAGGGTGCACTGTCAAATCGAGGGCCTAATGGCTTTTCATAAGTGAAGCTGCTGGTGCTGGAGGAGCTGAACACCCATCCCAGCTGAACAAGTATAGAGACAATGAGTGCAGGTATTCTGCATGTAAGTTTTGTGTAGTAAGTCATGGTGGAGGCAGTGACATGGTATGGGAGTCTGTAATCTTTGCCGAGACCATGACACTGACTCTTTAGGGTATCACAAACCACTCCAGATTGAAGCTTTTCTATAAGGATTATGACTGCCTGGGAAATACTTTATTCATCAGCAACATAACCTGAAACAAACCAAAGAGATATTGCTATAATTACCTGTCAAGGAAAGAAAGTGAGCAATAATTCAAATAAATGGCCTGGCCTGTCTAGTATTTCTCATTTTTTAATCTTTTTTTGAGGCCTCAGGTAAATTCATGTACCACAATGCAATGAGCTATTATTAGGTAATAGAAGTGTGTGATTAAAGTTTGCACTCACTGACCATTATATACCCAAATATGTGTGGACTTTCCTTTGATAGAGTAGCTTACAGGTTCCAACCCTGGGTCCTGGAGTACCCATTGTAAATTTTAGCACTTTCTCCAGTACCAAGGTTGGGAAGCTGTGGAGTAGCAGAAACTACTAGCTTTTGCTGTATTACCCAATTGTTACTTATGGTTATTTGGCTGTAGTCAAGCACTTACAGATCCTCTGTACGAGAGCACACATAATTGTCTCTTTTTGTTTTGGTCTTCAGATGCACCAGTGACTGTGACCAAAAAGTTAGGTAGCTCTGAGCTTCAAAAGGGTAAGATGGCCCGTGTGAAATGTGAGCTCTCTGCTGAGAGCATGCCAGTCACTTGGCTAAAAGACAATCGAGAGATTGAGATGGGAGTCAAGTACCAAGTGGTAACAGAGGGTAAATCTCAAGTATTGCTCATTAAGGATTTCCAGCCGGCTGATCAGGGTGTCTACACTTGTGTTGCTTCAGAGGACGCTGAAACCTCCATCAGTTTGAACCTTGAAGGTACCTCACTGTGCACATCTTACACTAGAACTTACACCCTAATTGAAACTCATTACACTCTGGCAGGAACCTCATAATTAAGTATAACTGCAGGTTCTTGTGTAGTGCAACTGGCCAAGAGGAATGTATGCTGGCTTATGTCCCAATGATAGCACAGCTGACCCTGCTCTGTATGTGGAAAGGATTAATTAGTTCTTCTGTCTCTGTCACAGTATGCAGTTGTGCTGGCCAGTTAAGGACCTTGTAGTATTATTGCAGGAGCAGTTTTGTCTGTATCAGAGGAAATGTGCTTGCCTTCACACTGCCAGATTTGTTGATTACATACAACAGGGGAGAAACAGACAGTGCTCCATTTTAACATGATGTAATTTCTATAAATGAGTTAGATTATGACTAATATGTGGTGTATTTCTGCATCTTGGATAATCTAAATAATTATCACATTGCTAAATGTCATTATTTTATGGTGTTATGAATCAGTAAAAACTGTAAACCTGATGTGCAAGTAAGACTGATATATGCTGGCATCCTTCATTGCAGGAGATGACACTTTGATTTCTCAGCTCCAGCCAGAGGAAAGTGGCCAGCCTAGCTTGCCCCCAGAATCTGCCTCAGAGGGTGATCTGCATGCTTTATGGGAGGCTCTTGCTAAAAAGCGAAGGATGAGCAGGGAACCCACATTGGACTCCATCTCTGAATTGCCAGAAGAAGATGGTAAAGACAAGGCACAGGACCAGCAGGGTAAAGGACTGGAGAAAGAGCAGATCAAAGGGAAGAAGAGCCCCACTGAGCTTACCTCTAATATCAAACCTGAACCAAATCTGTATACCAGCTCTGAAGATGAGCCCATCAGCAGGGCTCCAAGTCTAATATCCTACCTCAAGAAGAGCAGCAAATCTGTCCTTACAGTGGAAAGTCAAAGTGAGGCCATTTCCTCCAAAAGGTTGTATGAACATTTCCAAATGGCTGAGCAATCTGTGCAACAGACCACAGTGAACACCACAGAGATCAGCAAGGAGGAGGAGCCAGACTTGCAGGAGGCAGCTACCAAAATCCAGGCAGCCTTCAAGGGTTACAAAGCCAGAAAGGACATGCGACCTGCTTTCAAAGAGGTTTTCAAGGACCAGACCAGAGAGCCTAATGGCACAATTCATCTTGAATGTGTTACAGAGGGAAAACCAGAAAAGGTTTGCTGGCTGAAGGACGGTGAGCCTCTGGCAGATGGCAAGCATTACCATATTGACATCTACAATGATGGCACTTGCTCTCTGATTGTGACAGCTGCTACAACCAAAGACACTGGGGTGTATACTTGCGAGGTCACAAACAAGTTTGGAGTTACCACCCACAGTGCAAAAGTGACTGTTGGATCATCACGAGAGTCATCTGGTCATCGACCGCTTACTCTAGGCTATAGTGCAGACAGTGAGCCTGACAGCTCCTCTGGCAGTGAGATGGATGAGTCCTTACGACAGGCGAGCAAACGATTGCGGAGACTCCTACGTACATGCCTTCCACCAGATGTAGAAGAGGAGCCTTTCGTCAGTGCTGATGAGGGTAACTTACAGCCACCTGATCCACACTCATACCGTGAGGATGATCGCTATATCTATATTCGCTTTGACACCCGCAGTGAAGCTCAGGTTGCATCCCAGCGTTTCCAGCAAATGTTCACACAGCAAGGGGTGCCTGTAGAAACAACTATTCTTGAAGCAGGACCTAAAGTAGAACTGTGCATCAAGAAGATGGGCTTCGGCCAAGATGGTTCCCAAACCCCAACTGAAGATAGACAACTACCTGCTTATATGACTGGAGCCCCTGGTATGACAGGTTTACTTTCATCTTGTTTTGTATTCACTGAAGATAAACCTGATTGCAGTTTACTCTAGCTGAAACATTTCTGTGTGAGCATGATTGAATGGTTTTGTAACAGTTTCTGCTGTTTGTTTTCAAAGCTTTCATTTTCAAAAGCCAGCTGTCTGCTTTTTATCCGCTAATTTATTTTCTAGTATGTCTCTCGCATGAAATATTTTGGGCTGCTTCAGCTCCTCCCTGCAAGTGGTGTTTTGCAGTGTTCTGCCATACTTTTTCAATGTTTCCTCTATCACTACCCTTTGGGCTCACAGCGGCCCCAGTCTTCCTGACACAGCTCCATAGCCAGGAGGTCCCTGATGGGTACCCAGTGAGCTTTGACTGTGTGATCATCGGCAAACCCCCTCCCAGCATACGGTGGTTCAAAGATGGGAAAATGGTAGAAGAAGATGACCATTATATGATCAATGAAGACCAGGAGGGCTGCCATCAATTGATCATTACAGCTGTACAACCATCTGACATGGGCGTGTACCGCTGTATGGCTGAGAATGACAGTGGCATCGCTTCCAGCAAGGCGGAGCTTAGGGTGGAAAGTGAGTACACTGCTAAAAGAAAGTGTCCTCAAACTAAAAAAACTGCTAAAAAACTGGAATGGAATTAATGGTGCCTGAAAATCTGTCGCTTCTCATTATGTCCTTGCAACTGATCTGCCACTTTCTTTTACCAGTGATGTTGTAATATCTTGAAAATGACATGTTTATGCATGACTTTGGATTGACGCCACCTGAAAAAGCATGTGTGTCATTACTTACATTACTAATAATAGTCATCTAGTGCAGGGGTATTCAACTCTGGTCCTAGAGGGCTGATGTCCAGCACAGTTTGGTAATGGTTCTCCTCAAAAAACCACCTACTAAACTTGTCAACTAACAGATGAGTTGGAATAGGTATGTTTGAGCAGGGAAATCACCAAAATGAAGACCACTGATCTAGCCAAAGCCACCTTTATCCCTAGGTCAGGGGTTAGCAACATGCAGCTCTTCTTCTGCCCTGTTGCGGCTCCACAGCAGAAAAAGATTTTTTGAAGGAAAAATAAAATAATCCTCCTTTGCAGTAAAATAAAGCTCTGCTGATCGTTCTAACCCAGTTTTAACAAAAAATGGTCTTAAACGCTGGAGTTAAGGTAGCTAATGGGAGTTAATGGAGTTAATGTAACTGCCAGCCTTTAACCCTGAAGATCGGCGCGCAGACTGCTGGTCACATAGCAATGCAGACAGTCTCGTCTGGCAAAGAGAAAGATTGAATTATCCCGTTCCACCTTAAATGGTGCCCGAGGCGCCAGAATGTCACTGCTGCACCATGTAAGGTGGAATGGGAAAATCTGAACAAGAAGCTGGCAAACGAGAAGCTGATTTCAGCTTTGCGACTTTTTCGTGCTTGACAGTTTTTCAGGAAATGAGCTGGAATGCTTTTAAATACAAATAAGTCCATTCGTGTCCAAATCATTGATGTTCGTCTGCAATGTTTCTCTTTGCCAGGCGAGATTGTCTGCATTGCTATGTGACCAGCAGTCTGCGCGCCGATCTTCAGGGTTAAAGGCTGGCAGTTACATTAACTCCATTAACTCCCATTAGCTACCTTAACTCCAGCGTTTAAGACCATTTTTTGTTAAAACTGGGTTAGAACGATCAGCAGAGCTTTATTTTACTGCAAAGGAGGATTATTTTATTTTTCCTTCAAAAAATCTTTTTCTGCTGTGGAGCCGCAACAGGGCAGAAGAAGAGCTGCATGTTGCTAACCCCTGACCTAGGGATAAAGGTGGCTTTGGCTAGATCAGTGGTCTTCATTTTGGTGATTTCCCTGCTCAAACATACCTATTCCAAAAAAAAAATCGAACGATGAGAGACATTTTACAATAAACTATTTTACTTTTGTGGAAAAGTATCCTGCCAGAGAAAAGCACCTATAGCTGTGCTGAGGCTCAAAGCAGAGCAAAGTAAGTCTTCGTTTTTGTTTATTTTATATTTTTTGGCCTATACTCACATACTGAGACATATTTATAGCCAGAATGGTAAAATGGACATAAAATGTTGTGGCGGTGGTTTGATTTTTGTTGAAAGGACTTAACATTTGGGTTGCCGACCCCTCCCCTAGTTGATTTATATAACCCATACTGATGCACAGACATATGGAAGCCCTGAAGTGTACGATTAAAAAAAGTTGAAAGTGCTTTCCTAAGTCATAGTTCCATATTATTTATTTATTCTGCCTGTATAATAAACCAAACAGTTGAAAAAATATTTCTAGCATCACTTGTGCAATTTCAGCCATCAAAAACCTCATTTTTTTCCAGATGTTAAGAATTAGGCTGCTGTACCAGATTTGACTACAAGGGGCAGCAGATTTTTTTGTCTCTTACCCCTCAGGGACCAGGTAATTTTTTTCTTTCTGGGGGGATAAATGCTAAGAATTAGTGTGCTACCAGCTATGACCACATGGAAGCAATACAACTCAATAGACTGCCATTGCAGAGGCGACCACAGAAGTAATGTTAGCTGTCATTCTGTCGCAGGTGTGTCGAATGGTTGAGCGGTTCTTTCTTTTAAAGTTTGCCTATAACAACCCTGAAAGAAAACGTCAGCTTATTAGCTAAGTGACAGTAGGAGATTATGTATGATAGTTACATGCTAGCCAAGCCCGTTTTGGTCACCTAGAATTTCTGTACTGTTTGTAGGACAATGTAATGGCTCACAAACCTTCATATAGCTTACCTGTCGTCCTAATTTGTCTCGGTAGGTTAGCTACCAAGTTCAGTTTAGTGTACGTAGACCTGCTTATTCAGTAGATAATGTTTTATTTGCTGTGGCTAGAGTAGCTAAGTAGCGCAAATGGTGTTTCTAGATGGAAAATACACAGAAACGGAGAAATTAACACGTTGCACAGTAACAGCACGTTTGTACTCAAACTACCCATTTATTCCTCTGTTTATTCAAGCCTGAAAATTGAACACAAGAGGTGATTGTAAGTGGATTAAAAGAAGGATTGCATTTGAGGGCTAAGTTACTGTTTTACTGTGGAAAGATGATCAGCTGTAGTACATGAACTGGCATTCTTTTGAATGCATAATTATGTATGTCAAATTTATAAAAGTATGAGCTTTTAGAAGAGGTATTAACCAGTTGTCATGCATCTCATTTTCTTAATTTAACTGATATCTTTCTATCTACCTATATCAGGGACTCCAGGGGTGCCTGCAGAGCTATCATCATGGAAAGTTCAGATTTCAGATGGCTATATTATTCAGATGACCCTGAAGGCCTTAATTGCCTGAATCAGGTGTGATAGGTTATAATTTGAGCTAAACTCTGCGAGGTGATAGATCTTCAGGACCAGGATTGGGCACCCCTGATCTACACTATGAATAGAGCTCCATCACTCCAAAGAAAACAGTTCCATTTTTCCACAGCTCAGTGCTTGGCTCTGGGAATGGTGACCTTAGGCTAATGTGTGGCTGCTATAGAGCATCCCATTCTAGTGGCTGTGCTTTTCTCTAGAGATTATAGAAGCTTTGTGTGCATAATTGTGATTGAAGATCTTTGTCAGCAGTGAGGGCACCTTAATGTTGCTGAATTCAGTAAAGGGAGTCTACAAACATTTAGACACACAGTCTGTCAGTCTCAGTCTGTCTGTCTGTCTTACATTATAGAGGACCAGTTCTAACTTCACATGTAATGCAGTTCATACAATTCCTTATGAATGCCTCTCTGTCAAATTGGCTCAACTGAAATAATTAATGTACATACACATTGTTTTCCTTTTGTGGCATTACGTTAATATCAGTATCAGTTTATACTGTCACAGCTAAATGACACATTGTTAATATGCAAACAAGTGGAAATCTGATACAAAAGGTTGTTTATTGCAAAATAAAGAAAACACAACTGTGGTAAATGTAAGTAGGAAACACTGAAAGATGAATATTTTTACTCACTACAAATTACACATTACATAGACCACCCAATGGATTGTAAATATTGTGGCATTGTTTGGGCAATGTTTTATGCTAATCTTTCCAATATAACATTGATTTAAAATCACCCAAGTAACAATGTCTGTTCATGGTCTTGAACTTGTCACAGAGCATCATAATAAAATAATTCGATATGAATGCTCATGTAACATTTGTTGAAGACCATAAACAGGCCATTGTTTGAAGTCACTCATATAATAATCATTCTCATTCACTAATATGTTGCTAGATTTTTTCCTAAATTTGTTGTTGAGAAAGGTCTGAAGAAAAAGTCTACATCAGATTCATTACATGTTCTTAAACCATATAGTTGTTCACACCTTTGTGCTCTTATGTGTGTATAGATTCTGTTCTTACCTAAGAACAAACCCCAAATAAGAAAACATTTGGTGTACCTCAAAATCTTTGTGAAAAAAGCATAAGTGGGTTTTGAGAAGAAATTTCTTCTTCAGAATGGTTGGTGAACGATGCCCAATGTCCTTCTAAAGAGCCATATGACATTCAAAGTCCAGATATGTTTTCAATGTACGTTTGAACAATATGTGAAGTTTCAGTTCAAGAGGAAACAGTCAGTCTTGAGAAACAGCTACTGAATTTTCAGTGGTGGCCTCTTATTCATGGTAACATCATGATCATCTTAACTTTAAATCACCAGAAAAAACAATAACTATATTAACACTTCCTCTATGATGGCAAAGACAGACAGACTGGCTATGTGTCCAAAAGTTTGTCGACTTCCTTTATTGAATTCGGCAACATTAAGGTGCACCCATTGCTGATAAAGATGTTCAGTTACTCTCTGTTAGAAGCCACACATGAGCACCATTCCCAATCAGCTAGAGGGGTATAAAGCCCCCCAGCACTGAGCTGTGGAAAAGTGGAATTGTGTTCTCTGGAGCGATGGAGCTCCATGTAGTACAGATCAGGGTGACCGATCCTGGTCCGGGAGATCTATCAATCTGCAGAGGTTAGCTCTAGTCATAGTCAGTCACACCTGATCCAGGTAATTAAGCCCTGCAGGGGTATCTGAATAATGGAGAAAACTTTACATGGTGGTAGATCTGCAGGCCTAGGATTGGGCACCCCTGGTGTCCATGATATAGATAGGTAGATAGATGTCGGTTTAATATAGTAAATTACATGTATGACAACTGGTTAACAGCTCTTCTAAAAGCTCATAATTTAATATAAATTCGACATAAGCATAATTATGCATTTATAAGAACACCAGTGAGAGGGGGTTTAGTCCCTGGTTGCCATCTAGAAATGGCACGTATTGCCAGGTGCCATCAATAGCTGGTAACAAGTGGCACTTGCTACTCACACCGCTCCGTTAGTGGCACTCGGCAGTGGCGCCTGCCACTCAGAAACAGTGCGTGCCACTCAAAACAGGCACATACCAACAGTTCTGTGCATAAAGCAGTAACTTAGCATGTAGCACATAATAGCCCCACCATTGGCCATTAGAATCAGATTTATTGGCTAAGTATGTTGACACACAAGGAATTTGGTTCCAACTGTTGGTGTCTCTCTAGTATTACATACAGCATACTAGCAATGTACGTATACTTTACAGACAATACACAAAATACACTAGACACAGTATACAAGCAATAATAGAATAAAATAGAAGGACAATAATATGCAGGCAATGTACATATTATTTTCAGACAAAAAAATGCACAGTATACAAGCAACATAAGAAATATAAGGACAAACAATATACATAAGAATGTGTGTGGTAGGGCAAACGACAGTAGTGTACATTTTTTTTTTAATGAAATTGTGTTCAGTGGTATGGATAATATAGGTGTAATAATTATCCAGAGAAAACGGGGTAGCTATGGATATGATTTTTTCAGTCTTGGATGAGTCTGATGACAGTAGTGTTGTCTGCAAATGTCAGGAGTTTAACAGATAGGTCTGTAGAGGTGCAGTTGTGTAGAGAGAGAAGATCAGAGGGGAGAGTACGCATCCTTGAATAGCACCAGAGCTGACTGTCTGCACAGCAGAAGTGACTTCCCCTAGCTGCACCTGCTGTTTCCTGCCTGTCAGGAAGCTGGTGATCCACTGACAGATGGCTGGGGATACAGTGAGCTGGGAGAGTTTGGAGGAGAGGATTTCAAGAATGGTGTTGAAGTCCACAAACAGGATTCTTGCATATGTCCCTGGGCAGTCAAGGTATTGCAGGATGTAGTGCAGTCCCATGTTGACTGTATCATCTACTGACCTGTTTGCTCGGTAGGCAAACCACAGGGGGTCGAGCACGTGTCCTGTGACATTCTTCAGGTGGGCCAACACCAGGCTGCCGTGTGGCACGACTTCCGGGGCGCTTTATAGTGTGCGACTCGATTAGCGGCTCGTCTGTTGTTTTTTTATGTTTTCTTTACATGTCGTTTATGTCGGGGACCCATTGAACACGGATGTAGCAATGTTTTCAGTGTTTTTCTTACACTTATGGATGTTTTTATGCGCGTGTTACGGATCTATTTAGGAGGGTGAACATGAACAAAGCTGCTGGTCCTGATGCCATTTGTGGGCACATTTTGCATCATTGTGCTGATCAGCTTAGTGAGGTTTTCACAAGATTTTTCCAGCTGTGTATTAAATGTGGTCAGATACCAACAATCTGGAAAACATCCATTATGATACCTATTCCAAAATTGAAAAACGCCAAGGAATTAAGTGAGTTTAGACCGGTTGCACTCACGTCCCTTGTTATTAAAAATTTTGAAAAGATTTAAAAAATATATAATTGTCTCTCTTATTGGTAATAAATTAGATCCTTTGCAGTTTGCCTACCAAGCTGGTAAGGGTGTAGAGGATGCAAAACTTTTTATCCTTGATAGGGTGTATAAGCACCTCGAGAGACCCAATTCTCATGTGAGACTCTTATTTGCTGATTTTTCTTCGGCTTTTAATAAGATGCAGCCTCATATTTTGGTTGAGCGACTGGCTTCTTATTTTAAATTACCTGATCAGCTGTTGGTGTTGCTTTTAGATTTTTTGACCGATAGAATTCAGCAAGTTCGGGTGAATGGCTGTATGTCCAGCACCATGGTCTCAAATATGGGTGCACCTCAGGGTTGTGTCCTGTCCCCTTAACTTTTTATTATGTACACGGACAGCTGCAGGACTTCTAGAGAGCTGTCTGATGACACTGTATTATTGTCTCTTCTACAGGGTTTAGAGTCAGATCATGGTTGTGCTCTTCCTGCTTTTGTGACGTGGTGTGATGAGAATTTTCTTGACCTTAATGTGTCAAAAACTAAGGAATTAATCATTGATTTCAGGCAAAATAAAAAGGAACCAAAAGCTAGTGTCATACAAGGAAAAGAGGTACAAATTGTGGACACATATAAGTACTTAGGAACAGTATTTGACTCCCAACTTAAATTTGATGCGAATACAGAGCTGGTTGTTAAGAAGGGTCAACAAAGAGCTCACTTACTGCGTAAGTTGAATTCTTTTCATGTTTGTCATACAGTGTTGTGTAGTTTTTATAAGTCATTTATTGAAAGTGTTTTAACTTTCTCGTTTATTTGTTGGTTAAATGGGCTGTCAGTGAGGGAGAGAATAGCCTGAATGGTGTTGTAAAAATCTGTTCAAAGATAATTGGAGTCCAACAGAGAGACTTGGGCTCCCTGTGGGTTAAACAAGTGGCTCAGAAAGCAAAAGGAATTATCACTCAATTTGATCATATTTTGTCCAGCAAATTTACTATAATGCCATCAGGTCAGCGTTATCTCATGCCCCTCAGTAGAACAAATCGCTATTCCAAGTCTTTTGTTCCTTCTGCTATCAAGCTACTAAATGCAGATAATAGTCTTTTTAAATGATTATATTCATTGTCTCCGTGCATTGATTTATTTATTTATGCATTTACCTATGTATGTGGATTTAGTGTCTCTGACGTATGTGTGTGTATATATGTACAGTCGTGTGTATGGACGAGAAAGCTGAATTGCCCTTTTTGGGACTAATAAAGTATTCTGAACTGAACCAGTCATTTAAAGGACTTAATGACCACAGGTGTTGAAGAGACAGGGCGTGTAGTTATTCAGTCCTGTGAAGGTCAGTTTCTCTAGCTCCAGGGATCTGTTGAAGATCTATGTGAAGACTGGAGCCAGCTGGTCAGCACAGGCTTTAAGACAGGAGGTGGAAACAGCATCTAGACCTGGCCCTTTTCTGGTCTTCTGTCTCTGGAAGAGCCTGCTCATATCCACTTAACATATTTTAAGTGCAGCCTGAGTGTCTAGGGGGAGGATGGGGGGTTGCCTGAGGTTTGATGGGGGCTGATGTTGAGCTGGCGTGATAGAGGGGTGTGAACTGATGACCATCAGGCTTGTGAACACATCACTCACTACCTCTTCCCTCCTCCCACTCTGAACTAGTTTAACTTTTGGCCGACTTTGCACTCAATAACTGCACCTTACATACACTGTACTGCTGCTCTCAGAATACTACTGTTTATATCTATTACTTGCACAGAACACTACTGTTCACATGCACTTTATGGACCGCTGCTCTACATACTTGCACATACGCACATGTCACTTCCAATTTTTCTTTTAACTTTGCACATGTAACTGTACTTTTTTACTATTGTTTTTAGTGTATTTGTACTTATTTTGTGTATTTAATATATATTTTTTATATTTCAATTTTTTTTCTAAGATTATATTTGGTGAATGGAGGAACAGCAAAGTAAGAATTTCATTGTACCGTGTAACTGCCTGTTTCTGCTGTGCAAATGACAATAAAACTCTTGAATCTTGAATTTATCCCTCTCAAACCTGCAATAGAAGTCATTCAGGTCGTCAACCAGGTCTTTGTTTGCTTCAGCAGGGGGCAACAGTCTTCTGTAGTTTGTGATGTCTTGAAGGACTCTCTGCACTGACGCACTCCTTTGTCAGTGAGTTTGCACAGGGCCCAATTTGGAATGTCGATTAAAAGACTTCGTACAAGATAGACTATCATTTTGTTGATTCACTGATTTTGCTGTTGGGTTGACGATTCTAACTGAAATTAGCTACTTTAGCTAAAGGCTGTGTGACTACAACAGTAAAACTAGCTTGATTACAGGCTCTTTTCAGGCTTTGTTGTAGCATAGAGAGTTGACAAAGGCATACTCAAACTGAATTAATTGCGATGTGTTATTCATGCTAAATCAAAGCGCTGTAAAGACCTTTTATCAGCATATTTATTAAACACCACATGAGAAATGTAGGCTTGTGATCTTATTTTTATTTATAACTTTGTAGTATTTACAGTGGTCCCTCACTGGCGTCTGCAGCGGATAGCCCGTGGCACCTCCTGCTCAGGAGGGGCACTAACCAAACGCCACTAACCAAGTGGCGTTTGGTTAGTGCCAATCGTTACCGGTTATTGGTAGCAGGTGCCTTCTTCCAAGTGCCACATATCAGGACATGCCATCTCCACACAGTGTAGTTGCCACTTCCTGCTGCCAGATGCCAAGCAGGGACTGAGTCTAGTTCACTAGAGTTGATCGTGTTTCCACAGTGAAACAGTAGCCTTCAAATGCAATCCTTCTTTTAATCCGCATACATATAAATAAATTTGACTTTGACTTTGTTGCATTGCTTTCCTGTGGTCGAAGCTGGGAGCTAGTGATGCTAGAAATATATTCTTATATCTGTTTTTGGTGTGTTATACAGGCAGAAAAAATAAATAACGTGGAACGTAGACTCAGGAACACGCTTTCAACTTTTTTTTTTTTTCGTCTTACCCTTCAGAGCTTCCGTACAAACAAGCATTTCATGTTTTCTACTCAAATAATCATCTTAATTCTGTGTATTCATGAAGTATGCCAATGCGAATGCACCGATAATGCAAAATATGTACTTTTATCTTTATAGTGTCTTGTAGCTCAGACTATGACACTGCAGCTGATGCAACAGAGACATCCTCCTATGTTAGTGCTAAAGGCTATGTATCCAGGTAAAATTAAGTTGTTTTTATCATTTGCAATAGCATTATCCAAAATGGATTTGATGACTTTTGTATTAAAAATAGATACATGTTGAATTTACCCTTTCAGGAGTTTCAGACTTAACATAAAACATGTATGTTATGTGTGTTATGTACAGACGATATGCTACCAATTCTTCTGTTACACTTCTAAACTTTATTTTACTTTTATTTTATGTTAATTTTATTTTTAATTTAATGAAGTCAGTTTGGAAACTGAGGTAAAAGAATAGAATGCCACTAGAATGCTTTATTTATGGGCTTATGCATTTTATTGTTTAAGACTCAAACAATGAAATGCACATGCCCATAAATAAGGCTTTTTTTAAAATAAGCCCATAAATAAATTAAATAAAATTGTACTCTTTAACCTCATTTCCATTATAACATAGGCAGACAGCTTCAGTATGCAGGAAAAAATCAGTGCAAATTTCACTGTCTTTTTGAAGGCCACCCCAAAACCAAAATTGACTTGTTTATTCTATTGCTTAGTTCTGAGCATAGGGACACAGAGGCCTTTGAATCTGTGGTGGAGGATGAACAACTTCCTCAAGTGGTGGAAGAGCTGCGTGACATTTACCTCAGTCCAGGAGCGCCCAATGCCAAGATGAGTGTCAGGGTCAAAGGTCAGATATTTTTGAAAGCACTCTTCTGAAACTATAAACATATCCTATTAAGTAGATGATAAAAGATTTAAAATACTGAATAACTCATGTGTCACTTAATGTGACATGACTGAGATTGTAATATTCCTATTAAAATTATGGTGAAGCAACTGAAAGTCAGTTGTCAGGTCAGAAGACAGGCAAACACACAGACATATACATTCACACACACACACACACATGCGCACACACACACACACACACCCCTAATTAGGTATTACCAGTTGGGCTGACTGCATGTCTTTGGACTGTGGGAGGCAACCGGAGCACCCAGAGGAAACCCATGCAGACACAGGGAGAACATGCCGTTTGCTAGTATTAACTAAATGCAAAAAAAAAAAAACATTTTTAAAAACACTTTTTACAGTAACACATTCCAAACCTTTATACAACCCATTTCCAAAAAAGTTGGGATGCTGTGCAGAATGTAAATAAAAATAGAATGCAATGATATGCAAATCACGTAAACCATATTTTTAAAGGACATTCCTACAAAGACAACATATTAAATGTTGAAATTGAGAAATTTCATTGTTTTTTTAAAAAATATGTGCCCATTTTGAATTTGATGCCAACAACACATTCCAAAAAATGTGTTGGGACAGGGGCCTGTTTACCACTGTGTTTCATCACATTCTTTTAACAACTCTCTGTAAGCGTTTGGGACCTGAGGAGAACAACTGCTGTAGTTTTGAAAGTGAAATGTTTTCCTATTCTTGTTTGATATAGGATTTCAGCTGCTCAACAGTTCAGGGTCTCCTTTGTCGTATTTTTCATTTCATAATGCGCCAAATGTTATTAGAGGGTGACAGGTCTGGACTGCAGGCAGGCCAGTTTAGCACCCGGACTCTTTTAATACGGAGCAATGCTGTTGTAATACATGCAGAATGTGGTCTGACATTGTCTTGCTGAAATAAGCAAGGCCTTCCCCGAAAAAGCCGTCGTCTGGATGACAGCATATGTTGCCAAAACATGTATATATCATTCAGCATTAATGGTGCCTTCACAGATATGCACGTCACCCATGCCATGTGCACTAATGCCCCCCTATACCATCACGAATACTGCCTTTAGAACTGTGCACTGATAACAAGCTGAGTGGTCTTTAGCCAGGAGGACACAGTGTCCATAATTTCCAAAAAGAATTTCAATTGAATGAAAAAGAATTTCCACTGCAGAATCATGTGTTTTTAATGCAGTACCACCTGAGGGCCCAAAGATCTGTTTTTTGGCCTTGTCCCTTGCCTACAGAGATTTCTCCAGATTCTCTGAATCTTTTAATGTTATTATGTACCAAAGATGATGAAAAGCAAAAGTTCTTCGCTATTTTATGTTGAGAAACATTATTCTTGAATTGTTGCACTATTTGATCAGTCTTTCACAGAGTGGTGAACCCCCATCCCAACTTTTTTTAGAATGTGTTGTTGACAACAAATTCAAAATGGGCATATATTTTTTTAAAAAAACAATAAAATTTCTCAGTTTAAACATTTGATATGTTGTTTTTGTACTATTTTCAATTAAATATAGGGGCTAAATGATTTGCACATCATTGCATTCTGTTTTTATTTACATTTTGCACAGTGTCGCAACTTTTTTGGAAATGGGGTTGTAAATCAGTCAAACCAGTTCAACAATTAATTCATCTGGGTTGCCCAAGAACAATATAAACTAGGCTAGAAACTATGAATAATATCAATAAACTGCAAATTTAAAGTATTATGGATTTTTAAATACAAGCCAGTAATACCTGTGATGTAATATATTAGTGTTGCACACAATCATGGCTACTATGCTAACTATGCACTATAGCTATTGTGCTATGTCTTTTGATTTAACTGTTAATAGTGTTTCTCACATCCAAGTTTCAAGTTATTCTATGCATAGTTCTGAACAATAAAAGGTTAAAACATCTAAAAAATGTGAGTTTTCAGGACTCTTCTTCTGATCAAAATTTTAGACAGCTTTCAAAATGGCCACCAGTAAGTGTGAACACATGTATAGCTACATCTTAGTATGCAGTTATCTGGTTGATTTAAAATGACAAGAGTGTGTAGTAACAAATACATTAATTACCTATCAAGTAGAATAGTACATTATTTTTTCTTAAAGTAATTTGAACCCCACAATGGTAGTGTGCTTAATGAGTATGTGAGCTTAATAGGTACGTTTACCCTAACTTTTTTAGTGTTTCTGGATGCAGCCACTGTTTTATTTAGCTTGTGAGCTGCTCTTAATAGGTTAAAGTTGATTGTTGATTTTCAGGGTTCCCTTCACCAAGAGTTTACTGGTTCAAGGATGGCACACCACTGCGGCCCTCAAACAGGGTTTTGCTGTCTTCAGAGAGAGACATGTACAGTTTAGAAATTGTGGAGGTGAAATGTGAAGACAGTGGGGAGTATTCTGCCTACATCAGCAATACAGCTGGATCTGCCTATTCCTCTGCACGTATGGTCATACTTGGTAAGTACAATCCTTGTTGAGTTGAAGTGAGTCAATCACAACATTTCTTCAGTTATATGAAATTATATTATTATATTGTTTTTGTGAACAGTTTGTTTTTTATTTATTTTCAATTTGAATCATCTCAGCAATCAGAAAATGGCTTTTTCTTTTTTCTATCCTTATTGTCTTTGTACTAGGGCCAGGGGAACGAATTCCTAAGCATTTAAAACTCAGAGGTATGTACCCAAAAAGTAAAAGGAGTCGGTTGTCATATTGAAATTTGTATTTTTATGATAGCAAGCAATGTGACTGTTTAATTTGGATTTAAACATTATTATGCTATTTTTGAGGAATGCTATGGCAAAACAAAATTGTTTCTTGAAGCTCTGTTAGGGTTATTAATTGGAGTTTTTAGACAAGTTTGAACTTATTTAAAATCAGATATTTCTCTTCCATGTCATTGTGTTCCACTGCGCTGTACTTCACAGACTCAAAAGAGCCTCTGATGCCTCCACGATTTCTGGAGAGGTTCTGCAACAGGACGGTGAAACAGGGATCGAGTATCACACTATCAGTCAAAGTGGAAGGTGTTGTATTGAGGCTCTGTGTTCAGAGCACTCTGTTACTATCATAAAATACTTTAATAATTCAAATTATTTTGTTTGTCTCCTCTACAAGTGTACTGTGAGATGGTTTCAGCAAAAGCTGCACTGGAGCTACGTTGCTAATGTAGCTAACAAAATAAAATTGATTTTAATTTTAACAAAAGTTAAAAATAGTAGTAAAAGCTTTTTTGTCTTGAATTTTATCTACGCTTTTGTCCATTTTTTTATAGATAACAATATTTCATACAGTGTCTGAAGCAAGTAAGTTTGCTTAATGTTCCACTACTTGTCCATTACTTCCATTACTTGTTAGCTACATTAGCTTCATGACTCCAGCAAAACTAAAAGGCAAACTTGGGACGCTAAACATGTCTTGATACATTGAAGAGAAAATAGATTTTTTGCTGAACGTTTGTTTTAGAAACTCTTCGTCTTTAAGTAGTGTTGTATGCATTCTTAAGCCTTGTTAGTTATTGTTAAACTATATAGTATCATATACTGCCAGTACAATTCAAGATATAATCTGAACAGCTCCTGGGATTAAAAAAAAAAGTTTAACTGGTTTCATAGGGGTTCATAAAGACCATTAGTGCAAGAATAAATATGGAAGCTAATTTTTATATCTGCAGGCTCTCCAACTCCCTCCATAAACTGGCTGAAGGAGGAACCAATGAAGGATGTTTTGTGGATAAAAGCAGACACACCTGGATACAAGGTCGCCAGCTCAGGCTGCCAGCACAGCTTGATCTTGATGGATATAAGGAAGGAACACAGTGGCACCTATACCTGCATTGCTACCAACTGTGCTGGCCAAACTCTTAACACTGCTTGTCTGGATGTGGAACATGGTAGGAAACTCCCACTGAATGAATGCTTGCTTATTACTTGCATGATCTTTATGCCTTACATTGTTTACCATACTGTTTAGAAGCTAATCTAGTATCTGAACAATTATATGATTTGATTCAAAATTGATTTTTCCTCATTATTTATCTTTTTCAGCAGTGCCAGAGAGCAAAGTTACACCAGAGTAAGTTCTGGAACAGTAAGGTTATAGGAAAAAGCAGTAAAGTTAAATACTTTGGGCTCATTCCTGATTACTTGTTATGTGTTTTTTAGATTTTTAGGAATTACAATTAGCCCACCAGAGGAAGAAAGCAGAGGTAAGAATGTGTTTATTAAACAGTTGTCTTTTGTTACTTTTGTGTTAATTATTGTGAAATTGCAAGCCATTGACCAGGTTACTGCTCTGTACAGCAAGTGTCATTTCTATGGCAGAAATTGTGCTGACATTGATGCTGTCAGCTTGATTTGTGCTTCATGATTCATAGGGATATCGAAGTTAGTTCCAAACTAATATGGTTTTATCTTCACCAAGGTAAAACTGGGTATTAGGTCAGAAACCAGTCAAAGCCTAGCCCAGTGGCATTGTTTGGGGAGAGGGGAATTGAGCACTTGATTTGCTTGGGCAAATTTAGCCCAAGATATAATGACACAATTATGTTTGTATCATAAATAGAAGTCCATCCAGCATGAGAACTTTAAGCAAGTGTTAATGCGGTTGTGTTAGTGGCATTCTCAAAGCTTGCTCTGACACAGACATATCCTAAATATGATTTCCAGTCCGAGAAGATTGCAATTGCAATGTCTGATGTAATATCCGGATAGAAATGGAAGATGCAGAGCAAGCCAATTCAGGTTTATTCAGGGACACCAGGAGTGGATGCCTCTTTATATTTTATTTTAAAAAAGAAAATCTTCATTTTCATATAGTGAGTATGTTTTCTTTGTCCAGTAAAATCAACAACAGCTTTGAATTCATAAAAAAACATTTTTTAGAAACCTGTTCATTTGCAGTTGGAGATGCAAGAAGTTTCAGACATGAAAATACAGTCGATATATAAAATGTCTACATACCTCTGTAAAAAGTGGCATGTTTTTATGATGTAAAAAAAGAAATCAAAATAAATTAAGACAAAATAAATTTTAGAAGGCTTTTCCACATCCTTTTTTGTGGAGCCATTCTTTTCTTGGTTTTGGGTGTATGCTTTCAGTTGTTGTTATGCTAACATTTTAAATTCCTCTTCATCTTCAGCTTTCTAGCAGATGCATGAGGGTTTTGTGCCAAAATTGACTGGTATTTGGAATTATAAATTATTATTTTCTCCTTGAGTAAAGCCCCAGTTCCAGCTAAAGAAAAGCAGCCCAAAGTATGATACTGCCACCACCATGGGATGGTGTTCTTTGGGTGATGTGGTGTGATATTTGTGTGCCCAGCAAACCTTTTGGAAAATGGCCAAAATAGGGCAACCTTGGTCTCATTAGACCATGTAACATATTTTACATGGTTTCGTGAGCCTGGATATACCTTCGAGCAGAATTCAGCTGGGCTTGTATTTTATTTATTTATTTATTTATTTTTTAACTATGACTAAGCCTATCGTCCTGCCACCCTACCCCATAGCCAAAGCATGAGAAGAACATGAGAGATTGTGACATGTAGGGAGCTACCAGTACTTGCGAGAAATCCCAGCAGATTCTTTATTGTTGCCATAGGCCTCTTGGCAGCCTTCCTGACTAGTATACTGACTAGTTTTTTACTTTAATTTATAGGTTGCAGTTTCACATGAAAGATGGAAAAAATGTATATTAATTTTGGTTTCATTTTTTTTACTTCACAAAAACCTGCAAGTTTACAAGGGTGTGTAGAGTTTTAATATCCACTATATCTTAATAGCAGGATATGAAGTTGATTTGCTTAATGCACAAAATCTTCATTGTCATAAGCTTTTTTGTTTTTGTTTACTTTCACCAAAAGTACATTAGGTTAGTGGCAATTTTTTTGATACTAAGAATTTTCAGAGTGATGCTCACTAATTCTAAACCTAATGACCGAACAGTTCCAATCTTTGCAAATTGCAACTTTCCAATCTTTGTGAATTATGCAAGTGAATTTTTTCTGATCGTATTGAAATAATATTTCTCCATATTTTAGAAGAGGCCAAACTGCCTTACCTGGGTGGAGTAGATACAGCAGAATTCTTACAGAAGCTTACCTCCCAAATCACTGAGATGGTGTCTGCCAAGATCACTCAAGGTGAGAGACGATTTGGAGGGCTGAATGAGTTAATTACTCACTAGGTATTTCACATGAATTGGTTTTACATATATTTGTTTCTTGATTTGTGAATCAAATGCAAGCGTCTATATATAGATCAGTGATGGAAAAGGTTTTCAATGAGTATAAAATTAAAAGAAACCTTTTTAAAAAAAATGCATTTCTATCAAGTTTCATTCAGTATAAAGATTAATGTGTGTTAAATTGTACAGATTATTTTATGGCGTAATTGTTTTTTTTTACATGAAAGGGGAAATACTAAACCATGGAATCCAGAAAATGGGCTTCAATATGGAAAGAACATGAAAAGTAATGTTAAAATTAATTAATTAATTTAGAATTTAGAATTAATTTACTGCATTCATTTGTCCACCCAAACTATTCTATGATGGATTCAGGCTTAAAAACTAGGGTTGCAAAGTACGTCCTACAGCCAGTATCTTTCTTTTAATTTTGAATTCCAGTAGTCCAATTTTAAATTTCTTATTTTTAGTTTTGTTTGTTGAAAGTAAATAATAAAAATTCATAAAATCATGAACATATTGTCATTGCATATCAAATTGGATAATCAGTTTATTTAAAATAAAATGTACCCACACACACACACACACAAATGCATGCCTTTGCAAGTCTTTGATGTGTATGTGTATGTAAATGTTGAATTATAGTTGTTCACTGAAAACAGTTTGCACAGTTTGAATGTGTTAGCACAAATTCATTTCTCATCTGCATGTGTGTTCATTAACAGTAAATGTATATATATTGTCACTGTCCAAAGAAAAATAAGTATCTCCAAAATGTTAAGTTTACAGGGGAAGGCAAAAACAACATTCTTTACTTTTAATGTAAGTAAATGTAAAAAGATTTGATTTCAAGCTATTTTGAAACATTTCTGTTGGTGCATTCATCATGAAATAATTTGCACACAATGTAAAGGACAGCTGCTGTGTTCAAATTATGTAGAATGAAATGTAATTGAATCATTAATATGTAAACAAAGTCATTCAGAATGGTGTGATGTGAAATGCTCCATTTTAGAGAAACTTACTGACTCAGAATTGTTGACAGTGGCAGTGATAGGAGCCAGACTTCTGAGGTGTTTATTGCGTCTAAAAGTTCCCTCACAAAATGTTATTACATTATAGATGTACAGTCATTATAGATATGTTGCCTGATGCCTGACACATTGTTTTTGCCCAAAACATACACGTTTAAATATATATTTAAAAGTTTTTCCGAGTGTGTTAGTACAAATTCAAAATTGTCCTTTAGCACGCTTTATTTTATCATCAATATTACATATAAAAACTCATATAAAGACATGAATAGGTATGACACATGTAGGTTCACTGTTGGTTTTGGACAGTAAATAAAATGGCTTTCTTGAGTCTGTAAGTTTCTGTACAATGAAGCATTTCACATCAAACCATATTTTGAAAAATCTGTAAAGTTCCTTTTTAATGTATAGTTATGTTACTCTTATAAAGGAAGTGTAGTTAACATGGTATTTTTTTTCTAGTAAGTGTATCCTTTGTTTCCCTTTTTAACTGCCTCTATACATTCCACCACTAATAAGTGCACTTACGAACCTATCTCCCTTATGATTAGAATTTCATTACTCCCTTATTCCATAATTCATTCATCCATCCTACCATACCTTCATTTGTTCCACATGCTGACTGAAACGTTAATTTGTTATTCAGACAACTTACAGAATCATCAAGTGCTCCAGTGGATGAAATCATGGCCCAAAGTAACCAGTATGTATCCAGTATGTATGTACAAATAAAACAGTAGAATCATGATCTTATTCCCATGTGCCTTTACAGTAGATACTTTTGTTAAAAATACTTTATCTACATTTATCTGTATGTTTATTTATCTGTCTGTCTGTTTGTCTGTCAAATTGTCGTTTAACAATAACAGAAGCCATGCAAAGTGTTTTAAGAGCTCAAAAATGTGAATTTTAGATCAACATTCATTTTTGGTGATTTGAAGCAGGGGCATATGGGAGTATTTTCATGGTTCTTTAAAATCAGGGCTTAGTTTCAAAACCTCTCTAGAATACTGGATCTATAATTATGGATATATTTATATTATATTATTTATTATATTACAGAGCATAGGAAATTTGTGGATAACTAAAGTTTCATCCCATATGGAAAATAAAAATATATAAGGGAGATCACCATTTTTTCTCTTTAATGAACTGTAGTGTTCGGAATACATTTTGTAATGAAACAATGTATTTGAAATGTAATCTCACATCTAAAAAAAATACATTCCTATTTTTTCATTATGGGATTAATTGCTCTCAATTTTTCAGGGTTCGTACAAGTACTTAAAATTGTAAAATGATGTGAAATATATCAAGCTAAAGCATGTGATGTGGTGCACCTGATTTGTTCTGTATTATAGCGGAACAGAATTAGCCACAGGAGTATGGTGAGCAGTGACAGAACCATGTAGAATATCACTCATCGTTTAAAACTAGCTGTAAAAGTTACGGCAGCCCAAGTAGGTATACCTAATAAAGCATTGGTTCTGTCTGGTTTTCTAAGACAAGTGACATTTAAGTCCACTTCTTCCTCCTAGCTAAAATAAGGCCATTAGGCCTTCCAGAATCCTCCCAGCAGGCAATTCAACAACACAATGGAATCACCATCTTAGCCCGAACCACCAATACTGTCATAGCTACACAGCACAAACACAAGCTGCATAAAATAAATTGATTGTGGTGATGCTGAAAATCAGTCACTTTTAAATGTGCTTTCTATCCCTTTTTGTCTCTTTCACTTTTAGCGTCCTTACGTGTGCCAGGAGCTGATAGTGATGATGAGACCAAAACTCCATCACCATCCCCACATCATGGCCGCTCACGCCCTCCTTCACTGATTGTAGACTCCTCCTCAGAGTCAGATGAGAGTGATGCCAGAGGAGAGGTAAATCTCTTTGATTTTGAAATTGATAGTACAAGAGTTGTATTTTTCAAAATATTTTGCTATTTTTGACTCTGTCTTCATAAGTGACATGCATGCTCAGTGTGATTTAAGTCAAGTGAATGACTTCAAAAGTGTGCTGTGCAACTCTGAAGAACCCCACACTTGCTACAAAAGTGTGTTTCAGATCATTGTCATGCTGCAGGGTGAAGCACCTGCTGCAAAATTTTGAGGTATTTGCATCTGGATCTGGCCATGACGGTATTGTTGGCAGTTAAACCATTATGCCCATTCCAGAATTTTCAAATTTTCTCTTTACTACAAGATAGAAACATAGAAAAAGTTGCAAGTCTGGCAAATTTCCTTATATTTTAAAGTCTCTGGGCATAAGTGGGTTAATAAATAATAAAGGTTGGAAAATGAGTTAATGTTTCCCTGCACTGTGTAATTCATCCTGCTGCTATCAATAAAGACAATTGATCTACTTCCACTGACATTTTTACATGCCCATATGTTTTACAGGCAAGTTGAAATGCTTTGTATAAAGAGTAGTTTTTTTTTTCTGCACACTTTCTTCATTCCATAAGTCTTGAACAGGCTAATCTTTGTCTCATCTTTTTATAACACTTTGTTTTGAAAGTAAGTTTTTCATGTTATTTTTAGCATTCTCACTGATTTGTATATTTGGGTAAATGCTCTGCTTGAGACCATGCTCCTTTACAATAGTCTTTGACACATCTGTGTCTAAATGGACATTATACCCTTGGTCTGTTCAACAGTTTTTCTTCATGACTGAGGTTGTTCTTTGATTGTCCACTACAGTGGTCTTCCGTGAGCTGCAAAATTTATTATTAAGTTAGCCAGTACATGCTTGCTTCTTAAGAATGTACCAAACAGTTTTAACACACCTTTTTTTTACTATGACTGTTATTGAGTTATTCTTACTCCTCAGCTTCTTCATAACCCTGCTTTACTAGCCTTGAAACCTCTGTGGTCCTCATGTTTAGAGATAACAAGTGAACTTTCAAGGTTGTTTTTAAATCCAGAGGTCTGGTTTATAGTGCATAAACAAAAATCATTATCGTCCATTTACATACAGGCTGCACTGTATAAACATGCATGAGTGTCTTCAATCACTGGTCACAGCTGTAAATAATTTTTGTCCTGTAACATTATAAAGTACCGTTAGAATTCAGAACACATTTTTGTTTCATTACACCTTGTTGTGTTATTTTGAGTACAACCGAAATGCTTTTTAATGACTATGGAGTATGTTTCTCAATTGGCCGTTCATTAAGTGCATTTTCTGTGCTCCTGTATTATTAGTAGGTTGACTACTCATTTGCTCCCTGCAGATGTTTGATATTTATATAGCAACAGCAGACTACAACCCCATGGGACTGAGTAAGGACAGCATTGCTCTGAAGGAGGGACAGTATGTGGAGGTTCTGGACTCGGCTCATCCACTTAAATGGCTTGTACGAACTAAGCCAACCAAAAGTACACCATCGCGCCAGGGGTGGGTTTCCCCAGCATATCTTGATAAGAAACTGAAGGTAAGTGCAAAAATTTCTCAGTCTTTTCAGAAATATATACAGCTATTGGTGTTTTGAAAACATGTCCTGTGCTGTCAGTCCATGAGTCCTTAACCCTCGATGTGGAGAAAGTGTAATAATATAATGGGATAAAATAGATTTAAAAAAAGTATCTTTTCGGCTCCCGAGTGGCACAACCGTCTAAGCGTTGGCCCTATCATCAGAAGATCACGAGTTCGATCCCTGGTGATGGTACAGCCGTCTGCAGTCGGGAGTCCAAGAGAGCACAATTGGCCTCACTCTCTCTGGGTGGGTAGGATGGGCCCGCCCCCCTCCTCCCGACGTCACTCAACGCGATGCTAGTCAGCGCAGGTGTCTGTTAGCTGATGTAACAGATCTGGCGGTTGGCGCTTTCCTCTGAGCGCGATCAACTCTCCAATGACGTTGTGTGAGTGGCAGTTCGAAAAGATGCGGCGGCTGGCTTCACAGGCCTCAGAGGAAGCTTGTGTTAGCCTTCACCCTCCTGATGTTGATGGTATCGTGTGATTGGGGGAGTCCTAACTAGCGTGTGGAATTGGAGACGACTAAATTGGGGAGAAGTCGGGTAAAAATCCCCCCCCCCAAAAAAGCATCTTTTCTTTTGGTACATTGTGTATTTTTGTACTTTAGAATGTTGAACATAGAGAGTGACTAAATAGGTGTTTATTGGGCTGCACTGTAGCCTTTTATAGATACTGGGGATGTCCCGGAGACCACAGGCGAAGAGGTCACTGAGGGAGAGTATAAAAAGAGGCTTTGGTGAGTTCACGCACTGTATGATGTATGTGTATGGTATGTGTGTGTATTGTGGTGGCATAAACATAGTCCCTTCTGACCATTACCGTGCTTTGAGTTACCATAGTACAGAATTTCCCATCTTCCACACCAGCCTTCTCACTGTCAGCTCCAGGTTTACAGTGAAGATTGAGGACGAAGCTGGAGCACACAAGCTTCAGCTTCATGCAGATGCTCAACAAAGTGTGTAACATACTCCATACAGGCCGTACTATCATGCAGGATGATTTGGTAAATGGCATTACTGATGTACATAAGGCCAGATAACGAAATGGCATTGCCCATAAAAGTGTCCTTATCTACCTGTCCACTTACAAAAATGCATACCCAAAGGCATGGAAAGAATGTAAACCCTTTTTAATATATAGCATTTACACTATATGATAGCAAGGCAGCCAAAAACTACTTTAGGCAAGGAGATGTTTGGAAATGGTGAAAAAAATACATTGACATTCATACAAGCAATGTCATTTAATATCATTTAATGTTATTTTTATTTGTTCTAATATAGTTTCTTCTGAGCACAGAAAAATCTAATTTTCTCAAGTGCCAAAAAACTTTTGTACAGTATTAAAAAAAAAACGTTTCTCTGTTTCTTAGCGTAAACAGAGGCAGCCATGTTGGTGCTGAAAATAAGACAAGCTTTTTGAAGATGCTAAATAGCACATTGACAGTATTTACTATCAGCGTTGGTAAATCTGAGTAGGTGATTTGTTATAATAGTCTCCTCCTGATATTTTGCACTTTGTGAAAGAAACTTCCATAAACCTCCATAAACTTCCATAAATGCAAAAGTGCAAAAGAGCCACAACTGCCAACAGTGACACCAAAATCAGGTTTGTGCTGGCACATAACATTAGCACATCTGTCCCTAGATTTGAAATAAAACAGTGCCTGCATGATTAAAGCAGAGAATGCTAGTTTCTAGTTTAAATGTGACATTCTGGCAAGCAAAGTTATCTTGTCTTTATCTCTGTTCCAAATTATTATTCTGTGTGTAGCCAACTTATCCAGGAGCTCATTAGCACTGAGAATGAGTTTGTAGGAGAGATGGAATTCCTTACTTCACATCATCTGGAACATATTAACGATGAGCGCACCCTGCCTGAAATTCGCATTCACAAAGATGTCATCTTCCGGAACATCAGTGACATCAGGACTTTCCACAGCAGGTACACATATTTTAAAGATCTCATATTACAGTAATATCCAATATACATTAGACTTGTTCCATGAGTGCAAGACAAAGTGACCAAATTAATTTTTTACTCTTTTAATTTATAAAATAATAATAAAAATAATTAAAAATAATATTTTTAAAATAATATGTAGCGTGGTGCATTGTATTAAATATACAACATCAAAAATTAAAATTAAAACCTGTAAACCTCAAAACTCTTCTCTTAAACTTTAAAGTTTTTACTTTACTGTTTTACAGCATTCTTCTCCCTGGGCTGAAAGACTGTGACACAGATGATGATATAGCAATGCGTTTTCTGAAAAATACAGAAGGATTTGAGAACTATCTGCAATACTTGGTTGGCCAGACTCAAGCACAGGCCACCATTAGTGAGAAGCCTGTCCACCAGTACTTTAAGGTGGGTCCAATCAAAATGCTTTTGATTGCTCAAAGTTTAATGTTCATTCTTTATAACACATCCCAGAGGAATATGACAGGCCTGCTTTTGCTGTGGTGTGGGAGAGAGAGCTAGAGGATTTTGTGAGTTTTGTAGGTGAGAGCACAAAATCCTGGCCATTTATAGTGACCTCCAAAATGAATGACATAATTGGTAAAACATTTGCAAATCTTTAAATTCTTACATAAACAAGAAAACACTATGTAACTAATGCAAAGCACTCCTCTCATGAAGCATCAAAAACTATTTGACTGCTAATGGTGCCCCTTGTGGAGATTTTTCAGCCTGCAAGATTGTGCTTTACAAAGCAAGGCCCATGTGGTGCTTCAAAATTTAAATCATACGTGACATGGTTACCGGCATCCATAGAAATTGTTATGGATAAATTGACATTGACGTATACCCTCACCGGTCACTGTAGTAGGTACACCTACTTTGTATCTGTATGGATTTTATCAGGTCCAATTACCATACAAATGCACAATTGCTGATTGCATTCTGTTTGTGTCTCTGCATAATTTGGAAGTCCAACCTTACTTTACTTTTTAATGGTCAAGACACCCACAGGGCCATTTACATTTACGGCATTTAGCAGATGTTCTTATCCAGACTTACAAAAGTGTTTTGTTGTCCACTTAGAAAATATGAGGGTTGTCCACTCAGAGAATGTGAGGGTAATTATGTATCCTAGCAAATAGTACAAATATTATTCAAACTAGTACAAATAAGTTAGAGTGCATACTACCCTTGAGCTTAGACACTACTAAAAACAAAAGCCAGTGCTGATAGCTAGCAGAAGTACAATACAGTGCATTACATTAAGTATTTAGATTAGTGCTCAACTAACTGCTTCACAAAGACCACCAGGGAGCAAGTATTTTTTGGATAGTGGGTCGGTGTCACTGCAGTGCCAAAATGGATCCATTACCTAAATAATACCTGCTCATACTTATACAATAATGTTGTATAGTAATAATGTGTTCGATGGGAAGGTCAGCTGTCTGTGCAGGCCATTTAAGTTCTTCCACGCCAAACTTAGCAAACCATTTTTTAAATGGACCTCATTTTGTGCGTTTGGGCGTTGTCGTGCTAAAATGGCAAAGGGTCTTGCCCAAACTATTGCCTCAAAGTTGGAAGTGCGCAGTTCTCTAGAATGTCTTTGTATGCTGTTGCATTTCCCCTCTCTGAAAACTAGGGACCCAATCCAAGAAATTAAAAACGCCCTTAGGCCATTATTCCTCCCCCACTGATCTTTACAATGGCGCCTTCCACTTGGGCATCGGTCAAACCCAGATGTATCTGTCACGCACAATGCCATATAGTGAAGCTTCTATTAATCACTCTAGAGAATGTGTTTTCTCTAGTCCAATGACGGTGTGCTTTACACCACTCCAGCCGACACTTGTCATTGCTCAAGGTGATCTTGACTTGTGTGCAGTTGCTCAGCCATGGAAACCCAGTAAATCAAGCTTCTAATGAACACTTGTGCTGGTGTTTTCAGAGCTGTTGCTATCCGAGTATAGTGTTGCCACCAAGGATTTCTATGCACTACATGCTTCAGCACTCAGTGGTCCAGTTCCATGACCTTGTGTAGCCTACCACTTTGCAGCTAAGCTTGTGTTGTTCTTAGATATTTCCACTTCACAGTAGCAGCACTTACAGTTGGCCAGGGCAGCCCAAGCAGAACAGAAATTTAACTAGAAAAGTGGTTTTCTATGACAATAACATGTTGCAAGTCACTGAGCTTTTTAGTATGGCCCATTCTGCCATTGTGTGTCTGTTCTCCTATTTCACTGAACATTATAGTAGAAGACTCAATGTGGTAGTCTGGACAGTGCACAAAGGATTACATATATGGTTGCTAGTAATTGTGGCACGTTTTTGATACCTTTCATGTTTTGATATTTCTTTGAATATTTTTGCCTCACTAAAAGGACAGTTTTTTCTCACATTTATGGTCAATATCAAACTGATAAAGAAACAAAACCAGTTTTTCCATAGCTGGTTCATTTTTACCCATTGTTAATTTATTTGAAGGGTACATATTTATCTCTTATTGTATTTCTTTGAGTTGGTGGTCAATAGTCAACTGTTGCAGCTGTAATATCATGTCAATTTGTCTCATGGCTTCCTCCTATTTCCGTGCCTCTTTAAATAAAAATCTGTGCAAAAATTACAGTCATTAAAAATTAAAAATGATTACTGTTCTGTTCTTAATCATTACTGTTCCTGTTGTGATCACTGTTCAGAAAATTTTAATAAGCAATGTCAACTAATGCAGTAACAATTTACTCTAAACTAGGAATACACAGATTCTGACTTGGCAAATGTGGACTCTTCGGAAGGTCCAGTACTGAGTATCAATAGTTATCTTCATAGACCACTGGAGAGGATCCAGAAATATAAGGACTTCATAAAGGTAACTGTTTGTATTGCAATATTATTATAATTTTTTTTTTTTAGCAGCATGTCCATATTTACCATAGAAGATATATATAATTATTTATAAAAATAGTGCTAAGAGCATCAGATTGACTTAGAACATTTCTTTCATTTGTCCTACAGGAACTAATCAGAAATAAGGCAAGGAATGGACAGAACTGCTGTCTTCTAGAAGAGGCCTACACACTGATTTCTTCACTTCCTACACGCTCCGAAAACATACACCATGTCTCGCTCATTGAGAACTACCCTGCCAACCTGGAAGCTTTAGGAGAGCCCATCAGACAGGTATGGACTCAAACAACAGAATATTTTATGAGCTTAAAGAAAGTCTTTAAACTTGCAGCATAGGCTTTGTTTATTTACAGTAACTTTAAAATACTTAAAGCATTGTTTAACCTTGCATCTGTGGGGGTCTGGAAGAATTACCGGAAGGGTTGATTTATAGTGTGCGTTGTAGGTAAAATGACAACCTGCATCATTCTAGTTGTACCTTCATCAAGAATACCACTGTGATATTTAGATTATAATTAATAATAGACAAAATTTAAAAAAAATTTAGGGGAGTTCTTCAGCTCACAGCTTCTGTAAATAGCTGTGACACTGTAGCAGAATCCAGACGCTCGCGGATAAACAGTGAAAACCAGGTTTATTAGAGTTTAGAAAGTCGGGTCCAAAAACAAGCAAAGGTCGGAGCCAAAAAGACTTATACAGAATCACAAAAGTGATCCTAACACTAAGCATACAAAACCACAAGGATAATCCAAAAACGTTGTCAGGAGAACAGGCAAAAGGGTCGAAAAACAGGTCCAAACACAACCGGGCAGAAGTACCAAAAGGGAGTATCAAAAGACAAGAAAACGAAACAAGGGTCATAACAGGCAGTAATAGCAACATAGAAAATGCTCAGTAAGTTCTAATAGAAACAATACCTCGCACTGACTAACGCTAAAGCCCGGGCTTAAATATTGAACTAATGTGATTATATGACATTGGATTCAGGTGTATACACTCAATATTTGGGAGATTGCGAACGCTGATAGTTGCGTGCGTGATAGTCCGTAGTCATGTGATCTCCTGAGGTATTGTGGTTGTTGGAGTCCCTTCTGAGCTCCAAGTCTGAATGACGTTGCCCAGACGTGTGATCTCCCAGTGTATCCTGGGAAATGAAGTCCGATTCAGCCTGAGGCGTGACAATAGCAGATCATGTTAGGTTTAGTTCAAAGTGTGATAGTTGTCTTTTAAGAACCTCTATTCACATTTTTCCTCACAGTAACATAGCCAAGTGGTTGCAGTGGGGTAGTCCATTTTTTTTCCACAGCACAAGTACACAACACTTTTCACCTTGTTCCAAAAATTTTGATGTAAATTCAGTATGTTATGTTATATCTTGCACAAACTCGTCGATGAATTTGATAGAATAGGCCTGTTTAATATTACTGTAATTATTATTGCTGTATTTACATTAAGAGATTTGTGTGCCCATGCACAATTTTTTTAGAGTCCAGTGCTCTATGTTACATTAGCACTTGTAACCCTTCTGAAACAATATACACATTGGCCATTGTCTGATATATGATTACCACTTAGCTTATTTGCCAGTAATTCTGACATGTTTGGAGAAAATATGTCAGAATATTTCTCTACAATTTTACTTCCGTTTAAGGTAAAGATAAACATAGTAAACCTTGTTGGTAATCCATAGTACTGTTTTATTCCAAATCCCTAAACCAAATCTGCAAAAACCCAAGCACATTTGCTGCTTTGCAGAGCTCTCTACATTATTAGCACCAAATGGAAAAAGAAAATCCCTTATGAATGCTGGTGGTCAGCATATCCTTACGTTCCTGGGGTAGATTGAAGATCACAGGATGGAATAGATAAAGGTCAGTAAATCATGAATCAGGACCATTAGGTTGAAAAACCCTAGGTGGCTGGGCAGGTTCAATATCAAACATTGCTGTTTTGTCCTTCCACCAAAGGCTATCCACAAGCCAGTAAGTCCATGCCAAAGTGTGCTTATTGTTTGCTAGGCAAAGAGGATAGTGTTTGCATGTCCTTGTCAAACCCAGGCGTGTTCAACTACACAAAGTTTGAGAAGCCACATGGTGGCCCTCAGGTTGACCCTTCTTTCACCTTCTGGTTCAACATGTAGAGTAGGTTGAATCCAGGCAAAAGCTTGCTCTATGGAACTTATATTGCACATGTCTAGGTGACTTCTGCCACAGATGCCAGAAGTTCAAGAAGCTGCTGACAGTGCAACTCAAGGCCAGTCTTGAAAACAAGTTGTCATGGTATTGATCTTGTCTTGATCTTGTATACTTTTGCACTTTCTATAGTGGACAAGACTGAAATCAAATTTTCTGCTGAGATTAGCCAAGACAAGTAATCTGCCAAATTATCTAACAAAAATCTGTTATAATAATTTACTATTTGCTTTGTATGTATTGTCTTTGAAGATATTCTTCTAGCTATTCTGCATTCACTTTGGTTTGATCATAACCCAGATTTAGGACCTTGACTCTTGTCAGTTATTACCATTTTGGACTTGACTGAGACTTCTCCATTAAAGTCTTTACATTGATTTGACTTGGAAGTATGCAAATTGATCGTTTGTGTATACTATTATCTTTTCTTAGGTCATCTTATATTATGAAAATTAAACTGCAATAGACTATTCTATTTCTGTGACACTCAGCTAAACTCCGTTCTTATGTTATGGGGAAAGGGGGTGCACGTAATCAAATCGTCAGTGAGGTCTTAGTCATTTTGAATCAATGCATTCAAAATTATGGAAAGCAAAATGGTCTCTTGAATGCAAATGTAAGGTTACACATATGATATCCTGATCTCTCAGCAGCCTCATAGTTCTCACAGTCAAAAAGTAAGAAGCCTCATCAAATAAAGATCCATGTAGATAAAATAAAAAATAAAAAGGCAATACTGTTCGTCTGTTGTATGGAACGTAAGCATATGCGTTATATGCATCTTAGATTTTGATATTCAGGAATAGGTGGACATTCACAATGCTGCAGTTAAAAGCCGATGTGTCTGTTCCATGTGATTTTCATCTAGAAGTCTTGGGATAATACGATCTTCAACAGTGGTTGAGCAAAAGTTCGGTTTAGCATATTAGTCAAATTTCACTCCCTCATAAATTCCTACTTTAAATATACTGATAATACTGAAAGCATGTCAGGGGTGCCCAAATTAGTTACAGTTGACAAACAATTATTGGTCAGTTGGTATTTATGGGTTGTTGTTTTTTTGTCAAAGGTGTGCTATGATTGATTTGCTTCAGTTTGAAACTGCATCATATTCTTTTGCATATTTTAGAAAATTCAGTTTTCTCCCTTTTCAGAGTAATGGGTATTGAAAGATTTATGCAGAAAATAGTGGAGTGAAAAATCTTACTTTTCACTCTACTATTTTCTGCATAAATCTTTCATTACCCATTACTCTGAAAAGGGAGAAAACTGAAAATCCTTTTTTCCCCCACTGAAGCCAGTTCAACAAACATTACTATAATATACAATCTCCTATAGGAGCATAAAACAAGTTTCCCAATTTTCATGCTTGTTATTATGGAGAGCTGAGCAGAGAGTACATGTGTTCACTTGCTTGCCTGCCTCTATTTCTACTACAAAGAATGAGACCTCCTTATAGCCCACTAGTAGAAGGGAGGAAGGATACCCCACTATCCCAGAGCACTGATGAGAAGAAACACAAGTTGGTGACCATTTCGGTTATAGTACAGATTCTTGAAAAAAGTGCTTAAGTACAAAAGCATATGTGCTTAGCTACAGCTTACCTTCATCTGAATTATAACAAAAGATCTTAGTAAATATAATGCTTTTAAGGATTCTTTTGGTAGCAGACAAAAAAGCTGTGTAAAAAATCTGGCTAAAGAGAAACCCCCTATCATAAGTCCATTGTGTCCATTGTGAGAGAGTACTTCTAAGGGAGAGCATCACCCTCTGGTGGATTTTTTGAGTAACTCAAGTCAAGATATAGCCACAGTCCAAAAAAGTACAGGTCCAGCGGGGTCCAGGAACCCCTAATTTCGTCTCAAAATCAAAATTCTAGGAGGTGAAATGAAACTTATGAAATGAAACTTAAGTTGTGCTGTTTGTTAGGGAAAAAATACATATATAAAACTTGAATAAAAATTCAGGGAAAGGTAATTATTTATCCTGCTTCACAACTGGCGAGCTTCTGTTTTTAATGTTCTTAACTACTATGTAGCCAGGGGTGTAAAGAGTACTAAAAATTCCTACTCAAATACAAGTGCTGTTACTGTAGAGATAATTTACTCAAGTACAAGTAAAAGTATTAATAAACAAAATTACTCAAGAGTAAATGAGTACTTCATTAAAAAACTACTTAAGTACCAAGTTACTTAGTTACTTCTTCATATTTCCACTGTCACTGTTTAATTAAGTTCATTTAAAAGAAAAAATCTGAGTCAAATTTATGAGTAGATTCCTTAATTAATAAGGTAATTTTATGAGAATCCTGCTGCCCATCTGCTCCCTGGACTCTAGCTTACGTTAATAGGTGTGAACCTACAGAAAGTAAACACATTCACAGCCTTCAAGCTGTATATTTTCACTGATATCAGTTCAGAACATTTCTACCATTAAAATCAGCAGCAACATCAGCAATTTACCCAGGTTTGATTTTTACTGTAATATATTTCATTAGTAATCATGCTGATCACTTCATACAGAATCAGACATTATTACTGCATTTCAGAGTTAAACAGCTACACAGCCTCTCACAGGCAGAGAGAGAGACAGAGGAAGAGAGAAAGGAAGAGAGAGAAAGGAACAGAGAGAGAGAGGAAGAGAGACAGACAGAGGAAGAGAGAGAGAGGAAGAAAGAAAGGAAGAGCGAGAGAGAGAAAGAGAGAGACAGAGAGAGGAAGAGAGAGAGACAGATGGAGAGAAAGAGAGAGAGAGAGAGGGTGGGGAGGGATCAGATCAGGCCAGTCAGCTTAAAGAACGACAGCGCGACAGAATCACTGCTCAGAGTTGATGAAGAACCTGTATTAGACTAGATTTCTTGTCTCACGGCCGTAAACGTTTATCTCCAAACAACAGCTAAACTGTACTTTAAACGGTAAACTGTAGGCTGTGGGCGACACCTGTTAACTGAAGTAGCTGAAAGGCACTTGTAATAAAATATACGCAACAGATTTCAAGTTTAATAAACACCTCTGTATGCAGCACAGTCTGCCTCAGGGTGGCACTTAGCAATTTAGTTCTCCCTGTTGGTTTAGCAATTGCTCAGAACCTCTCAGAAGAAAAACTTTACAGTATGCCATAGCATATTTGTAAATCTGAAAACTTGCCCAATATCACAAGAAATTGGTGGAAACAGTGAACTTTTGCTCATTTCTTAAACCAAAGACACCAGTAAAGAGCCTTTCCAAAAGAAGAATTGTTGAAGCGAACCTTTTGGTGCTATTGAAGCTATCATCAGTGCCACTGAGGCAAGAAAATTAGCAGTCAAAGCTGGAGTAGCCCGCCAACATGGCCCCTTCTCCAAATGCCAAAGAGTATTTCGTACACTGAAAACAAGTAACTGTTTAGTCTTATAAAGATCTGTAGCGCATGTATTACAAATTAGGAGAACCGGAGTTCTAGAAGTTTGTTGAATGTTGGTAGCAATAAAAGTGAGGTTGAAAATCTGAGCAGAATATGCAAAGAATATGGTAAAGAAAAAGGAGCACAAATCATCCAAACATTTGTTTAAAAACTGTGATACAGATGAATGACACATACTAAAAAAATGCACATCCTTTGCTTTATTGTGCATTGGGGAACAGTTAGTAATAAACCAAATACTATCTATTACTATTTGAGGAAAAGTAAGTTTCTAGTAAGCAGCTGTTTTTGAATGAATACAAGTCTCTGTCACAGCACCTGGAATTTGCTGCATCCATGACCATGAGGGTAGGCTAATCTCAGTTTGGCTGCTAACCTCAGCGAAGAGAATCCAGTAGGCGTTTAACACAGTCAGAACAATTTGAAAGCAAAATATAGTCGAGCAGAGTAGGACACAAAAATATATTATTTCATTTAGCTACCTAGCAGAACGTGGTACACTGCTGCATTCTTCACAAAAAGTTTGAGGTGCTCTGAGAAATTTGTAAGTGCCATCTTGGCTCCACCACAACAGTGCACTTCCACAGCCATCCTGCACTTCATGACCTATCTTTATGGATCATTCGAGACCACAGTTCTGCTCCTGCGCCTCCTTCCAATGCCTTTAATTTAGACTTTGTCAGGGATGGACACATATATAAAAACTCAGGCCACCAATAGTCATTAAAACTTTACATTAAAAATAATGTTGCTGTTGTAGTGAATGTAATAGACCCTAATTCTGATCTAGTCCACCATGACATTCATCTGAACTAGGTAATGTCATGGGGTACTTTTAAGCTACTGCACTGATAACGTGCATTATTAGTGGCCAAAATGTGAAATGTTTCTGGGTGCACTATGCAATGTCTACCCCTGTTTGTTAATACTTTTATTAAATACAGTTATGTGCAAAAGTCTTGGCCACTTGAGCACATTATTTAAAACAATTTTCTTGGCAGTTAATGTAATTGTGCTTGCAAAAACACCACATATAATAATAATAAATGCAAATAAACAAATTCAGTAAAAAGTAACAAGCATGTCTTGTTTTCAAATAAGTTGTTGATCTCTTGTGAGCTCATGAGGAGTCATGAGGGGACAGTTGGAAAAGTTTAAACAAACACACTGACATATGAAACTGTGTTGTATTAGTATTTATTTTAAATTATTATTTTTTCTGAGTAAATAAAGCCTTATTGACAAGATAAATAGTTTTTCAGTCTGATTTTCTCAGGTGTCTGTAAACAACATGGAGAAATTAAACTGAATTTAGCATTGTGTAATGACTCTTGACTAACCCATGCTTCCTCCATTTATGTTTCCATTTTGAGAGTGTGTATCCTCCTGGTACTTGTCTGTGTCCTCAGAGAGTCTGCTGTTTCATTGCTTAGCAACAAATATCAACTGGATATCATTTAAAAAACTAAAGGGATAGTTAGGTAAATGTTTGAGATAAATAGGTACTTAGTAAACAGCACTGAATGTATTGTATGTATTTGTAAAAAAGCTGTTAAATTGGTCTTTGTGGCAGGGTCCCTTCATAGTTTGGGAAGGAGCTCCAGGAATCAGAACCTCTTCAAGAGGTCATCATCGTCATGTCTTCCTCTTCAAAAACTATGTCATCATCTGCAAGCAAAAACGAGATACAAACACAGACTCCCAAGCATACATATTCAAAAACATGATGAAGGTATAAAATCAGAAAACTTAATCATCTAAATTAATTAACGAGTCTCTCTCTCTCTCTCTTTCTCTCTGTGTGTGTGTGTGTGTGTGTGTGTGTGTGTGTGTGTATATATATATATATATATATATATATACATATATATATATATATATATATATACATACATCCACAAATATTGGCACCCCTGGTCAACATGAGCATATTACTTATCCTTTTCATCTTTTTATCTTTCATTCAAAACTATTAATGAAACTCAAAGTTTAATTTGAAGTACAGTGATTGAAAAAACCCAAATCTTATCAGGTAATAAATATTTTTCTTAGCGTGTGCCACAATAGTTGGCACCCCTTCATTTAATACTTTGTGTAGCCTCCCTTTGCAAAGATAACAGCTCTGAGTCTTCTTCTATAATAAAACTAGAGAACACATGGCAAAGGATCTGAGACCATTTCTTAAGATCTCCCCAGATCCTTTAGATTCCGAGGTCCACAGTGGACTTTTCTTTTCAGCTCATCCCCAGGTTTTCTATGGGGTTCAGGTCATGGCACTGGGATGGCAAAACCTGTGGTCAGTGAACCATTTTTGTAACGATTTTGAGGCATGCTTTGGATTAGTAATACTGGAAGATCCAAACTGTAGCCCAGTTTGAGCTTCCTGGCTGAGGCAGGAAAACAGCCCCACAACATTACAGATCCACCACCACACTTCACAATGGGGATGAGGTAGTCTTCTGCATGGCTATCTCTGTGTCCACACCAAACTCACCTCTGGTGTTTGTTGCCAAAAACCTCTGTTTTGGTCTTATCTAACCATAGAACACGATCCCAATGGAAGTTCCAAACTTTCAAACTGTTTGTTAGTCTTGAACAGCAAAGGCCTCATTCTGGCAACCCCCCCAAACAACTTGTGGTTATATGTGTGGTTCTGCAATTCCCCATCTGCGATCCTTGGAGATTCTTTGTCCACTCGGACCATCTTACTCACTGTGCTTGGGGTCAGTATAGACATACATCTTCTTTCCATCTGATTCTTGACATCTCCAGTTGCTTTTAAATTTTTAATTATTGCCCTGAAAGTGGAAATTGACATTTTCAACTCTTTAACTATTTTCCTACAGCCATTTGTGCAGCTAAACGGCCTTACATGTGTTCTCGGGTCTTTCTTATAACAATGGAAGACTGATTTTTTTTTTCCAATCATTATGCCTCTAAAGGTTAAATTTTTCCTAATGCTGTGAATGAAAGATCAAAAGTAAGTAATTAAGAATATTTTACAGCTCATTTTGCTCATGATTGCCAGGGGTGCCAATATTTATGTAGGGCACTGTATAATGTGTGTGTGTTTGGATATTATATGAAACACATGAACAGTTTCACAAGAAATAATTGAAATGAAAATATACATTTGTTGACCTGTGATGTCACATATTTTCACATATTTTGCAGCTCACCAACATTGATGTAAATGAGACTGTGGAAGGTGATGAAAGAGCATTTGAGATATGGCATGAGCGCGAAGACTCTGTCAGGAAGTACACAATGCAGGCACGCACAGTCATGATCAAGAACTCCTGGCTGCGTGACCTCCGCAACCTCCAACAACGCTACAGCATGCCAGCATGGAGTGAGTATCCACATCTCTCATGAATTTCAATAAAATTGGATGCGAATGAGTACATATATACATATGTGTACTACATATACATATATGTGTGTGTGTGTGGTGTGTGTGTGTGTGTGTGTGTGTGTGTGTGTGTGTGTGTGAGTGTGTGTATATACACACATATATATGTACTTATCCATGTATAGTTGCTGTTTAAATAAAAGCAAGTATCTCCAAAATAGGGGAAGACAAAGGATAGGAACATTTAAATGGTCAGCTATGACTTACTGATTCAGCAGAGAATATATTTGAGATGAAACATAGGCGAAATGCCCCAAATGCCCTCAGTCAGAAACACCACTGCATTCTCTGGGCCCGAACCTATTTAAAATGGACTGAGGGAAGTGAAAAAGTGTCCTGTGGTTCGACACTAAAGACCACTTAGCTTGCTATCAGCGCACAGTTCAAAAGCCAGTATTCATGATGGTATAGGGGTGCATTAGTGTGCCTGTCCTGGGTGACTTGCACATCTGTGAAGGCACCATTAATGCTGAACGATAAATACATGTTTTGGCAACATATGCTGCCATCCAGACAACGTCTTTTTCAGGGAAGGCCTTGCTTATTTCGGCAAAACAATGCCAAACGACATTGTCCATGTATTACAACAGCATTGCTCCGTATTAAAAAAGTCCGGGTGCTAAACTGGCCTGCCTGCAGCCCAGGCCTGTCACCCACTGATAAAATTTGGCTCATTATGAAATGAAAAATACAACAAAGGAGACCCGGAACTGTTGATCAGCTGAAATCCTGTATCACACAAGAATGAGAAAACATTTTACTTTCAGACCTACAGCAGTTGTTCTTCTCAGTTCCCAAATGCTAACAGTGTTGTTAAAAGTAGTGGTGATGAAACACAGTGGTAAACATGACCCCATCCCAACTTTTTTGGAACGTGTCGTTGGCATCAAATTCAGAATGGGCATATATTTTTCATATTTAATATGTTGTCTTTGTAGTATTTTCTTTTAAAATATGGTTTACATGATTTGCATATCATTGCATTCTATTTTTATTTACATTCTGCACAGCATCCCAACTTTTTTGGAAATGGGTTGTATTATCTTTACCAAAAAACATTTGAGGAACCATCCTTTTTAAGCGTGCATGCCAGACATACTGGTATATACACAGTGAGTAGTGCACTATACATGAAAAGAATTTAAAAGTACTATTGAACTAAAAAAGCTTACATTTGAAGATGATTTTGATCATTTTGGGAACACTGGGTGCACATGATTCAGATAAAAACTCTCCCTAAAAGTAGCTCAGCCAACTAAAAACAACGGCGTTTGAATTGAATTTAAATGACAATGGAAACCAAAAACGACAGATCTGAACAGTTGTTCTGAAGTTTTCAGAAAAGACAGCAAAATGATAGAGAATGTACTTTTTTCACCAGCAGCTTCTTAGTCGAATTTTCAGCTCCACCTTTAATGGTGCAGCAGTCACTGCTTAAACCAGTTAAACCAGTGAAGTATATTTAAAAGCGTAGCTTTATAGAAGAAGGTGTAGTATCCGAGCTCCATGTGTTATCTGACTTTGTAGGTTTGGAATGTTTAAGTTAGGAGCCCCTGGTCCACAGGTCCAAGTGTCAAGGTTCCCTTCCTCTTTTAGTTCCAGAGGAATGAGACTATTTTAAGAAGGACCATATGTTCTGCTCCTTTTGTCAAAAACAGCCACACTATATAAGCAGTAGGCTATATTGTTCTGGAGGGGACACATTAGAATTGGCACGGATCCTCTCTCAGGTACTTTATGGTGCTTGATATGATACTGTTTTACTTTATAATACACATCTTATACAAGTGAGATGGTGTCAGCGGAGACTTCTTCGTCATCTTCACATCATCACTATTTAATAAACAACACCAGCTTTTTCCAGCTTATGGAGGCGAAGTTGAGCATAAGTTCAGTAACAGACATGCGACGACGCTGCTGTTTATTCAGTTTATGGAAGGAAACAAATCCATTCACATGAAAAGTAACAACTGTGTAGCCATCTGCAGTCAGACTCTCCACGTTTCTTTCACTTTCTTGAGTCTTTCTGAGTCTTAATGTTGAAGTCCGAGTCATTGGTGTTCAAGTCAAAGTTGAGTCGCAAGTCTTTCTCAGTTTTCTTGAGTCGAGTCTCAAGTCATCAAATTTGTGACTCGCCTCTGTCTTCTACAATTTTCGAGATAACAAAAAAGGAAAAGGGAAAAGCTAAAGTTTGAGCACCCTGCATAAGTGTTACAGCTTGTAAATGCTTGTTGTAGCCGGCTAAGTCTTTCAATTCTTGTTTGGTGTATTTTTGCCCATTCTTTCTTGCAAAAGGCCTCTAGTTCTAGAAGCCAATTGAATCCACTCTTGCCTCTAGCCGTGAAATGTTCCCTGTTCCACTGGCTGCAACACAAGCCCAAAGCATCCCCTGCTGTGCTTAACATTTGAAGAGGTGTTCTTTTCATAAATTTCTGCACCCTTTTTTTTCCCCCAAACACCTTTCTTCATTGCCGCCAAAAATTATATTTAACTTCATCAGTCCACAGGACTTCTTTCCAAAATACTTTGGGCTTGTTTATATGCTGTTTTACACAATTCCTGATGCTGAATTTTGTGGTGAGAATGAAAGAAAGGTTTCCTTTGAAGGCTCTTCCTTGAAAGTCATATTTGTGCAGATGTCGCTGCACAGTAGAACAGTGCACCACCACTTCAGAGTCTACTTAATCTTTCTGAACATCTCAAACGATGAGATTTGCCTTTGTAGCAATCTGATAGCAGTTCTCTCTGAAAGTTTTCTTGGTCTTCCAGACCTCAGCTTGACTGCCACCATTCTTGTTAACTGCCATCGCTTAATTACATTATAAACTGAAGAAATGGCTACCTGAAAACACTTTGCTGTCTTCTTCTTCTGCTGCCTTCTCCTGCTTTATGGTCATCAATTGTTTTAATTTTCAGAGTGCTAGGCAGCTGCTTAAAGAAGCCCATGGCTGCTGATTGTTGGGACTAGGTTTGAGGAGTCTCATCATAATTCTAAAGCTTTGAATTTTGCATCACTTGGCCTTTCCTAACAATGATTGTGAACAAGCCATATCCATGACAAGCTTATTAGAGTCTGAGACCTTGGTAAAAGTTATCTGAGAGCTCAAATCTTGTGGTGCCCAGACTTTTGCATGGTGCTCCTTTCGTTTCATCATTGTGTAAAACATAAATATTTATTTTGGAAGATCATCTTCTACTCACTTTTCATATTATATGACCAGGTGATGAACTTTATCACAACAGGTGCATAGAATCCTACATCATATTACACAAAAACACAAAACCTTGAAGATGCTCAGCTAGTTGATAAACCCAAGCCCAAAAGCTACAACAATTACTGCTTTTTTGCTAGGTTTCTTGTCTTTGTTCTGGATGTTCATCTGTTCTCAGTTGTGAAGGTTTTGAAGCTGGTTGGGCATACTGAGCACTGTTGTGCTGTAACCAGTCATATTTTTTTCTGCCATAGCCCATTTGAACCTGCATGACACAAGTTCTATAAATATGTTTAGTTTAACTGCTCAGTGGATCAACAACAATTTTTCACAGCCAAAAATGCACTGGGTCACAAATAGACATTGTGCTTTCCATTTAAAAGAATTTTGGAAACATGGAAAATATCTCCAGATAACGTTCATGTTGACTAAGAGACTAATAATGTGCGGAATTAATGCAAAGACTATGGTAGTATTCAGAATCCTAAATTTACTGTTTAACACTTACACGTTACAGAGACATTGAATATTATTGTAAGCAGAAAAATAGTTGGCCATTCCAAAAGACTTCAGTTAGTCCATTCTTGTCTCAGAACAATACAAACTGACAGCAACAGAAGTGAGTTCAAAATCAGAAAAAAATGACCCTTGGCAAATTGAAAATTGCATTAGCTGACCTTGTTAATGGTTAGACTATTTGACCTCAGTAATTAGTCAGATGGTTAGGGTATTCACTCCCTGAGGCTTTAAACGAAAATACCTGCATTTGCCTAGTATATGCTGTGCTATATTTAATTTCGTTCCATGTAATGTATTCCAACCTATGTTGTTGATATGAAACAGTTACATTTGTTAGAATACGTTACATGGAATGGAATTAAAAACACAGCATATACTGGGCAGGTGCAGGTATTTTCATTTAAAGGAGTGAAAGGAAGTGAAAACCTTTCTGTCCAACGTCTGTAAACATTGGAACAGACCTAACCCATACAAAATATGACTGATGAAGAAAACAGTATTCTTATTATTGTTGAATTGTTATTCATTGTATTTATACATTTTTTTGAGAAAAATCAAAATGTCAGATGTTGTGTATCAACAGATCACAAAGTTATTTGCTTCTCTACATCAGAAAGTCAAAATAGTTATGAATATGAACCATAATGTGTATGTGCTTACATTATTTTACAACAGTTTGTATTAGAGTTTCGCCTCAGAACTTTTTTGTCAAACTCTTATCCTCTGGTTATTTCTTTGTTTCATTCTCAAATCCATTCTCAACTGATATTCATGCATGCAAGCCACCTTCCAAACCATAATGTGCTTTCTGTGTTCTCGCTAGCTGAAAGCGACAGCCATTCAACACAGAAAATGTGAGCAGTAGCTTACTTTTATTTTTGTTCACTTGTCATTGAATTTATGCACAATTAAGAATTAAGTGATTATACAAAGTATCAGTGTAACACATTATATATACTCAAACTTTTTTTGCTGTTTTTTGGTCAGCAATATGTGTAAGACCAAAAGATAGTCAAAAGTTTCTGTTTGTGTTTAAAACAGGTCCACCAGATTTTGATGCAGTGTTGACTGATTGCACAGCAGAGCTAGGACAGACAGTTAAACTGGCCTGCAAAGTCACAGGATCACCCAAACCTGTTGTGACATGGTTTAAAGGTAAGGATGACAAACAATTAATGAACTATAGTTAGGCTGTAAAGCTCATGAGATGAGAAAGAAATGGCTCATGTAAGCTATAGATCGAAATGCCTATTACTATATAATATTGTTTGTTATCACAGTGTAGGTCATTGTAGTACCTCTAGCACCAAAACAGCCCACTGTCAGCATCAGCATGTGAAATCACAAAAGTGCCTCAAAGACATACAGAAGTAATACTCTAACTTGAAAAATGGCATATGTACAAACATCACAAATTCAATAATAATGATAGTAAACATACTTTTATGTGTACTTTTATCATACATGGATTACGGCATGTGTGCTTTACAGAAAAACAGTAAAATGGGATTTGCATTATTTTAAAAGTTAGCTAAATAAAAAATGAATTAAAAATTAAAAATAAAAGAAACTTAAACATGAAAACAATAACAAAGCATAGGCTACATTATTACAGAAGGAATTTTCAAAAGTTATAAGAACTAAAGATAGAAGTAAAGCAGACATACAAATCTAAAAAAAAATTCAAAGATGTACTTTGAGCTAGGTCTTGAAATTATGAATGGAATAATTTGTAATGCCTGGTGAATTTCTTATTGAATAGAGGTCTGTAACCCTGGAACAAAAGGCTGATTCACCACTTTCTTTTTTCTTTTTTTCTCAGCTGGGACATATAGAATTCCTGTACAAAACGAATGATTTAATATATTTTCACAGACCTTTCGGAGTTTTAATTCTGTCTTAAATTAAACTGTTAGCCAGTGAAGAGGTGCCACAACAGGTGTAAAATTACTCTTTCTCTTCAATTTGCCCTGCCTTTGAATTTGTTTAAGTTTATTATTATTATTATTATTATTATTATTTTATTTTTTTTTATTATTATTGTTGTTATTGTTATTATTATCTGATTTTACCCTAAAATGAATCAGCCAGACCAAACCATAGGTTGTAAAGGCATGAAACTTGGTCTCCCGCTATCCAGGCGCTTGACATGGGCCTAGTCTGCCTATGGGGGTTGCTATAGCTCAGCCAAACGCATTTGGCCTTGTAATTCCTAAACCAAAATTATTTTTTTTTTCTATATTCATGGCCTTAAGACAAACTAATTTGCAATTCGGACCATGTAGCTCTGCCTTCTCAGATTTTTGCTAGTTTGCATAATATGCAAAACCTACAAACCTACTTGCAAACCTATCCTACGTTTTGATCCACATGTAACTGGTATCAAAAAATTTGCAAGCCTTTGAACCCCAATAAAAATAAAAACTTTTGTATGCAGTATGCCTGCCATCATGCTGATCAACCCTTCTGGAATAATTCATAATTGTCGAAATCTCAAGAATGCTTCATCCAAATAAATTGAAACTTCACAGATTTATTCAACAGTACATTCTAAGGTAGCTTAATAATTTGTGCATGTACATAGTTAGGGGGTGTTGTAAAAGGAAAATAACACAGAATGTGTACATCCAATCAAGCTAAAATTTCACAAGCAGTATCTTTTAGACAAGAAAATGATGACTTAATAAATCAAAATTTATGGCCACCATTGGTCATAAATTTCAGCAGGCATTTTAAAGCCTTAACATTGACCAGTCATCATGAAACTTGAATAATTTGTCTGAGTCAGCCCTTTTAGTAGCCAATGAAGCTTCAAAAGATTTGGCCACTGGGGGGCAAAATTCATGAAAATCAAGTACATACACCGATCAGGCAGAACATTATGACCACCTCCTTGTTTCTACGCTCATTATCCATTTTATCAGCTCCACTTATTATATAGGTGCACTTTGTAGTGCTACAATTATAGACCGTAGTCCATCTGTTTCTCTGCATACTTTGTTAGCCCCCTTTTACCCTGTTCTTCAGTGGTCAGGACCCCATGGACTCTCACAGGGCAGGTACTATTTGGGTGGTGGATCATTCTCAGCACTGCAGTAACACTGATGTGGTGGTGGTGTGTTCGTGTGTGTTGCGCTGGTCTGAGTGGATCAGACACAGCAGTGCTGCTGGAGTTTTTAAACACTGTGTCCACTCACTGTCCACTTTATTAGACACTCCTACCTTGTCACTCCACCTTGTAGATGTAAAGTCAGAGACGATAGCTCATCTGCTGCTGCACAGTTTGTGTTGGTCATCCTCTAGTCCTTCATCAGTGGTCACAGGGCGCTACCCACAGGACACTGTTGGCGGGATATTTTTGGTTGCTGGACTATTCTCAATCCAGCAGTAACACTGAGGTGTTTAAAAACTCTGTCTGATCCACTCAGACCAGCGCAACACACACTAACACACCACCACCACATCAATGTTACTGCAGTGCTGAGAAAGATCCACCACCAAATAGTACCTGCTCTGTTGGGGGTCCTGACCCCTGAAGAACAGGGTAAAAGGGGCTAACAAAGTATGCAGAGAAACAGATGGACTACCAGATGGAAGTGCCATAACTTCAGGGAACTCCAATTCCCAGAAGCCCTTGGGCTGATTAGGCCCAACCACCTGTGGACTCCTCTACTTAAGGCTGTGGCAAACAGCAGCCCTTTGTCACACCTTTGTAGAGGAGTGACCGGTACGGTACTTAGCCCAGGTGGGTATTTTAAATGAAATGAAAAGAAAAGAAAAGGGAAAAAAAAGAGGGCTGGAAAAAACAAAAGTGAGTAATTGCCCCAAAATTACACAAAAAAAAACAAAAAAAAGGCCCCACAAGGCTTGAGCTACAAACTGCTCCAAGCCATACAAAAGGTGTAAGTGAAACAAGTGAAACAAAGTCCGCCTTTCCCTCATAATTACAGTGGAAGAGTCTTTTGTTTTCTGATTATCTCTTATTTCACGTTTCTTGTTCAGCCTTTGTTTGAGCACACTGCTTTCAGCATTTCTTTTGTTTGCCGTTTTCCTGCCTTTTTTATTTCCCGTTCCTTGAGGTGTTTTATCCATTGTCGCCTATGCTCCCCAATCTCTCAATTACTATTTTCATGTCAAAACATACTAGATCATTTTTAAGTTATATACATGGAACCAAATATGTATATAGCAGTTTTAGTTACATCAGGCAAGCACTGGTAATAAGGCCTCTATTATTTAATTAGTATTATGCAAAAAATGGAATTTCACTGTCTATCTACAGTTTGTCTAATTCATCATGTATTTATAAGAATTCTTCTTGTTTGTTCTAATGTCCTTATTGTCTCGTCTAAAATTGCTAAATACTTTAATATCCTCCAGATCATTGCATGATTTTGATTTTGACAGTTAAAGCAAAGATAAAACAAGATACACTTTAGACCTTACACATATATATGACTGAATAGATGGTCGGGCTGTGGAGGTAGACCCTCACCACATCCTCATCGAGGACCCGGATGGCTCCTGCACTCTCATTCTGGATAACATGACTGCGGATGACTCAGGCCAGTACATGTGCTTTGCCTCCAGCTCTGCAGGAAATGCCAGCACCCTGGGCAAGATAACTGTGCAGGGTGGGTCAAATGTACTGGGCAAACATCAGCTTCTAGGCTTCAGTTTTCATGGACCTAAGATTTGAGTGTCAGTATAAGCAAGCCCAAATTAAATGTAATTGTATTTCACTGTATTTTCTCTGCATGTGTAGTGCCACCACGCTTTGTGAATAAGTTGAGGAATGCTGCATTCATTGCAGGAGAGGATGCTCAGTTTACTTGCACAATACAAAGTGCTCCCAGCCCAAAAATAAGGTAATCATTGAAAAAGGAATGCATCGCAAGTAATGCGTGTTGGTATGTGTAAATGAGGTACTCATTTGAATAAAGTAAATTGCACTGCTTGTTTAGTGTAATGTTTATCTAGTTGACATGATTGAAACACTTCATTCTTACCCCTGCTCAGGTGGTTTAAGGATGGCAAATTGCTTACAGACCAGGAAAAGTATCAAACATACAGTGAACCTCGCAGTGGAGTAGTGGTTTTGGTTATTAAGAACCCTGGAGAGAGAGACTTGGGACATTATGAATGTGAGGTACCGTACTGAACAAAGTTCAATAAGACTACATATATATATTTAATTTCTCAACAGTGTTTACCTTGTAATCTCATCTTTTTCTTTTGTTATTTTGATTTTCATCTTTATTTATTATTAAATGCTTAAGAATTACTTTTAATTGTTTAATTGTTAGACTTTTTTATAGATTTAATATTTTAATTGTATTAATTTAACTTTATTTAATTTATTGCATTTTATTTCTTTTTATTATTTTAACCTTTACACTGTTATACATATGTGTTCTTGTTTTACCCATTCATTTTTCTGGGTCCTTGTATCAATTGTGTGTCAATCTGTAAAGCACTTAAATTACCACTGCTTGTAGGAAAGGTACTATATAAATAAAGATTTAATTAGATTTAATCATAACTATATAAACTTAGGGAACGGTTGTAATTATGTTATAAATAATGTTATGTTTTAAATAATGATGTATATAATATGCTTCCGAATATCAGTACTTTAAATAATAAGTACTACTTTTACATGGTATGTTTGTAGCTGTCTAACCGCCTTGGCAGCAGTAAGTGTGCAGCAGATCTTGTCCTTCCTACACTGGCAATGGCAGGAGATCGCAGGGGAGACCAAGCCATCACTATTGAAGGTAAATATGCTTGGAATCACATATCCACAGCACCATCAGCACACACTGCGTGTACATTTTATGTTTGTTAAACATGCATGATCCTTGAACAAGTTTTTTTTTCTCTGAGTTTGTTTCTTGAAAGTAGACAGAGAGAGTACTAGATAGCCCAGTTGTTAAGGATTGACAGAAGATCATTAGATTTTACATTATGTTGGTTTCATGTATGTATGTGTTTGTATATTGTACATATTAACACCTCTTTTTGTTTTCCTCTTAGTAACAGAGCAGGAGACCAAAATACCAAAGAAAACCATAATCATGTAAGTGTGTACAGTAACCTTAGAAAATTTGAGTTGTCTTAAATTTTCTGAACGAGATGACCTGCCCATTAACATGGAGGACACCATATCACACCAACACTCATTAGGTCAGCTGATTCATATTTTAGTCCCACATAAGTCATGTCCAGCCACTAAACTCACTGTCTTATTTTCATTACAGATAGTATAGTCAGAGCAAAAATGAATTCATGTTTCAACCACTTAGCTGAGGAGTTGGAACATGCAGCCACTATTGACTTCTTTGCTGTTGCAAGTTTGCCAGTTGTTAATCTATCTGTAACTGTCCTGTGAGCACTGTCCAGTGTAGTCTGCTGAACATGTCCTCTGGTGGTAACATTATACTTAAGTGATAAACAGATTCACAGCATGTGAGTAGCTGGAAATAACTTTTTATCCAGAGAATCCATTAATAGAAATTGCCATTTAAAAGCTGTATTTAAATAATAGGGCTGCAGTGATGAAGTAATAGCAAGAGCGGATGAATAGCTGAGCTTCTAAGGAAGATGCAAAGGGTCAAAGTACAAAAATGTGTTAATGGTTTTTAAAAAAATTGTGGCATTAAATATTTATTGCATTAATGCGTTATTAATGCATTTGACACTGCTAATTATAATTTGTTGTATTTTACACAAATTTAAGTAAATTGGATGTACTTTTAGGGTACTGATAACACTAATCGTTTATTATTTTTCAATTGAAGTCTCCTGTCCAAACTTTGAGCTATATATGCAGTTGTGAGGTTGATCAGGATGTATGTTTAGCCTTACATGTTGCTTTCCTTATGCAGAGAGGAGACCGTCACCACCGTTGTGAAGAACACTCGAATGAAACGTCACCTGTCTCCTCGCACATCCTCTATGGGAGTGTACCGCTCAGAGGCTTCCACTCCTGAGCTCCCAAGACAGAGACGTGCAGTATCTAGAAAGCCTGTACCCACCCTTTATGTTACAGAGCCTGAGGGGGCATCAGCCAAGAACCCCAAATGGGTGGAAGTGGAAGAGATTATCGAGTATAAAGTGAACAAGTCTCCAAAGTTTTCCAGGAGAAGAGGTGCTTCACCCAGCAAGAGACAGCCACCAGATAACCCTAATGCTAACAACTCTAACAACAAATTAGTGGAAGCACTGCAAATGTCAGTAGCCAATGTGGACTCATTAAGTTTGTCTTTTAACAGTGGAGGGAACGTAACACTGAATGAGTCCAACAGCATGTTAGGATTGGATTCTACTGATGGTGTGTATTTTGAACAGTCATGTGCCTTGGTGGAAACAGACAGAGAAAGTGATGCTAATACAACTGTAAGTGTTTCGGTGTATGAGGACAATGATGATGAACTCAGTGCTCAGGACTATAACGTATTGCCTGAAGCAAGTCGGGTATTCACCCTGAAAGAGCTGGAGGATTATGTCCCTAAGGAGCGCAAGACATTTTGTTGCTCCTCAGACTCACTGATGCATTCAGAGAAACCATGTGAAATTGCTGTTCTGCAGAGAGAGATTAGTGAAGTTGGACAACCTATCCTGCTAAATGTGGGACGTCCTATGGCAATGCCAAAATCCTGTGCAGGGCTATTCAGTCGCTTTAAGGAACATTTCTGTAATGTATTTGGCAGCAATGTCAACGGGAGAAAAGATTGTACCCATCCATTTTAGTAAGGTGTCTTACAATCAGTCTACATTCACTGCAGAATAATCCAGAAATAAAGGAAAGCTTGAAATAAATTCAAGGTACTGCTCGGAGGTCCAGAGAGAGGGGGGTGGGAATCAGCAGAGCTTTAGAACCCAAATCTCTGCCACTACATATGGCTATACACCAATTGGACAATCATTTACTCTTAAAATCACAAAGAATAACCAATTTAAAAAGTAGTAACAATGAAAAATTAATAGAATTAATAAAATCACAAATTATTGATTAGAAATCACAAACCTAGACGTAGAGACTTTGTCTTAAAGGGGAACATTTCTGTATAGTGTCCTTGCATGAATGTAAAGAATCGTTTTTCAATTTTGAGAATAGTTCATGCGAAAAGGTGTATGCAAATGGCTGATCATTCCAACATTTTCAAAATATTCTGAAAGCTAGTATATGGGCAAAATTTGGGCAAGATAATTGTGCAGTGGCTTCCAAACAATGTGTCAGCACATGTAAATGGTCACTTAACAGCCTTGTGGCAAAAAGCACCTATTAAAAAACTGCTGTGCCAAAATCTTGTGACTAATCCGGGCCTTCATTTATCAAATTTACATAGACTTATATATGAAGTTTAAAAAAGGATTGCATATGAGTGAAATCTTTTATCCAAAACATTGAATATTTGTCAATTATGTGCAAGCATGTTGTACACATTGCTAAATAGTGGGGGCTGACAAACACAAGTTTGTCCATGCCGGTTAAATAAAGCAGCACCCTCAAAAAGGGGATTCTTGACTTTTTTCCATTAATCATGAAATGATGGACCTGCCTGTATTTTTAAAGGGCACAGGTCTATGGAGACTGAATATGTATTATTTAGAAATTTAAAAATTATTTACAAACACATTGTGGATAAAAAAATAATAATTTGAATAATATGAAAATGGTCAGAAAATAAAACATGCCACGTTCTTTGAGTGATACCATAGAAGAATCACCTTCCCCAAAGAACCATATTTAAAAAGATGTTTTAAAAAAGAGATTAGGGAGTGTGAAAAACCTTTTAAAGGTTTAAAGTACTATACTAATTTAATTATATATTCATTTACTAATTTACATGTTGTGGGGGGTCTTTACACTTTAAATGTCCAAAAGGTTCTTCACTCTCACAAATCTCACACAAATGGTTCTCCATCCGTCAAAAGATTTTTAGGGAACAAAAAGTGGTTCTTCTATGTCATTAGACAAAGAACTCTGTTTGGCACCTTTATTCTGTACTTCGTTAACAACACTATGGCTTCAACTGTTATTATAACAGTTACAAAACTTTTCTTAACTTTTCGACTAAGAATGGTAGTTGGAATGATTCATGCTTATATTTCCCTTTTGCTTAGGTGCATTTACTCTTGTTGCATTTCACTTATTCTGTTCCTCTTGTTGTGCATATGCATGGTCAGAACTTTGCGTGCAAATTCCAGTTGTATGACTGATATATTTTTGTAATCTGTATGCAAGGCCAGAGTCAGTGAAATTTAACAAAATCTTCATAAAATAACTACACTTAAATTCTAAGTTTTTCAGTGTATCAGAACGAGTTTGAAACTGCTTTTCTGTGCCATACTTGTGAAACTTTAACGTTAATGTGCTGCACAGTTGTCAAACCTGATGATTTTGTTTACTCTTGGCACTAATCTAAATGCCTTAAACATCTTGATAAAGTTACTGACAAAAAACCCAACTGCACAGAACTGGAATAAATGATCTCAGTATGTGATATCAATGAATAGTACATTAAATTATAAAAGTCACTGCATCTGATCTAGATTTATTTAACTGTGTTTCTTAGGTAACATGTATTACCTAAAGTACAGCTGCATCTTGCATGTAACCAAAAATGGATGTGAATGTTGTATGTGTGAAATAGACAGCAAGACACTTCTGTTTGAACATTTGTTTGAAAGAAACAATTTAACTGTTTTGATGACAAACACAATCTGCCTTGGAGTGTCTAGATGTAAATGCAGTTTTCTGAATCTGAATAAAACATTTATCTTACTAAATTAGATTTTATTAATCGATATGTATTCATTTATATGTTTGTCAGTACATTTAAATTCCCAGCTCCAATAACTTTAGTAGTAGTAGTACTAGACTTGTTACTGATAATTAGAAAGTAGCAGAATACAGAATTGTTTTCTAAAAAAAAAAAAGCACTGCTATTGGTAAACCCGTTGTATTTATGTGCCTTTGCCACCTGCTATATAATGGCATATACTATACATGCCATCATATAGCAGGTGGTAAAGGCATACATATATATATATATACACACACACACACACACACAGCACACACACAGCATACACAGCACACAAATTACTGACCCCACTGAGTACACAAGATGCTAACACTAGCATCACACGCTATCACTTCTTGGTGATTCTTTTCTAATAATTGATCAAATATTTATATTCAAATATAAATATTATACAAATATAAATATTCACTACCTGAAAACACTTTCTTACATTTTATCTGTATTGGTTTATCAAATAAACGCTTCTTTTTAGAAAAGTTATTTCCTTTAAAATGGCATTAAAATATTGCAACCCTAAAAACAAAAAGTTGAGTTGGTAATAAGTTACTAAAAGCTGTACACTGAACACAAAAGACACAAGTCACAAAATGGTAAATGGCTACATTTGACAAGTGTTCTGCTTTCTGTTTAGACAATTAATTCATATCCTGTGTCATTTTATCAAAATGTATCTGCATGGATTCATTATATTTTACAGTTCTTACACGCAATACAAAAAGTAGTGCAATAATATTTCCACAGGAAAAAGAGTGTTCTTGTAAAACTATAAAACGAATGGAACATACTCTTCTTTTGACACCTCTGGTCGCTAAGTCTTGGATATCCACTGTAATTTCTGTAATGGTTCCAGTAATTTCCATGTTGTTTTAGTCCAGTAGTGTCTAGTAGTGCTTGAAGTCCAGTAGTAAGAACAATGCTGTATGGAATTACTGATGACTAGTCATGCGCAAAGTGCTAATTTGGCACTACATTTGGCTGCAGCCGAATCTTTCTTTGCTCTATGCGGTCCTTAATTCTGCCTGATTTGTAAACTATAGCCTCGCTAAATATACTGGCACACCTGACAAGCATGTCCATCCACATGGCAGACAAATCAGGCAAAATCAAGAAAACAGGTAGGAAAGGAAGTTCCGTTCATGTGCAGAAGATTACGAATGGGTTATAAATGTCGGTGAGGTGCCGCAGTAAAGTTGGCTAGCGGTTAGCGATTCGGATTTCTACCGGCTATAACTCCGGAGTGCAGTAACGTGCATCCACAAACACTGGTGCGCTTTGTTAATCCTGATTTGTGAATTCAAATGACATCATGTTCCACGCCAAAATCCGCCAATATTACACATCGGGTTTTATTTTCTAAATCTTATAACTTCAAAAGTTGAGCTCTCAGATGAATGAAACCAGGTTCAAACTGACCAGGCTGATTTGTGAAAAAATTCACAGTTCTTATTTTGCCCGTCCGTGGCCTGTGCAGACGGCGAGCACGGAAAGTAAGTGAAATATAAGCGTTTTTTGACCTCGGCAAGTGATTTTCAATACAAATGACTTCAAAATGTGTTTGATTAAGCAGAGCTCGATTTGTGGAAAAAAAATCACAAATGGAGCTCGCTATGTTTGATTGCTACGTACAGCTGTATCTCCTTAGGAATAAGACTATCTGACTTTGCAGTTTAGCCTGGTCAGTTTGAACCTGGTTTCATTCATCTGAGAGCGCAACTTTTTAAGTTATAAGCTTTAGAAAATAAAACCCCGATGTGTAATATTGGCGGATTTTGGCGTGGAACATGACGTCATTAAAATTCACAAATCAGGACTAACAAAGCGCACCAGTGTTTGTGAATGTACGTTACTGCACTCCGGAGTTATAGCCGGTAGAAATCCGAATCGCTAACCGCTAGCCAACTTTACTGCGGTTTTAGGCCAAGCTATGGGAGTGGATACCTGTCCTCTTTGTCCCACATTAAGGTATGCACAGATATTTTGGTGGAAGGAACGTAATAGAAAAAAAAGGCAACATGAACGTGAAATAAACTAATCTTCAGCATACTGCCGACGTTCTTAGACAATTTAACCATTTCTTTAGAGGAAACCAAACGTAGCTTGAACGAAGGAGACAGAGAGCCAAACATGCTAACGGTATTGCTCGATCCAGGGGTTTAATATCTCCAGCGTACAACCCACTACGAAAGTAACTAAGAGTAGATCCAGTACAGATTTAGTTTGAGTAGTTGAATCTCTACTTGAATCTCTTGGGTATTCTGTGCGTAGGTGTCAACCTCTAGAGACCGTAACTATCCAAACTGTATTAAATCGCTAATGCCCGTATAGTAAAATTCTATCATTAAAATCATTTGCAACAACAGCAGCAGTTTAGCCTGTTTTGATTTTCTTTACTATGATTAGTATTCATACTAATTACTACACACTAAATGTATTACTTGATGTGACAGTTAAACTGCTTGAGCTCGGTAAATTTAATATTGAAGCAGAAATTTGCGTTTCGCCCCTCCTGTTGCTCACAAACAACCTCCGAAAATTCCTGAAATTACATTTTCTAAATCGTGTTAAACCAGTTGACAAACTACAACATTTACATATTTCGTCAAAGTACCCGATCTTGTCATTTTACAGAGTACATTTGATCAAAATAGCCGGAATCACTGCAGCAAGGGGCAGAAGACGGTAAGGGACCGTCTATAAAGTGCTTGTACTGTTCAAAAACGTAAAGCGTTCACACAGATAAGAAATCTGTTGGTGTTATTCATAAAGATTTAAAACCTACTGAAATACACAGATGATATGAAACTCAATAACTAACATTGACAAATATATATTTTAGCAGTTTAGGCAGTCTAAAGAATTTCATTGTACAGTGTAACTGCCTGTTTCTGCTGTGCATATGACAATAAAAACTCTTGAATCTTGATGACAATGGAGGACATTACCACAGTCTTTGTTGGCATCTGAGAATGTCACCACAGCCCTGATGGCATCGGAGGACGTCACTACAGCCTACATGGCATCTAAGGATGTAACTGCAGCCCCGTTGGTATCTGAGGACTTCACCACAGCACTGTTGACATCGGAGGACGTCACCACAGCCTTGTTGGCATTGAAGGATGTCATCACAGCTCTACTGGCATCAGAGGACATCACTATGGCGTTATTGGCATTGGAGGATGTCACCACAGTCCTGATGGCTTCAGAGGATGTCACCACAGCCTTGATGACATCAGAGGACATCACTACAGCCTTTGTTGGCATCTAAGAACGTCACCACAGCTCTGATGGCATTTGAAGATGTCACCACAGCCCTGATGGCATCTGAGAACAGCACTACAGCCTTCTTGGCATCCGAGGATGTAACTACAGCCCTGTTGGTATTTGAGGACGTCACCACAGCCCTGTTGACATCGGAGGACGTCACCACAGCTTTGTTGGCATAGGAAGATTTCAACATTATTAATATTACAAACCTAAAAAAAATCTTGGTTAAAAAATAATTAAAATCATTGAAATTTGATGAGAATAAATAATAAATTGATACTGTGACAAACCCATTCAAAATACAGATCTAAAATGACTTACTAGTGTATAGAGACACACTTAAAAAGCTTTGGGTTGACTGAATTTTAATGAAATCTTTTTTAAAAATTCAATCAAGGCATGCCTTGCTAACATCTATAGTAGATCTGTATGGATGTGTCACAATAATTACAAAGACAATTTCAATAAAATTCAACCAATACATGAATACGACAAGTAATTTTGGATCTGTACATCATGGATGTTTCACAGTAGTAATATAAAACATAAAAAATCCTTACAGTTCAACTAGTGCGTATCTTACCAAACTAAAGGTGGTAGTATTTTATTTATTTATTTTTTTATTCATGTTAGTTATTGATTATCCGTGTTCGGTGCCTGCTGCAGCGATTCCGGCTTTTTAAATTAAATGTACTCTGTGAAATGGAAAGCTTGGGTGTTTATGATGTATAATGATTGTAGTTTGATGTCTGTTTTACCACAATTTAGAAAACGTAATATCAGAAAGTTTAGGAGGTTTGTGAGCAATAGGAGGGGTGAAACTCAAATATCCAATGATAATATCAAAACTTTACCAAGCTAACTGACAGAACAAAAAGTACCTTTAAAGTTAGCTTTATGTTGGATATGCAATATTTGTCATTTTGACATTCACCGTCTTTAAAGCTAACTAGCATTTCAGACATATGAGAGTGTGATCGAACACGTATTATTTATTTTCAGTGGAATTATCTAATTGCAACTGATGATGTTATAAATTCACCAAACACTCAGTGAGAAGTTAGGGGCTGCCTTTAAAGAGACCCCTTAGAGACAGAATAGTACAGAGTAATTCAGTAGCTCTTAAGAGATCTTTCAAAAGCAACTGAAAAATGTAATGTAATAAACTATATATTACATTAATTTAAATAAAACTAGTTTTAATAGCATTTCTGTACTACATACAACACGAAACTCAACTGTAAAAATTGAGATTGTGGTTGTGAATAAATACATACTTTATACTTTTTTTTTTATTTCAACAGCACTTCAACCACATTGCATACAAAGCGCGAATCAGCACTAAAGGCTGCAGCTAAGTGCCAGTGATGACATACAACCTTTGGATTTTGGATGTAATTGGATATAATTCCATGTTATGTAATGATTTTTTTTTAAGTTTGATTGTCAGTAAAATTTCAACTGTATTACTTACATCAATAAAAACAACCATTGGTGCAGCTTGGTGGCTGTATTGACAGCCTTTGAAATTTGGATATAATGCAATACTTGCTTTATGTTAAATTTTTATTAAAATTGAATTTCAATAGCAGATCTACTGCAACACTAAAATAATACTAAAACCAACTGCAAAGCATGCAACTAGGTGGCAGTAAAGATGTACATTCTTTGGACTGGATTAGCATTGTCCTCA